AACTGAATGACCTTAGGGGGAATTAGGTTCCACACCTGTCAAATTATACTGTAGTAAATTACAGCACGTCATAAAATAGCAACACATTTTTTTCAGTTACCAATAATCATTTTAAATATTAAGTAGATTTATGATTTTTTTGTTTTATTGGATTAAATTTACGGTAGTAGAAATGCGTATCTGTCGGGGAAAGGAATTTGGTAAGTAGATAACGTGGAAAAAAGCTTTAGGGAACTTGATAAACCCGAGAATATGCGTTATTATAGGGAATGGGCAACCTGTTGCTGTTGGTACCAGTTTTGACTGGGTGCCTAAATAACCTAACGGACAGTTTTGTTTTCATACGATATTAGTCTGGCTGCCGATTTTCCTGCGCCTTTCTCATTTTTAGCGTCAATGGCGGAAAATCGCGTCCTCAGCATACTGGATTTAGTTGATATTTTACCTGAAAAAAAGATACATGACCGGCGATGTACCCTATTTGGACAGCTTGTCTAGCGAAAATTAATTACAAAATAAAAGGATATATCGTCAATTTGAAGAAGTTTCTCATAGTACCCAAATTAAATTTATGGTTTATCTTTGAAAATTAAGCAGTCATTGCTTAAATCATGTGGTGGGATCATCAGCAAGCTTGAATATCGGACAAATGATAATTAATGTCGCGGCGTCTTCAATTAATTAATTAAAGCAATTCAGTTTCATATGATGTTTTCATAAATAATATATAATGTACGCAATAAAATTAATAAGTTCTTCATCAAGATATATTTCAGTTGTACCAGCGTGTACACCTATACCGGAAGTGGGTATAACACGTCACAATCTCGGTCTCGTCTGTCTCGCGAGAATGACAGAACGCCAAAATGGCGGCGCCCATGAACTTATTTCTCAAGTAAAAAATAGTGTCTTAAAACACGAATTTCTCTCTTATAGGGTTGATGTCAATAGGAAAACTGTCATGGTTCCTCTTTTTAAATGATGAATATTTATATTAGACAGACATCAATCCATCCATTCCTATTCCTTTAAGGTAGAACGCGACACTTTGCGAACTTTCGAGTATAGTGTCTTGAAAATTGGCATGCAGAAAGTTGACTATATTTCTGATTAGGGTCCGTTGATATACAGTTGTTTGGCCGGCTCCGGCGCACTTTTTTCTACTTTTCCTGTCTGCATATAATTTAACAAATTGTTGGTATCCGATAGTAGATATTTATTTTAACTTCAAACCAAACAAATATTATATAAATTCGTCCTTCTGCTCAATTAAGAAAACTGCATTCAATTCCCAAGTTCGTTAAGCTTTTCAGTGTAGTTCTCAATGCGGATCGAGGCCCTGCATGAGGATCTTAGTTTTAGTTGAGCAAATACAAAAGATTAATACAGTAAACCACGACCTTTCGCCCTAATAATCATTTAGTTATAGATTTTGGCTTTATAAAACTTTAATGTGCCATCATGGTTGAAGTAAAAATAAAAAGGTCTGTGTCATTAAACAGTACCATCACTTTCAAAGCAAACAAGCATGTTAGTAGGCTTATGTGCATCATTAGTATGGCTACCAGAGTTGGCCACATTTTCAGATAGAATGCGCAATACAGTCAATGGTGTATATCGATCTCGAAGAATTAAGCTTAATGACATAGCAAAGCTACTTGCAGGTCACGTTTCAAGATCTATGCCTAAAGCATGTCAGAAAATTATTGAATCAGATGGATGTATTCATAATAGTTAAAGATTTTCGACATGTTCAAGAAAAAATAAGTGTAGATGTACTAAATTAAGTGTTTCATTTTTACTTTGAACAGTAACTTTAGTGAGGCAATGAACAATAGTATTTTTACATATATATTAATTGTATATTTAGTGCATGTCAGAAAATTATTGAATCAGATGGATGTATTCATAATAGTTAAAGATTTTCGACATGTTCAAGAAAAAATAAGTGTAGATGTACTTAATTAAGTGTTTCATTTTTACTTTGAACAGTAACTTTAGTGAGGCAATGAACAATAGTATTTTTACATATATATTAATTGTATATTTAGAGGATGTGCAAATATGAATATTAAACATTTATCAGCTTCGTAAATACGTTGCGTTGGGTTTTTTACCCGATAATCTCTCCATACAGAATATGGTATTTGGAACAGGTCAAATTAAGTATGTTGGTTCATACAGGTATAGATATCTTCATTATTTCTTTTTAGAAAAAAAAAAATTTGATACAGTTTTTGATCGCTTTTTTCCGCCAATTCTTACATTCAAATGATTTTTTATTCACAATTTATTTATAAATTGACACATGTATGCATATCGTAAAATTTTATTTCTGTAATTCTTATCTTTTATTTTTATTTTTTTTAAAAAAATGCATATATTGCTTTACACAGTTTGATTAATATTGCGCTAGCAATCGATCTCTGGGTGCCACACTTGGATAATATACCAGGAACCTCAGTTGATTTGTGAGACAGCATTGCTAGTGTGCTTTCATCGTCACCGGGAGAAAATTCTACTCCCCCACGCACACAGAGACGGAAAAGCTTGCTGACATTATTCGGACCCATCAATTCATTAAGAACAGAGTTTTTAAAGATTGCTCCGTAAACTTGCTGTCGAGACATCTTCGGATAAAAAGAAAACATTTATGAACGGCTTTTCCAATAGAAATACATGCAGTCATTAAATTTGGCTTGATAGTCTGTTTTCTTTAAAAAAGAAACAGTTTGAAAGTATATTTCGGCTCAAGCTATGGGGGATATTTTTGTTTATTGTTAGCACTTATTTGTTCTTATCTTTTTTGTTATAAGTTATTTGTTTATTTGTAATGAGTTTCTGTATTGATCGGCCATTTTGTACATCGTGAAAAAAGAAAGGACTGTGTTAAGTATGCCAGATATCATGTTAATAGCGTATGCATGCATTCTATTTATGTCCATGTGCAGAAAATCAAAAACTTCTATTACAGATAGTGGGAAGTGTTTGTGTATAAGACTTGTAATGAATTTTATGCAGTAAAATATTTTATGGACGAAATGGTCTCTTTTTTAAGTTAGTGATGTACAACAGCCGTTGTCCGTATTCATCTTTATCAGTTGCGCAACGTGATTTGCCTGCGCGTGCTTTCCCTGCGCATGCGCTCTTATTAGCGTCACTGTTGTAAACAAAAGAATTCATATACTTTTGTCAGCTTTAATTTCACGATTTTTATCGTAGCATTGCTTTTACCTCCTCCTCCCATTTCCTCCACCCAATAACTAGTGTAGATTATTTTCAATGTCTAAATTTTATTCTTCATGTTAATTTTGGCATAATCAAATATTTTACTTGTGACATAATCAAATATTTATTGTTACTTAATGTTTTGTGATTCTAGTCTTATGCAAGGCGTATTTTTATGACCAGATATAACATTTTATTGCGTACTATTTCTAGTCAAAACAAAATCTAAAGGTGCACTATATATACCGGCCTTAACAAAAGCCCAATTAACACTTTCTCATTTGTTTGTCGTTATATATTATGTTTAACAAGCTTCGCAAATTCTAGAACCTCGTTTTATTGGACCACTTGCTGGCCATAAAAGGATAATAGGATAACTGTGAGAAGAAGCGAAGTGATGCAAATTATGAAACACCTTAATCCTGGTGTTTCTGAAGAACGAAAGGCGCATAAATTATCTACAGCGAAGGATGTACTGAAAAAGGCCTAACTACGTCTGACAAATGACGACTATGACAAATTAAAATCGTTGGGATTCTGTATTCATGTGTGAATTGACCGGTCATGGGGCTTGAAGTAACATCTGGTTATAATGATCCCGCTGTTGTCGTGAAACACTATCTATGTCACAGGGTCATTTTGTCTTTTCTAGAATATTTCATAACCATACTCAGCTTATCATTCTCTTCATTTATTCATCTCGTAGAAATCACTTCATTGTAACACGTTGACGGGCCTCATTCAATTTATACAAATAGACACAGGTCATATCCACATACAGTCTGATTTGATTGACCTGTCATTTATGGATACATTATAGCACTCATTTAAATATTCGCTCCACCTCGGTACGAGAATTAATATGGAGTACAAAACTAATTCATTGAAAGAATAAGTCGTCGTTACAAGCGCATATGAAGAAAATGTAAATTAAACAAAGCCAGACGTGGCCATGAGTGTAAAGGTGGTGTATGTGAATGTTTTTGTGTACTCTTTTTTTACGACTCGAAAAATAAATCTTGTCATTCCGCAGTAAATCGTGCATCTTATTTATATAGAATGGACGACAAATGAGCCGCGTCACGACAAAACCAACATAATATGTTTGCGATCAGCATGGATCCAGACCAGGATGCGCAGGCTGGTCTGGATCCATGCTGGTCGCAAACCCATTATATATGTTGGTTTTGTCATGACGCGGCTCAAATTATGTTAAAACTTTAGGAATATATCACGGTTACAATATAGATACAAACGAGATTTGGATGAAAAAGATAAACAAAATTAAAAATTGTCTTCAAGTATGGATACCTGTAGCTAGGTAAAATTCTTCGTAAAATGAACAGGTAACATTACATAAAAATGTAAAGAAAATATTCGAGGTCTTTGGCAGTGTCCGTTACTTGTACGGACAAAAGCCGGATATTAGAAATGTAAACGGTTTCTTATATTGATATTGATGAATACATGTATAGCACAACAGTATAATGTATTCAAAATTGACAGATCGTTAACATTTGAAAATAGACAAGTATATGTTTCACATGCCCTTTTGTTTTTAGTTATTTTGTGTCAAAGAACAAAAACCGGTCGTAGTACTTTACATTCATTGTAAATCAGGAAATTGACACCCTGTATCCTTTATAACTAAATGCCTATTGTCTAATGCCTATTGTTTTAGATTTGTAAAGTTTATACACAATAAGCTTAAGAAAGTTTAAAACAAATGATTTGATTTAATACACAGGCATAAGTTAACTTATAGTATATTCTTAAAGGGGGTCATTATTTACATTTTTTTTTGGTTTTTGACACTTTTAAGATGAATACAGGTTATTTTATCAATCTGGTCATATTTTTTCTTCTCAGGTCCGATACTCGTGCCTGTGATTTTAATACATGTAGTTCATTTAAGTAGCGAATCTTATAATAATTTCAATGACTGCGTGTAATAATTACTTTGTATGAGTTAATTACGGGTATTTGGCGATATTATGACAATAATTAAACGGCATTTAGAATAAGGACTTTTTCTCATTTTATGATATTATACTCGTGTGGATAGAATGATGGAGAAGACAGAGCATAAAACACCATCACAGCCACGTGCTACTGGGATGGACGGGGTTGAGCTCTTTAATACGAGTTGTTCAATGTGTAGGAAAAAGAAGACTTTAACAGAGGGAGAGTACCACTGTAAGTTTTGTGGGGTAATGTGTGAGAATTGTTCAGCAAAACATCAAAAAACACCCAAACAAACTGGTCACTGGGCGCAACAAATCAAACGCATCCGTCAAGAACTGACAACAAACCCAACTTTCAATTCAATAAAGAAATGCGAGATTCACCCTAGTAGACATATCAAAGGTTACTGTTTGGACCATGGGGAGTTATACTGTAATGACTGTGTTAGGGATCGGCACTTTGATTGCCCACTTGAAAGCGTTGAAGTTATGAGCCAAGATGTGTCGCGTGAAACCCACATGATTGATGCAAGAAACGAACTGGTCGATCTTAAACGAAGAAGTAAAATAGCGAGTAAGGCCAAAAATGAAGAAATCGCTCATATGCAAAAGCAAAGTGAAAAGTTCGAAGTACACCTAAGGAAACTTAGAGACAAATTAAATGTTATTTTCGATGACATGGTTAAATCTGTTTTGCAAGACAGGGATGTTTTCGTAAAAGCGGAGGAGAAGTTGATAACGAAAAATATTTCTGAATGTTCGGATCTCGCGACAGTTCTCGAAACTGCGTCTACGAATTTGGACAGCGCTTTCCGTAGTGGGAGCAAGCCGGAAATGTGGATTTCGTTAAAGAAGCTAGAGCGAGTGGTAACTCACTATGACGAAATGGTCACGAAAATTGAAAATGAAAAAAGCAAAGTTGCATTTGAGTTTGTGTCGAACAGTCATTTGCAAGGTTTACTCGAAGACCCGGAAAATATCGGAAAACTGAAAATTACGTCGTCCAGGTTATATGGAAATGAGCTTACGGTGAATGATAATAAAATTGAAGTAAAGCCTACTCGTAAATCTAAAGCGACTCTTCCAGGGACAAGTAAGTATAACGAATTTAACAGAGATATCTTTTGCATATTTCATAAAATATGTTTTTCATGTCCGCACGAAGGCTTTAATTTTTCTTCGAAATAGTTTACCGTATTTCATATTCACGATTTTTTTGTTAAGCTAACAATTTTATGTCACCAACAGACAGAAAAAGTTATGGCATATGGGATTAAGATTTCCTTTATTAAATCAGTTAAGAATGTTGCTAATTTCAGTTCCTTAAAATAATGGCCGGTGTGACGTTTTTGTGTATACGTACTGTAATCTCAGCATTGGCATATTTTAGAAAAAAGCCTACCGTAATTTTCTTTCGCCTAATCTTTTAAAAAAAGATTTATGTAGCATCAAAATTTTCTTTTTTTTCTTTCCTTTAGAAACCGGCATTCAACAGGACCCTTGGAAAATCCAAAGAGTTGACACAAAAGCAAACGGGATGCTTCCCAAGATTACCGCTTTGTCAACAAATGAAGTCAGTATGAACACACCAACGACAAACTTTCGAGCAAACTCTCGAAATCGTGTAGCAACATCGTCTAGGCACGACTATGGAGGCGGTGATAAGATATCTGGTCCCGTGTTTGGTCCTATTAAGAATGTAAAAGTGACTTACATTGGACGGAAGGAGATCTTTTACCCTTCTGACACGGAGCTTACATGTGTAACAGGTTCAACATTTCTACCTAATGGGCGGCTTGTCCTGATCGATAATCACAACAAAAATCTAAAATTACTAAGTGGTGAGTTTGAGCTCCTGTCGAGCATAGTTCTTGAAGAACGTCCATGGAACATTACTCATTGTTACAAATCGGTTGTCGCAGTGTCATTTCCATACGATAATTCCGTGGATTTAATCGCAACAGGACAAGACATGCAAATTGAAGGAAAAATTAAAACTGATCGCTCTTGCCAAGGTCTGGCGTATCATAAAACAGAGAAATGGCTTTACATTGCATGTGGAAAAGGTACAGACGCCCAGATTCAAGCGTACTCCTTAGAAGGATATCTGAGAAAAGTTATCATTGCTAAACCTGGGGTTTTAATAGAGCCCTTATACATGACTATGTCAGACGATTGTACCAAGTTGTTTATATCTGATGTGGATAATGGTATAATTGGTTTCAATACTAAATCAGGTGACTTGATCAGCCAGTACAAAGACCATAGAATCAAGCGTTACTGGGACTTGACAGTTGATTCTGATGGACGCTTGTATGTAGTGACAACTGAACCGGACAGCATATTTGTTCTGATGGGTGAACACAATGGGCAACTATTGACCGAGTTCAGAGCCGGGAACAAACCATGTTCTTTAAGTTACAGTCCAATTATAAAAAGTTTAATAGTGACAAGGTGGAAGGTTGAAGACCTGGAAGTATTAAGATTTGTGTAAATGGTAAATGTCTCGAGAAGATACATTTATAGATTATGAAACATTCAACTTGGCAGAGTTTGATTCTTTTGTTACGTATGTGTTCTAAAACAATTATATCTCGAGAGTTTCAAAATACATGCAACATGTTAAGTTAGCAACTTGATATTATAAAACCTTTGAAATCGTGCAAAAAAAAAAATGTTGCAGTAAAAACATATACGTTATAGTTCCAAAAAATGAGACAAAACAACACTGACATTGTCGAAATATTCATGTTGTGAAAAAATTGCTTAATAAGTTAAGTTATATTAACTCTGCAAAGAGATGGAGTAAGTTTTGGTAGACATTTTTTTCAATCATTTAGATATCCATTCATAAGTTGTGTGCAAGTACGCAATGTTACATTACCAAGCGTGGACACTTGATTAATGATTATTTGATCAGCATACGTAATAGAATATATACATGTATACATGTACACTACAACGGAATGAAATATTTTGTCGTGCGCACGAGATAAATAAACACACACACACATGTCACCTAAAAATTTGCAATTTATATATTATTAAATGATCTAAATATAGCTGCAGTCTCATATTGGTCCAAACAGTAGTCAACATAACTATTCACTGGGCGTAGTATCATATTCACTGGCTGATATATCTGTGACTACATGCTAATTGAAACAGATAATTGCTGCGTTTTGTTCCTTATGGTATATTTCTCGATTAAAATGTCATTACTTTACTATTAAACGCAATGATGAGAATAAACTTGAATTACTTTTGTTTGCGCAACGTTCGTGTAGTTGTTGTACGCGCGTCTTTTTTTCCCGTGCTTCAACGAAACAGGCGAAGGTTGTACAGGTTGTACTTTCTGTGACTTTTTAGCTCACCTGAGCTAGCTCAGGGTGAGCTTTTAGGGTCGTCCGTCCACACTTGTTCGTTGACACTCTAGCGGTCACATTTTTGCCTCAATCATTATCAAACTTCGTCAGGATACTTATCTAGGTAATAGCTCAAATGAGTTCGAACATCGGTCATCTCGAATGAAAAACTAGGTCACAGGAGCTAAAAATAGAAAAACGTTGTTAACACTCTAGCGGTCATATTTTTCCCTCAATCATCATCAAACTTTGTCAGGATGATTGTCTAGGTAATAGCTCAAATGAGTTCGAACATGGGTTATCTCAGATGAAAAACTAGGTCACAGGAGCTAAAATTGGAAAATCTTGTTAACACTCTAGTGGTCACATTTTTGACTCAATCATCATCAAACTTGGTCGGGATTCTTGTCTAGGTAATTGCTCGGATGAGTTCGAACATGGGTCATCTCTGATGAACAACTAGGTCACAGGAGCTAAAAATAGAAAAACCTTGTTAACACTTTTTTTTTAAAATAGAGAATTTTTGGCCAATCATAACAAAGGAGGCAATCACTTTTAGACCAATGGGAACAGTCTTAACTAAGCAGGTGCCAGGGTGAAATATACCAATTAACGGACAAATTATATCATTTCCATGCTAAAACAAACTTGTTTTATAAATGTGGCACTCCATTGTGTACATATCTGATCAAATTAGTATCTATAAGAATCTACCACATTGAATTGGGGAATTACGTTCCTGACACTGCTTTAAAAAGACTTTCTTTCTTTTCTTTAAATATAGCATATTATAATAGTTGACCTGTTATAAGAGACGGTACTATTTATAAACGTCTCGGCCCTTTTAACTTTAAGTAAATTAAATATGCTGTTCACTATAAATACACGTAATTTTAACTTAGTATGGGAGCAATCCCATCTTATTCCTATCATGGGTTACGTACTTCTGTACGAACTTGTGATAAGAATTATGGCACACACGTAAACACATGTACCGATAAAACTATAGATTAATTAATACTAGTTCCCATATAAATTCAGTATGTTTTAAATGAAGTATATGCTCGCCCATATGGTTCATTCCGGTGGCGAGGGTAAACAAACTAAACACACACACACAATAGTGGTCACATTTTTTATTCAATTATCATCAAACTTGGTCAGGATGCTTGTCTAGGTAATTGCTCAGATGAAAAACTAGGTCACAGGAGCTAAAAATAGAAAAATCTTGTTAACACTCTAGTGGCTACTGTTTTTGGTCTGATTTTGTTGTTGTATTAGGTTTATTTTAGCTCGGCGCCGGAAATTCCATATGTCCGAGATCTCAGCGTCCATGCCGGTCCACTCTAGTAGTCTCATCGGGGACGTCTTTTTCATGCCGATCTTCCTAAGTCCTGTTCTTCGTTCGATGGAGGAAAGACAATACCGGAAAAGCATCAAGTTCCGTGACGGCTGCACACAGGCGGTTGACATAAAACGGCTCTTGTTAGCGCCACCCTCCAGAGTTAGTCACGACAGGTCAAGCAATCACCTCTGGTACTAAAGATGACTTGACCTTGACCTGCCGTGTGTCTTTTCCGCGACGTGCACGCCTCTGGAGGGATATAGAGAAGATTTTGGTCTGAAAGTTTGTTTTGGTGATTTATACGTCAAGATCGAATATAGGTCACCTTGGGTCAAAACTAGGTCACACTGCTGAAAATATGGATAATCCTTGTTAACACTCTAGTGGTCACATTTTTGTCTCACCTGTCATGAAACTTGGTCAGAATGCTTGTCTAGGTAATTGTTCGGATGAGTTCGATGGGTCAGGTGAGCGATCTAGGTCCATCTTGGCTCTCTTGTTTTTAATTATTGTAGCCTCCTTCTGTTTGGGGGGTTTGAAGGGGGCGGTAGTCCCCCTCATCGCCAAGAAAATAAATTTTGGACTTGTGAGAGGCTTAAAAATGATCCCAGGCCGATCATAAGGTAACGTGTAACCAACGCTGAAAAGCCTTTGACTCTATCTCAATCCATTGAGAAGTGGCAGCACTTTGAAATCAATTTTTGATGGAAAAAATCAATGCAAAATAGTGATTTTTGGCAATTTTGAGATGTCCCCTAGTTGCCATGGTAACAGGAAATTTAAGACTTACAAAGGCAATGGTCCAGTCAACATTTGCGCCAAGTTTGATTAGTATTGAAGCAGTTTTTATAGTTTTATAGCAACTTGATCTTGTAACGGGAGACTTTTCAATGGGTTAATTTAAATAAGTATAAATCCAACCTTATCCGGAGTTTGACGGAAAGTGAAGAAAAGTTGGTATTTGTTTAGTCTCTGCCTTAAATAGACTGGCCGGATTTCGGACAGAGCAGAAGCTTTCGATTAAAATTATATATTTATTATTTACAGACACTAGAAACTGACGTGAGCCAAAGAGATAAATTATAAGACATTATTTTCTTCAATATCATTGTTAAATTTTCGTTAAAAGCTACGTCTGTTTTACTATAATTTACACAGTTGTTGTCTTAGAATACAGCTACTTCCGGTCTTGCATGCTTGTGTTGAAATAATTTTTTTATTCAAAAGTATTGGTATAGTACTGTATATTTAGACTGTCAAGTCTATATAAAGTGGGTCTTTGCTATTCGAGAGATATTATTAGGATCATTCTATTATTCTGGTGAGTATCATAAAAAAATAAAGTTATAAGGATTGTACTGCAAGTTAGACTTGACAGAACTCTTATCACCTGATCACTTATTACTGTCTGGTTAGCATAAAGCTTTGATTTTTAGAGGTATACTGGTATATCAATATTAGCCAAATGAATCAGAGTTACTTTTAGTTTATATTTAAATGTAAAAAATATGTTCATTCCTAGTCAAACTATATTCAACAACTGTTCAATGAATCTGAGATAATAAAAAATTGAGACTAAATTATCTTTTGACTGCACTCAAATTCTTATATCAACTAAACATACATGTACATCCACTTTAAATGAACAACCAAATGACATTACATTAAGTGAAAATATTTTCATATCTTTATATCTGTAAAAGATGTCATTTTGCTTGAGATTGCTCAGCTTTGTGAATATTATGTGGCATATAAATTATAATACAAATTATACAAGAGCTTCAATCTGTAGTTATTTGTACCATATGGCTGGCAGAATCAATTCAACAAATTTGCTTGTTGTATTGGTTATTGTTTATTGAATATTAAAGAGCTGGCATTGATTCAGTTAAAAGCATACTGTTGATGTATCAATGTCGGATGACAAATGACAACAATACACTGATAAGTGATATAAATATCAATAACTACTCAGGAATACACTAACTAACTAATTAACTAACTTATTAACTAACTAACTTAAACTAATTAACTTACTTACTTACTAACTAACTAATCATCATACTTTAAATTAATTTACATCCTGTAAATCATTTATTATGGTGGAAAATTTAGAAATTATTGAAGAGTAGATGGATTTCGTAAGCATGACGTCTATTAGAAAGTATCATGATAAATTAATATTTTAAATGAACAAAAAAGTTTTACTCTTTCATGTTACTGTAGCAAAAAAAGCGCTGAAAATTGTTTCCTTGAACGGCTTTCAGCGCTATTCATACTTGCCGATGAATGGCTGTTGATGTTATCATCAAAAAGAGGCGAACGGCTGATGATGTTACTAAAATTTTGATGACACGCCAACTTAAATACCCTATAACTTTAACAGAAAAGCATTTTTAGCTCGACTTTTCTATGAAAAGGGGAGCTATCCTACTCGCCCCGGCGTCGGCGTCGGCGTCACACCTTGGTTAAGTTTTTCGTACCACCCCACTTTATTTCAGAAGTATTACAAGTATGGCTTTGAAACTTACCATACTTGTTCACCATCATAACCTCCATCTACAGACAAGAGTACATAACTCTGTCAAGGTTTTTGACAGAATTATGGCCCTTTTTTGACTTAGAAAGTGTATTGAGCTTGGTTAAGTTTTTTGTACCACCTCACTTTATTTCAAAAACCATTGGAGGTATTGCTTTGAAACTGACCATACTTGTTTACCATCACGACCTTCATCAACAGACAAGAGGACATAACTCTGTCAAGGTTTTTGACAGAATTATGCCCCTTTTTGACTTAGAAAATACATTGAATATGGGTAAAATCCACTTATTGCCTTAACCCTTTGAGATATTGCTTTGAAACTTTTAATGCTATTTCACATCATTACCCCCATCTGTACGCAAGAGAAGGTAACTCTGTCAAGGATTTGTTTTAAAAATTAAGGCCTTTTATCGACTTAGAATCTTGGTTAAGTTTTTAGTACCAGTCCACTTTTTGACTGAACTGTTTGAGATATTAATTTGAAAGTTGGAATACTTGTTTACAATCATGATTCCCAAACATGTCCAGGAGAAGGTAATTCTGTCAAAGATTTTATTTGAATTATGGCCCTTAACTGTCAATGTTTTGTATTATAGGCAAGCACTAAAAAACTTAAAAAATCTAAAAAAATTCATTCCTATCCACTTGTTCACTTTACCATAAATTATGTCATATAAACATTGCTGTAATATTCAAGGGTATCACACAATTCAGTAAAATAATTCTTCACTAAATATCTTAATGCTCATGGCCATTGTTCACTTTAAAAATACAGAGATTCTTGTATTGCCTTTTACTGCAAAAACTTTTTTTATTGGCAAGCAATAAAAAAGTCGAGCGCGCTGTCTTACGGACAGCTCTTGTTGAAGATATGGTTTGGAATATTTAATGACGAAATGTTGATGTTTACAAATCGTAAGATAAAAGGATTTATTATCATGAGAAAATATAAGTTATGTGACTAAAAAAATAAAAATGCCGCATCTCATCAGATAGTGCGGTTGTTTTCAGTCAAAATTCACATGAAGTAAAGCTTGCACAGGGCCAGAAATTTGTTAGTATGCTCCTTTGGATGTTGACTATGATTCCATAACATTGATTTACTCGAATACAGTTGGGATATGTTAAAAATAGATGAATACTTACCGTCCTTCAATTGTGTTTCGTGCGCTGACATGTATATACTGGTACAGCTGTCTGCCCATTTGATTGTACAGTGTGAAAATGTGTATTTTATATAGATTGACAGAAAAATTTCAATGATATCGTTTCTATCAATTACTGTTCTAATAAAAGAATGTATTTTATTTGAAATAGATAACTGGTTATTACTGTTAAGATAACATTCACAGTTTCAGGAATTATCAAAAATGAGCTCTCAAAGGGGAAATGTTCAGAAATCAAGAGCACCGAAATACCAGAATAAATCTGCATTTAAGAACGTTTATCATGATACAAGCAAAAAGACCCAGCAAATTGTGAGCACGGTGGTGTCTGGAGTTTGTTCGAGATGCAAGGACTGTATTGACTGGAAGATCAAATATAAGAAATACAAGCCACTAACACAGCCTAAAACATGGTATAGTTAAACTTCTTATTAAATAAACACAATGACCCTGCAAAGGGGGTAGGGGAAGGGGTAGCATAAGGTCGCTTCTTCATCCATACATTTGCATTACATATCAGTTTGAAATCATTTCATAAATTTTCCATTAAAAAAAACAACAAAAAGAACAACAATGCATAATGATATGATTATTAAACTTTTAAGTTAATATAAATATCAAACATTACAAGTCTTAGTAATGTAACAGTACTTGTGTAATAACCATTTCTTTCCATTCACAATATTGAATTATTATGCCCTTAACATGCTAGAAATGAAAACTTTGCCACCAGACCAGCTGGACATTAGTGTGTGACCAGGCTCTATTATGTTGGATGACAAACTTCAAATTTTCATCTTTAAATCCCTAAAATTGATAATGGATAGTTCCAAAAAGGATAACCAGACAAGTCCATTTAAAAAAAAATTGCTGGTCAAGGGTCAGATAGCCTGAACTGAAAACTCAACAACCAAGATTTTTGTTATGAGTATTACTTGGAAACTATTTTATTATCAAAGAGTCATAATTCTGTCAAGCCCTGTATTTTTTATTATCTCCTTTTGTTTATTGTGTCGCCTCTACGGAGTAGTGGCGACATATAGGGATCACTTCTCCGTCGTCTGTCTGTCCATCCGTCCGTCACAAAACTTGTCCGGACTACTCCTCATAAACTACTGGTGCAATTTCATCCAAACTTTACAGTAATGATCAGTACCAAGTGTAGTTGTGCATATTGTCAGCATTTTCCGGTTCAATGATTTTTGTCAGAGTTATGGCCCTTTAATAATTTTTATTTTTAAAGTTTGTCCGGACTACTTCTCTTATACCACTAATGCAATTTCAATGAAACTTTACAGGATTGATCTGTAGCTCAAGTCCTTACGCATATTGCAAGGGTTTTCCGGTTGCTTGATTTTTGGCTGAGTTATGGCCCTTTGTTAAAAGGTGTTTTTTTCTGTGTGTTGCCAGAAACACAAAAGCTTGTCCGGACTACTCCTCATAAACTACTGGTGCAATTTCATCCCAACCTTAGTGGAATGATCAGTACCAAGTGTAGTTCTGTCGAAATTTTATGGTTCAATGATTTTTGTCAGAGTTATGGCCCTTTAATAATTTTTATTTTTAAAGTTTGTCCGGACTACTTCTCTTATACCACTCATGCAATTTCAATGAAACTATACAGGATTAATCTGTAGCTCAAGTCCTTTCACATATTGCATTGGTTTTCTGGTTGAATGAATTTTGACTGAGTTATGGCCCTTAAATGAAAAAAGTGGCTTTTCTTGTGTGTTGCCAGATACACGAAAGCTTGACTGGACTACTTCTCAAAAACTACTAGTGCAATTTCATCCAAACTTAACAAGAATGATCAGTAACAAGTCTAGTTGTGCACTGTCCATCTGTCTGTCTGTCCATCTGTCACAAAACAATGTCTCCCAACATGAAATTGGCCATTATGAGGCGACACATGTGATTACTGATCGCTCTTGTTTTTAAATTACAACAATGTACATGTATTTTACTAACTGCAGCACAACTCTAGGACTATACAAGAGACAATACAAGACTTTAAAAATAACAAAAGAACAATGAGAAATGCTTGTTTTGGTTAATATCTACCTTTCTTGTGACTCAATTACAATGATACGTTTTTATCTTACATTCTATTTCTGTCAAACCTTTTGTAAGACTGTAGACTTAACCAGTGTCACTTTTCTTTATTTCTCAGCGTAATATGTAAACAGAAGACGGTGAAGCAGGCTTACCATGTGATGTGTAATAAATGTAGTGCAGACAGTAACAAGTGTGCAAAATGTGGTGAGAAAAAACAGGTTGTAATAAAGTAAGTACCAGTACAATGTGTACGAAAAAAAAATCTTCACCATTTGCTTTACAAGAACCTGAACTGTGTTTAATTTGTCTAAATTTTACATTTTGTAAATTCTTTTTTTCGTAAATTGTTCATTGTTTTTGAAAATTGTTAATATGTCTACTTATTGCAAGTAATGTAGCAAGCAAATGATCAAATGATTTGATAAATCTTTAAAAGCAAATCTTTTTTTATTTTAGACCTAAGTTATCAGAGGCTGAACAAGCTGTTGAAGACAGGGAGTTACAGTTTGAATTGGAGCAGTTACCGGAGAGGAAAAGAAGTAAGTGCTTATAGTAAAATACAGATAAACCTTTTTACTTTCAGGCCCAAGGTATGTTTCACTTTATGAAAATATATCCAACAAAGTAATGTGTGGAGGAGCAATATAGGTCAATAGTTCTGTTAGGGTGATGTCCTGTGCCTGAACTAATGCACAGGGTGTCACCTAATGGTTATCTTTCTCAACCATTTAAACTGAAAATTCTCATGTAAACTTAACAAGATAGGTATAACTTGGTAGCTAACCATCGATAAAAGCATAAGTCGAAATATCAAAGAAAATACAAGATTTAAAAGAAAATTTAATGGATGAAATGGCTATACATGTATCAGAGGTGAGGTGTCATGATTCTTAATATCGGACACCTTATGTTTGCCACCAATTTTATAAACAACATCTGGTTCCTTTCTGTCAAATCTACCCAATGGTGAGGAAAGAGTCGTTGTTTAGTCAGATCAGAATGATGAAAATACTTGTATGGATGGACCATTAAGTAGTTTTCACAAATGATTACAGTCTGAGACTGAGTATTGCTAGCATTATTCAGGTCAGTGTACAAGGTCATGGGACACCAATGATTATTAAATATTTCAGGGATGGCAACAAATACCAAAACTAATACTCCAGTACTCAGTCATTTTTCCTATCGAGTACTCAGTTACTCGAATGATTTCCAATGATCTTCTAAGTTTTATCACACAATATCAACACCGTCTGCATGCTACTTTTGTTTCCTATTTAAATTCATATAATTTGTAACTATAAATAGGACTGCAAAGGAGGTAACTTAGAATAACACAATAAACAAATTAATTAAAATTAAATCAACAACATTATATTTAAAAACCTTTTAATTAATGAACAATTTAAGGTTATTAAATATGGTAAGAGGCTGAATGACTTAAGGGTATGGTAAGAGGCTGAATGACTTAAGGGACACAGCTGTTCAATCCCATGTGTGTCAAACTGTTGATCACCTGGTTAAATTTAAGATATCATTTTTGCACCTCTGCAAGGATGTTTTGATTGCATTAAACAGGTATTTATGATGATACGTGTACATCTCCTAATAATCTTTCTAAATGACAAAAATAAAATAATAAAAAAAAATTATATATTTTTTCCAAATAATCGAATATCAAACTGGTATTTGAACGTTCGTTGGAGTGCTCCGTTAACCTAGTTACTTCTTGCCATCCCTACAATATTTCCTAAATGCATGGATGCATTTTAGACTTACTTGGTGCATATGCTCTCACAACCATCAGGTGTGGTGGTGCTCACATGAACCAGGTCCCTAGGTCAAAGGAGAGGGTCAACTTAGAGATCAGACTGTTGTACATTTTGTTCATTGAACTATTTATTCTAAATTTGTGTAATGATTCTGTCTTGATGTTGATTGAGATTAGGCTATTGTTAGATTCATTGTTATCAACAAAATCATCTTTGTACATAGCATTCATACTTCTTCATTCATTTTGGCAGTAAGTTATGTTACTTTTAATTTATATGCAATATGTTTACTGCATGAAGTTGGATTTAAAATTTCATTTCAGGAACGTTTCTAAGGTTGCAAGAGAAAGGACAACTGAATGGGATGGATGCTGATAACCAGTTTAATGGAAGTGATAAAGGTTTTGATGATGATGATGCTGAAAGTGGTGACGAAGATGATGATGTTAGGGCTCAAGACGATATGACCGATTCATCACCAATGAATACTGAAGACTGTAATAAACAATTTGCTGAAGGAACAGTGAGAAATGAAACAGAAAAAAACACTACAGAGTTAAATTCAGCTCCTGTTGTCACGAAAGTAGAGAATGACAACAAACCTGTAGATGGAAAGGAAGACATTGATGTATCTAAACTAGCAATTTCTGCATCTAATGAAAATGATTGAGTAAATATTTTAATTCTATGACTAAAAAACTTTGTGTAATAAAAGCTTGATACATCATTTATTTGTTTTGTTATTATCCCCCCACAACATATCTATGCAGAATTATTTTAAATCCATCCAGGAATGATGGAATAGTTCATCAATTCACTTTCATGAATAATTTATATCATGACATTGTCAAGTTCAATTCAGAATTGCACTGTACGAGTACACAGCATAAGACAAGGCACTAGCGGAGTCTTGTGTAAGTTTTGCAGCCTTGTACTAGTCCAATAGAATCAGTATTGTACTCATCAATATTAAATGATATCTTTAATAATCTTTGACATATTGACCATAATTTTTATTTTGAGAACAATAAAGATTTGACATGGATTATTGCTCTTGGATTGATGCAAGGTGAAACATTACTTACTCTTTTGGACTTGCAAAAGGAAAATAAGGCTCAATGGATAAGATTGGATCCAAAACTGATTTATTTCGGGAAATCACATGGTACAAACACTTGAAGTTCATTGTTTACATCTAATCATCTTGTGTGTAATAAACTTGGATATTTAAATGTATAATTCTGATCTCCTTAAGGAAATATTCTAGACATTGGTTGCAGTATTATGAAAATGATTTTGTCAACAAATAATAACAGTCAATGCGAAAGTCAAAATTTTTTTCCAGCCACAAGGACTGGGATCCTTAGATTTATTTCCGGCCCTGATGATTTTTTTGCGGCCCGGACTCTGAAAGGTATTTTTTGTAGGGGTGGGTGAGGGATTATTGCCATAATTAACAAAAATATTCAGCAAATATGAATTATCAGACTCAACTATAAGATACTATGAAGAAAAAAAATACAGAAACATAATAAATAAAACAGTTTTGCATATTTTAGGCCAAAAATTGTTTCAAACTGGCTGAAATTTTATTCGGACATGAGGACTGACTGTATCGAAATTTATCTCGGCCCTCCTGATTTTTAGTTGGCGAGGTCCGAGGACTGACAGACTTTCGCACAGACTGTAATAACATGTATGTATTTAAATTTGTCATTAACTATTTTTCATTTATTTTTTAATTCCACAATAAAAAAAATACAAAATAAGTCATCATACATCATTTCAAATTTCTTTCATTTTGTAAAGGCTGAAATTATTCATTTAGATGGGTAGAAAGATGGAAAACATTGCTATGATCCATTAATACAAGTATATAGCCCTAAATAATTTGAAAGCATTTGTTTAAATACCTGAATACAAATAAATACAAATTACATTTTTTATAATAACAGCTTCTATTAAAACATTAAAGTGAAGATGTTGCAGGAAACTTGTACAAAACCTGGTTTTCAACCAATATTACATATTTGGGGTCATAAAAATTATGACCATTCGTTTTTCTTCAATATACAATGATTAAATCACAAAACCCTGACAACATGCACATGTACTAGGACACTTGATGACAAATATTCTATGTTTCATTGAAGTTTCTTCAGACTGTAAGATCTGCATAATGAATAAACCATTTACGTCCAGCTGTGTGCTGAAGTTCACCAACTAATAAATGTAGAATAACAGTTTTCCAATGAAAAATCTGCTTTGATATAAGGAAACGATTATAGTTTACTACTGTAATCAAAGGATGAATTTCACTATCTGAAACAAAAAATTTTCAGATCATCTTTTTGAGATTTCTTTAAAATCATATCAAAATCATTAATTATTTGACAAACAAAATCTGAAGAACATTAATTCAAAGTTTATACCTGACGTGCACACTCAAATACATATATCACAAGTAAATTCTGATATTTAGCACTTATTTAATGATTCTTATTGCATGGTATAGTCTTTGTTGTTTTCCTTCTTCGATGTTTCGAAATATGCAAATCATATTTTAATTACATGTAGTTTTGAAATATAAGTCAACAAATGTGCATCTTTGCTTTCACATTCTTGTTGATTTCCAGCTACTGTCATATCCGAATATGGAATGTGCTGAAAATAGAATTTAGATTTTTTACATGATAGTGAACAAGAGGGTACTTAATTGCTTACATTGATACTCATTTTAATGACTGATGGTGTATAACTGTGAAGAAACCTTGTATAATGTGTAATCTTGGTGACTTGGAACATGCCAGAGGTGTTGTAAATTATATACACTTTCCAGTTGTTGATTTCCTCATTAAGTTGTTAACCATAATGCCAATTTGCAATAAAATTATTGCACCTCTGAATGGATGTTTTACTTACATACAAGAAATTTAAATGTTTTTGTAGTGAACATGTCCTCTTCGGAACATAACAAAAATATTAAAAAAAATGATAATCTTACTTAAGAAAATCTGGGGACCTTGAAATCACGTGTTCAAATTCAATGTAAGATAACATATTATCATCATCTAGATCAGCTTCCTCTATAACCTGAAATATTCAAAACAGTGATAACTTTAGTAATTATGTTCAAAAGGTTAAGTGAAAAAGATAGATAAGCAAGCCCTTTTATCATACAATAGAGGCCTTTATCACACAACACAAGTTTTTACAATAAAAAATAATCATACAATGTTAAGTCAATGCTAATCATATCACATGAGCTGATAGTAGGACAGTGTGCTTGACTATTATCAGTGTTTTGATAGTAAAAAAAAAAGTCTGGATAATGTAGAAATTATCATAATGGAAGATTTCATTTAAAAAATAAATGACATTCTAGAGTTTTGAATACTGTTGAAGGAATTTTGAAAATTCACAAAGGGCCATATTTAATAAAAAATTCACGCCAAAAGTTATAGGTCTTAGAAAGTGACTTCTTTTTAAATTAACTGTTTTAAGGGCATAACTGGTGATATGTCCGGGGTCAATACTTGACAGCTTACGATGCTTTTCATGCCTTAACAAATAGACCCTCATTAAACATAGGTATCATTCATATGTGGGTCAGTCTGGTGTTGTCCGTGTAAGAGAGGTAACAAAGCTGTAAATACATACTTATACACAGAAATCTCGGGGAAAACTATGCAGACTGAATTTATACTTAAGGCACAGGCATGTTTGGGGTAGAAGATAATGGAACTACCTTTTCCACAATAAAGGCAATCTCATCTTCTGTTAGCTCATTTCTTGTCAAGCATCTCAATGTATTTTGCAAATCTAAATGGTCCAAGTAATTGTCACCATCAAAATCTGAAGAAAATTAATGTAATTATGCAACTTTTACTGTATAAATATGAATTCATGAGTTACAAACATAATACATTTGTAGATTGATTCCTACCAAAAAATTCATCTGCTATTTTTAGTAAGTGTAGCCCATGTGCCATCAGCTGGTGTACAATTTCAAATTTTATTCTTTATGAATTTTATCAAGAAACAAACTACCAGTTATAAACAGTCCAATATAGGTTTTTACTTTTTAAAACTTCAAAGAATTTTACCATATATTTTGAATGCATAAATACATTTTATGTCCCTTGGAGCTGCCTCTGAAAACACAGAAAACATGTCCAGAAAATCATCAAAGTTCATATCACCTGACCCATCCTCTGAAAATACCTGGCATATCCTTTCACAAAATGGGTTCTCCTGTAAAGAAAAATAAATCATGGAGTGTTTATTATAACATATAACATATACTGGTTTTACACACACCTGGTATGCTAAAGTTATGATAAGTGAGCTTCAAGTCTTGTTTTGTAACATCAATTTCAACAGATGTAAAGGATTTTTCTTAGTATGACAATTATATATAAATCTTGAATATAGCAGAAAGGCAAATAGAAATAAATGATTTTATTAATCTCCATCAGCATTAATAATAAAGACTGACATTATTAATGACAAAGCTGAAAGCCTCCAGATGAGCAAAATATTTCAAGAAAATCAACTTAAGAAAATTGTTCTAAGATTTTAAGAAAAGCAAAAATATTTAAGATTCAAGTAATAATTTACATCTTTCATGTAATGAATGACTGATTTTGCAGTATTAATCATCATATTTCTACTGTGTGACTCACTGACTGATGCAGTAAGGGCTTTTCTGCATATTTTTAACATTGGTAATTTACGTGGACTGAAAATGCTGTTTTGCAATGTTTAACTTACTTTCTTGATTCACTTGAAATATTTTACTTTTTAACACATTTTTAAAATTTTCATGAAAATTAGCATTAATCTGAAGATTTAATTAACTTTTATACCCTCAGCTCTGGCAAAAGTTCCAGTTCTGTGTATGGTATTCTGCATTTTTTGGCCTTTCCATTTTTCATATCTGAAGGCACACGTTTAGGTGACAATTCTTTAAATCGTTTGAAAATTCTGTAACCAGAAACAAACAATTTAAGGTAATTGACTTGTGATATGATAATTAATCTTTAATCATGAAGTTATGAAAACATTTTTTCCATGTAAAAAAATGAGCAAGGAAATACTTCTTCTGAATTTGAACCAATATATTTCATCCTGTTTTAGATAAAAGCTTGTCATTTCAGCCACTCAGATAAAAGGTAATATTTTTCATATAGGTATGTCATGTAACAGTTTTTAACCAGGTTTTCCGAAGGAAAAAACTGGTTATTAGATTGAGGTATGTCGGCGGGCGGATGGGCGGACGGGCGGGCGTAAACAATTTCTTCTGTGCGCAACTCCTCCTACATTTCTCAACGGATTTTGACCACACTTTCACAGAAGCTTTGTCATCAAGTGCCCTGGCGCATATTGTCGGGGTTTTGCCATTGGATAATATTTGACCTAATTATGGCCCTTTGTTGTTTTTTCTTATATAGAATATATAGTGAACAATTTCTTCTGTGCGCAACTCCTCCATCATTTCTCAACGGATTTTGACCAAACTTTCACAGAAGCTTTGTCATCAAGTGCCCTGGCACATATTGTCAGGGTTTTGCGATTGGATAATATTTGACCTAATTATGGCCCTTTGTTGTTTTTTCTTATATAGAATATATAGTGAACAATTTCTTCTGTGCGCAACTCCTCCATCATTTCTCAACTGATTTTGACCAAACTTTCACAGAAGCTTTGTCATTAAGTGCCCTGGCACATATTGTCAGGGTTTTGCAATTGGATAATATTTGACCTAATTATGGCCCTTTGTTGTTTTTTCTTATATAGAATATATAGTGAATTGGGCAACTCCTCCATCATTTCTCAACGGATTTTGACCAAACTTTCACAGAAGCTTTGTCATCAAGTGCCCTGGCACATATTGTCAGGGTTTTGCGATTGGATAATATTTGACCTAATTATGGCCCTTTGTTTTTTTTCCTTATATAGAATATAAAGTGAACAATTTCTTCTGTGCGCAACTTCTCCTACATTTCTCAACGGATTTTGACCAAACTTTCACAGAAGCTTTGTCATCAAGTGCCCTGGCACATAATGTCAGGGTTTTGCGATTGGATAATATTTGACCTAATTATGGCCCTTTGTTTTTTTTCCTTATATAGAATATATAGTGAACAATTTCTTCTGTGCGCAACTCCTCCTACATTTCTCAACGGATTTTTACCAAACTTTCTCAGAAGCTTTGTTATCAAGTGCCCTGGCACATATTGTCGGGGTTTTGTGATTGGATAATATTTGACCTAATTATGCCCCTTTGTTTTTTTTCCTTATACAGAATTATCAATATATAGTGAACAAATTCGTCTGTGCTGAACTAGTCCTACATTTCTCAACAGATTTTGTTAAAACTTTCACAGAAGCTTTGTCATCAAGTGCCCTGACCGTTGACGCATATTGTAGAGGTTTTGTGATTGGATAATTTTTGACCTAATTATGGCCCTTTGTTTTTTTTCCTTATACAGAATATATTTTTTCCTTATACAGAATATATAGTGAACACTTCTTCTGTGGCAATTCCTCCTACATTATTCATGTTTTACTTTGCACATAGTTACATTGTTTATTGCTTGTATTTGTATTTCAAATGCAACATATTTATCTACAATGGAGATAATTGAAAACCTGGTTTCGTGGCATTGCCATGTTTCATGTTTTCCTTATCTTACAGTTTTTGATGTAATAATAATGTCAGAAGTGGGGCTTTGTAGTCTCAGAAATGGGGCTATGTAGTCCTCATTCACACAGCTTATGTTTTACAGTCATATACCTGCTGAAAGTTGTCGATCAACAAACGGCTGCATTCCTGGTTTTTAAACCAGTATTAAAATGTTGTTAAAAGTTCCATAGTATAGCTACCATCATTTTAATATCTTTCCCAAAATAGACAGTGATTTTTCTCACTTCATTGGGAAGAGGCCTTAGCCTCTTGATTTTGGGAAAAATTATCGCTAAAATTGCTGATTTGGGAAATAAAAAAGCTGGTTTAAGTTCAGATCTTTGGGAAAACTGCATGATTTCAAAGAAAATTTCAATTGGGAAGAGGCCTTTTTTCGGAGTCTGTTATTTAAGTAGGAAAATCACTGATAGACAAGAATAAATTGCAAAAGAATGGAGCCCAGAATATAACATTGTTATTTTCTGGGCTCCATTCTTTTGCAATTTAATTTATTCTTGCTTTAAGGACTGTAATTACAAGTTCAACTCTTAAAAGTTACTTGTTTGTGTATGATATCAAAGACTGGTTATAATTTCATTAAAATTTTACTTCTTTTAAAAAAAGTAAAGTAATAACGAGAAATTTCATTTACCTTAGAATTTCTTTTCTTGTAAAGAATGTGCAATCCTGCAATTATAAAGTTAAAAGTGAACAACATTATTGATCATTATCAGTAAAATAATTATGTCATAAAGATAGCAAACTGTATAGAATTCATGTTTATAAACTTTATTTAAGGCAAAATCTTACAAATTTCAAGTGAAACTTTAAAATCCAGAGTTATATCACTATCCGAAATACTACGCATTTTAGTTTACGGTAATATAATAATCATTTCCCCAAAAGTCGTGACTATATTGCCGAAAATGTTTAACCTGATATGCCTCTAGTTGTTCTTCACTAAATGCTGTCACTTTATTTCCCATTTTTTATTTGTAATTTAAATAAACTAATGTTTTCATTTTGTTGTTGTTGTCGTTGTCTGCTCTTTGGACCTGAAATCAACTCAAAGTTACAAAACTGGTGGCAAGGAAATGACTTGCCTTCCCATGTTTCGCTGAACAGTTTGGGGCCTTTCAATTCAACAAATTTTTTTCCTCTTTTCAGTGCTGTTTTTGTTTAAAAAAGAAGATTTATAATTAGAAAAATATAATCTTCCATACAGTAGATCTATCTAGTTTGGTCTTCTTAGCCATGTGTGTGTATTATATAAATTGGCTGTCGGGGTGATAGAGGATATTGTCAATTCGAGAACGCGAAATCACCCCGAAGTGCACCCTTTTCTTTAGATGTCAAATCATGATCAACAAAAACGCTTAATATTGACTAAAAATAGAAAAAAATAGTCAAAGGGAATTAACTAGTACAATATTAAATTCGGAATTATGTAGGTGTTATCTCCCTTACACACCAAAAAATATTGTTAATTGCTGAATAGTGAGTTATGCCAGAGTTGTGTACCTCAGGTTGTATATAAGAAATATTCCCCGGGGAATATATCCTAGGAGGGAGATATTCAGTCAGAACACAACATATGCATATGTGAGATATATAGAAGTATAATTATCATCTGTGCATGCCTTCGAAATTTTAGAAAGACCATATAAAGCCAATGTACAAACCTATAGAGACTCTACACAACTAAAGAGGATTGTTGACAACTTGACAAGTATACGAAGAAATTAAGAAAGAAGACTTAAAGAAACTACATGAGTTTTATACTGGTGGTAACAGTTTATGGACAGTTGATATACAAATTAAAATATGCCGTTAATTATATCTAAGAAATCGGTGCAATGCCATGAGAACGTACAGTAAGAGTGATTGAAGGAAGAAAGGACAAACACGAAACTATATTTTCAACCCAAAAGTGTTATGGATCTTGAACACTACACTACTTATTGACACATTTCCGGCTAGAATTAATTCCAATACTTTTTGTTGTTATGCTCCGCACATGGCCGGACAGACGGACAAGCTGATTCCAGTATAGACTCTTCCAACTTTGCTTTACAGTGGAATAAATATTGATTGAGATAATTCTTAAATGCAATCAGGTAAAATTTTGACAAGGATTACTTCGCGTTTTCTACTTGCTTTTTCGCTGATTTTTGAATGATGGTTAATGTTACATCACGTGATACAGGTATGATATGTTACCGATATGTAAAAAGATAATTATGAAATGGTACCCAGCAAACACGGGACGTTAAAATAACGTCGGATTGACGTTAGATTTTGGTCATGACGTCGACGACCAAAATACGACGTAAATCTGACGTCCAAAAATCGATGTCTATTAGTCGTTTCTTTTTGACGTCGTACTAAATAGAGGATATTGAATGAGTGTAAGTCCAATACTGAATTTATTGCACGAGTTGAATAAAATTATATTATGCGAGCCTCTGGCGAGCATAATATTATTTTATTCAACGAGTGCAATAAATTCAGTAATGAACTTACACGAATTTAATATTCTATTTATCACAGACCCAAAATAAAGACCATTTAAAGTGAAATAAGAGTCATTTTTCATTGACGCGCCTATAGTATAACGCTAACATTTAGCGCGTCTTTACACTATGTTTGTATTACGCTAATGACGGCACGTCAAAATATATGCACGGCCGTGCAATACCATATTTACGGAGTCGCAAAATCGGCACGGGTGTGTGATAAAGTCGGGTTCTGGTCGGTGACCTGAGGGTAAGTAATTATAACAAACAAAAAAACCTAATTACGCTGTTGTTATCATTTTTTTTCAAATGTTATTTGGCATAAGGGGTATATATACAGGTGCCTTTCGAAAGCGAAGTGCGCGGCGTTACAACCTAATAAAACATATAGGTGGCACTGTATATAGGCAAGTTGCATGTTATTATTATGAAATCTGTTTATAGCCACAGTACCAGGTACGTTGTACAAGTATAATTATGTTGACGCCTTTGTCTCCGTCACGGTTGCCGTACATTCAGAATTCGTACATTATTTCAGTTACATGTACCGACTTTCATATTCAGGACATTTCGAAGATTACCAATAAAATGATAGTAAATATACACCACCGGCCAGTGCAATGAAAATCTGCTTCTAAAAGTACGTCTATGGGGCCATTAGGTTTGTAGTTTGGTGCAAAATAGCAAAGGCTTTTTTCCAAGTTGCAGAGTGAAGGACTTTTAGCGAAAATTTTACCATAATTATAATTTTCCCCGCAGGACAGAGCCTTTAAAAGAGGTCTGTTAGTGCAAACTATGGCAATTTCAAGTTTTAGCTTGTAAGTACTTAAAGTAAGGAGCTTGTTAGTATTTAGAGTCAGGGGCCTTAAGGTGCTTAAAGTAATGAATATTGTAAATTTTTAAAGTAAGAAGGCTTTAAGAAATTAAAGGAGCTTAAAAGAACTGTACTTAAAGAACTTTTAAGACTTTAAGAAAGAAGTCTCTAATTAAGAATCTAAAATGTTCTATACTGTTAGTGACAGTTTGTTGATACCGACAAATACACGTACTTTCAAGCTTTACTGGTGGAGGATGATCTCAGGTGCTCCTTCGTACATTATTTCAGGCTCGAACGGACACCTTAGTAGAACCACAGAAGTTGCGTAAGGCCCTGTCACACTAGACTGCGCTTTTATTTTTGATGACACGGAGACTTCACGGCGATCATGGCGTTGCTACATAGCTTCCACGACATTGTTGTTCTCTACGCTTTCACTGCGCTTTCATGGCGCTCACACTGCGCTGAAATCGTAAAGTACTATCCGATTCCACTGCGATGATGCGGCCATGCTTGTGATCTTACTGCGATCACTTCGGCGTTCTGAATTTTCTTAGTTGGACGCCGTGAGAACGCCGGGCTAGTGTGACACGGGTTTTAAGTAGCTAACTGGATAGCTTCCTCACGTAAAAGAAGAATTTAAACTCTTGCTGGACCAATGGAATTCCTATGTGGTTACAGTTTACACCCTTATTGAATAATAAAAAAAACGCTAACACGTGCCGTAACTTAGCGCAAGAAAGACACTGGCAGTAACAAGTTATCAAAGAACTCTAGCTAGGCATTTGAAAAATCGGGCCTTGTTAGCCGGGGTTTTATGTATGCAACTTTCCATTATAATTAGGTAACCATGTACGGCAAGGAATAAGATCACAAATGAACAAGTCAATATGACCAAATAATTTGGAAATTTTACCCTACCAGAGTTTAAACAAGAGGCGATGAAAAATGGACTATAAAGTGTTCTTTTTTCTGACACATAATATAATATGTAAGGCAAGCTTAATCATCAAAGTTTAATAAACACATCAAACTCTCTTTTTAAAAGTTACAATTACCATTTTTGAGGAGTGTCTCTTCAGTATATACAAATGTTTACCGACGAAATCCGTACCGTTTCCAGAAACTCCGTGGCAGTTATCAGAATTATCAGAAGAACTCCTGACAAGTTACCATAAGAACTCCATTCTCCGTGTGACTGTCCCCCACCCCGTGATTTCTGAAGGCGCCAAAAAGTCGGATATCCTTTACTTATAAAATAATATAACATACTGAAGAGATTGCTTAATGACGAGGTCTAGTGTTTTGAATGTTGACTGGATTCTTTCTTTTTGAGTTCGCCTATTTATAAAAATCAGAGATTATCATATATCTTTTAATTTAAGTTGTTACTGTGATATTGAACAAGAAATCTTTTTTGAAATGTCCAGGGGTAATGAACAGATGGTAGGTATTTAACGGTAGTCAAAGTCCTGACTATTTCTTAGATATAAGGGAAATTGTGGTTATGAGTAAATGGTGCAGCTTAATATTCTTCTTGCTTTGTGCTGGTGATAAGCATTCGATTAAAAGTAAATCATGCTGAATTTGGTGTCAAAAATTTCAAGAGTTATATGAATATGTGTTTGTAAAATTGTAAAAAAAATCGCTTTCAAATTGTGACATACATCTTGAAAAACACAATTCGTGCTACGCTTCTGCCTATGAGTTTTTCAGCTCGCAACAACCGAGTGAGATGCAGTATTGTAAAATGGTTTGCGATCCCTTCGGAAAGGACTGCACAGGGTAATTATTATCAAAGGGAAGTAACTATCACATATCAGGTTTTTTATTATGAATGTACGATTTGTCTCCCTCATTTTGAAATGAATTTCTGTATATAGCTAGGCCAATGAAAAAAGTCGATGTGTTTCCTGTGTACCCTTCAGCTTCCATCCATATTTTTGTACCTAGAACATAGTCTTTACACCTTACAAGTCTTTTTAAAGGAATATTAAGTTACAACAAGTATTATTTTCACATTTCAGTGAATCTACCTGAAATTTCTGAGGACAGTATGACAAATACTGTTTCTTCAATGAAAGCGTGTGTATTCGAAGATTTTATTCATGGTTTCAAAGATATTTTGAACTATAAAGATACTAACATCAATAATATATGCCTTAAAATCGGTAATTCAACATTTTAAGAGCACACACACGTTTGTTTATTAATATGGAGACAGGAACCACATTGCTTTTTCTAATCTAGCCTTAGGAAAACAAAATTTCATTTGAAAAAAAGGGAAACTAATCTAACCTGAAAATCTACACTGTAAATTATCTCCCTTAGTTAGAAAATTTGGTGAAGTGGTAGATACATGATGTAGTCTTCTATTCAAATGTCAAGATGTGCTAACATTTATTATTATTTACCAGCCATTTATAGCCAAAATCGCACAACACCCCAAGAAAGCAAGGGGATAGTTGCGTATACTTTTATAGTCATTCCTACACTGCTTAAAGAGATGATGCGGGTGTGTCGCTTCGTAGTGTTGAGCATTTAGTGAAGATTTACGCCACTGACCAATGCATTCCTTATTATTTTACTTTTAAAATGCATGATGGTGGCAATTTTTTTTAAAGAATGTCCTATATGATGTGATGCTTTCTCGGGTCTTTCAAACAGAAGACTTATTTCATCAGTAGAAAAAAAATCAGGATAGATGAAGTATCTTTATAAAATTCATTTTCATAACATTACTGAGATCTTTAAACACTTACTGAAATTATGATCTTGGGTGCTATTATCTTGGTCCCTCATCTTCCACTGTACTGAAGCTACAAGGCTTTGATCCAGAGTCCATTGCGCAATTCAAAATAATAAATACCATACAACGGAAACATATTAAGTAATTAATATTGTGTAAATTTCAGGTTATGGTAATATTTCTTGTAAAACTTGTCTTTTTTTATAGGACAAGCAGCAGGTAACTCATTTACGAGGTTCTTGTCCTCCTCGTGTGCAGCTGAAAATGTTTCTTTTATAATACTTTAAGTTAGAAAAATAGTTTTCATTCTGTATACTAGTATCTGAAAGCTGTAGAGAATATCCTACATCCCATCAAGGCATAATAAATGCTCCCAGATTGATAGATCGGGAGATAATATTGACCAAGATTCGTAAGTTTGTTTTTGTTTGACGCTAAACTTTTAATCTTGACCATTCACCTTGGTGAGCTCTATCCGCCAGAACCACTTAAATGTCAAAGTCACCAAATAGCCAATATTTACCGCGGTCATAGAATAAAATTCAAAAATTTGAACTTCAGGTGTGTATGCATCTTCATAAGGTAACAGGTCATTGTTAATATCAACCGTGGCTGCGAAACAGATTCTTTCTTTCCGTCTTCAAAGCCTTCAAAGTCCAAAATGTATTCCACCTGATTCGCTCTACCAGTAAGACCCATTGGCAGGTCACATGGTTAAATTACAAGGGACAATTGATATTAATAACTTTTAATGAAGCGGACAATTAATATTAATAACTATTACTGAAAAACAGGCATTAGTTCAAAATGTAGGTCAACTGATATATATGTTAAAATTTACAGTTCTAGTTTCAAAACAAACAGTAGTCCACTAGTGCAAACTCCAGATTAACAAAAACAAAAAAATAATGTAATGTGATACTGTATAAAAGGTCCACATTTTAAAGCAGTAACTCAGAACACAAGAAAGAGGTCATGCACAAAGTAAAAGTATAGTCAACTGATAACAAAATTAAATACTGCATCTGAAGCTATCCAGATAGTCCAAATTTCAAAGCTGTAGCTCTTAATACAAAAAGTAGGCCACTGAGGCAAGTTCTTGGTCATTTGATAACAAACTCATTGGCATGTAAAAATGTACTCATTGTCAACAAAAATCGTCATCTATACAACTTACATCAAAATAATTCAGTGGTTGCTAAGAAAAGCGAACGAATGGTTCTATGGAAGATATTGGTTGCTAAAGAAGGTTAAAGGTTGCTATTGATGTCACTGGTTGCAATGGAAAGTCAATGGTTATTATGGAAGATAGTGGTACTTAAAGGAGGTTAACGGTTGCTGTGGAAGTCACTAATTGCAAAAGGTATTTAAAAGTTGCTATGAAAGTCAATGGTTGTTAAGAAAAGTCAATGGTTGCTATGGAGTCACTGTTGGCTATAAAAGTCAGTTGTTTCTATTGAAGTCACTAGTACTGGTGAACTGCTTGACAGCCTGCCCAGGAAAGATGCGGTGGCTGAACTGTGCTCTGGTTAATTCAATGTGGTTTACTGCCGTGATCCAGTGCGAAACTTACAATACCATACCATGAAGTCTTTAGTTGCTATGGAAAGTCAATGACTGCTATAGAATTCACTGTTTGATTATTCAAATGTCCATTATACAATGTCTAGACTCTTTAGGTTTTACTATATACATTACATGTAAAGCAGGGCTAATTTAACCACCAGGGCTATAACTAAAACAAACTTGGTAGCCATATTTCTACAGTTTGCAACATAGAAACATTTAAGGAAAAGTTAAAGGTGGGTTTTTATCTGTCAAGCAAAATTTAAGGGTAGATTTTTGTGTAGTAGGGAATTGTCTTCCAACCCAGGGTCTTATATGCTACTCTTACTAGACTTTACTTTCAGGTGCTAAATTTTATGATTTTGATATTAATTTTCTACAATTTTCAAACAGGTCATCAAGTGCACAACAGCAATATAGCAGCTATTTACTCATTCATGGACTGGAATCTTCGTTGAATCAGTAAGTTACCAGTGTTCCTTTTTCACTATGGTATCCAATCTGACAATGATTTATTGAAGTTTTCAAGAAATCAAAAAGAAGATGAAAATAATGAACACAAAATAATTACCTCATTTTATTTCATTAACAAATTCCTCAAAACCGTACAAACAAGATAAACAATAAGTCAACACAATGAGCAATTTTGATCAAAAGTCACATGCAAGGATTTCTGCCTCAAAATTTTTCTCATCTTCAATTGCTTCATCAATTTTGCGTATTTCTTCATCATAATTTATTTTCCTCTGAATAAGGTCATTCAATTCATATGACCCTACTAGGAAGTCAAAGTTCATCCAATGACCAGATGGTCCCCTGAATAGATCACCTTTCTGTTGTAATAATTCAGTCACCTGGATTTTATTTTCAAATGGCAGTAGTGAATCATTATTCCATTGTTTGACAATTTCTATGTTCTTATTGAAGTCACTATTTTGTATCTTTACAGATTGAATATCCTGAAAAAGAAATAAAGCAGAGAATGATAATCTAGAAAAAACTGCAAGATAACATCTACTATCTAGAAATGTGTCCATACAATTTGACCTTTGACCTCCAACTGCAACCTTGGCCTTGAAGGTGTAAAAATGGATTTTGCACACAACATATCAATAATATTAGACTGTGGTGAAGGCATATGCCAAATATTCTGACAAACTATCAAGTTATGACAAAGTTAGAAGCCCGACAAGATATGAACTTTAACCTCCAAGTATGACCTTGACCTTGAATGTGCGGACATTGGTTTGCTGACAGATGACTCATATGTATGGATGTATTTTGAAATCCCATCATGCATGCAGAAGACAAAATCCTGCTGCACTTACAGTTGAAGTTACTTTTAGTTAAGACTATATGACAAATATACTAAGTTCAATCTCTTGCTGTGACCTTGACCTTTAAGCAAGAGACATGGCACACACAAGGGTAAATTCTATATGCTCTGACCCATTTCGTGACAGGGACATAAACAACTATAATATAAACTAATATCATGTGAGGCAGTCAATGTATGAGGCAAATTTAAAGTAAATACTGAGATTAAAAACTTGCAATTTTGTATCACTTGTCCATAGATCAGAACTAAATGGTCAAAAGTAGTATGTATTTACTACGATTAACTATTAGTGAGTTTATTTACAAGAATAATAAAAAAATGTGCTCTTTTAAGTATAACTAATTAAAAGCTTCAAGACTCTACAATATCAATCATTTTAGTAAGTACAAAGAAAACACCATTTACTTGTAAAGTCATTCATGTATTTGAAATAAGTCACACCCATAGTATAATGGTCATATACCAAACTTCCCAGCTTTACTGCTGTAGGAAGACTTCTATGATGCCCATTTTGGTAACTGACATTTCAAATGTTCTTTTGACTAAATTGATACTTTACTTCAAGATGTTACTTTACTTCAAGGGCCATAACTCTGCCCTGCGCTAAAGAATTAACTAACCTTATAAGCCAGGATGAACTGTAGCAGATGACCAGCTATAAAGTTCCAGAACTGAGGACAAAAATGAACTCTTTTCAACATTATCTCCCTTTTTAAAATACAAATTGCCATAAAATCACACCATAAGAGACCTGAAATATAATAACTATTTATCAATTTCCATATTCATAACATAAAGATTTTCTCTTAAATACTTATTAGCCCATAACCTGCCAGGACTAAAAGTGGTCAGCATTTGTAACCAGTAGGTAGAGTCAGGCCAGTCTGTACATTTATACAGTATGACCAGGCTCTATACTGTTGGTAGCTCAATTTTTGTATTTTGATACTGAATCTGTATAAATCAACTTCAAATAGACTGTATTTTTTAACATATTAACTTCAAATGGACTGTTCTATTAACATATTAACATATTAACTTCAAATGGACTGTTCTATTAACATATTAACTTCAAATGGACTGTTCTAAATTCAAAGAAGGGCAAATCCATTACACAAATATAGTGGGGCATCGGGTTAACCAATGTTTCTTTTCAGATGTTTCAAATACATACCAGAGCTTTTTTCTGTTATTTTATTATCCCTTTTTTCTACAATCATTTACTCTTATCTTAATCCATTTTTAATTGCCTTTTATATATTTCTTCAATACAATAGCAGGTAGTTGAGTTATATTTGGGCAACTTATTTTTGGCCAAGCATCACAATTTATCAAATTTTTATTGAAAACACTAGAAAAAGCACCATACAAAATGTTTATCTAAGCTTAAGCATTGTAGTATCTGAGTAAAAAAAAATTGCAATGAGGAAGACGAAAATATGACTTAATAATACCTACAGGCCTTCCATATACAAACTAGATAGCTTCAACACATGATGGACTTTGCATGAGTTGAGAGGCAAGTTATTCTGTAATATCAAGCAGTTGGCCACATTAGCATTATAATAAGTTAGTGAAGTTTATATCGATGGCTGAACGCAACACTGGTCTAACTTGATTTTTTTTCAAAAATGACTTTTTTGCATTTTTTAGTCTATTTGCATGAAATACATCAGTAAATAAAATATTAGAAATATTTGTGAAATTTTATGGGTTTTATTTACCACTTGGCATTTTGCTCTATCTCAAATGTGATTATAACTTAAATGCAACAGAGAGCTAACTCAAGTTAGAACTGTGTTGCATTAATGGAAATTTACTTATTGGATGATAACACTGAACTAACTCTAGTTAGCACAGTGTTGCTGTTAAATTTCAATACAAGAAAAATCAGTATTGTTATATTTGCAGATATTAAGTTAGGTCTGGCATATTCATAAATACTTATTTCTACATTTTACCCATTTTTGTTGCCAAAATTGCAGAATTGTAAATTCAAGGCTCTTAATTAATTCTATTTTGTTTTCAAGGAACATTAATAAGTTTAAATTTGCTATATTATCTCTACATAGTCATATAAGATTGAAATAAAAAATAATAGTAAATTAACCTTTCAAAAAGATTTATCATAATATTCAAATCATATAATTCACTGTTGATGAAAATTATTTACAAGACAATTTGTGTTGTTTTTTGTTGTCGTTGTTTTTAATCATAGTGATCTATTAATACTGATGAAACAAGATATTCCACCCTTTAAAATTTCAAGATTTTATAATTATTTAATACAATTTGCTCCTAATTCTTAAAGGGACTCCAATTTTGGCATCATGGGACTTAAAATATATTTTCGAGATTTATGTACACCCCAATTTGATGACGGTCAGGACAAATAACTTGTGGTGTTAAAACTTTCAGATTATTTGCTAAGTTTTTTCCAGAGCAATTATGTGAACTAAAAAATTACCTGATATTGAAAAGCATATTAATGCAGCTTTAAACTCAAATTAGATTCTAATAGAACCATGATAAAAATTTTAATTTCATGTTAAGTATAATTTCTTTATATCTCTTGTGTATCTCTTTGTTTATGTGGCCCGAGTTGATTCATTTCATAAATTCAAATCTTAAGTTTTTTATGCTTTTGGACCACAGTGCAGTTTCTTTAAGTATCTGTATGTACAAGGCTTGTAATCATTAAAATAAAACTTTTGGTTTGGTTGGTTTTACAGCGCACCAACACAATTGAGGTCCTCAGAATAATGTCGTTGAAACAGGAAAGATTTTTTCTTGCATATCAGATAGGATTATCTACTGTTTACACCGGTGCTAGAAAAGCCTGTCTAACATCGCCCATGTAAGACAAGTCAATGTTTTTAAATGAAGTCATTCCCAAGCGCCTTTTATGAATGAATTGCTTTCTAAAGATGACATCATTTTGCCAAAACAAATGAAGTTGTAGAGTCATACGCTACTATACGAGAAAAGTGCTAAATGAAAGTATAAGTTATTGTCATTTCTTTACGAAATATCACTAATATGTAATATTGCGAGAAAAAAAAATCAAACACAAGCTGTTGTCACAGACAGGAATATCTAGCTCTTGGGTAACTGTGTAGTGGAAACTCTGCAGTCTGCAGTCTCTTTACCGCCATAAAAATTACCCTCAAGTTAGATATTCTGGTCTGTACTGGCAGCCGGTGTAAATTCCTTGTACGTTAAGTAAATTCCTTATAAGGTAACCTCGGATGTTACAAACATGAAGCAGCAGAACTTGGGTACTTGAGGTCTTCCTCCACTGGGAATGCTGGAGTATTGCCATATGACCTCTACTGTGTAAGTGCGACATAAAACCCAACAAGAAAAGAAATGTTTAAGAAAAAAGTGGGGTCAATGCTTGTAATATATTATATTTAGTGGGGCCAAGGCTGACAAAGAGGGTAATAGTGGAGACAATGCTTGTGAAATCATAGATGGGACAATGCTTGTGAAATCATAGATGGGATAATGCTGGTGATATCATAGTAAATGGGGACAATGCTGGTGATATTATAGTAAATGGGGACAATGCTGGTGATATCATAGTAAATGTAGAATAATGCTGGTGATATGAGGGCTAGTTGGGACAATGCTGGTGATATCATAGTAAATGGGGATACTGCTGGTGATATGAGGGCTAGTTGGGACAATGCTGGTGATATGAGGGCTAGTTGGGACAATGCTGGTGATATCATAGTAAATGGGGACAATGCTGGTGATATTATAGTAAATGGAGACAATGCTGGTGATATCATAGTAAATGTAGAATAATGCTGGTGATATCATAGTAAATGGGGATACTGCTGGTGATATGAGGGTAAGTTGGGACAATGCTGGTGATATCATAGTAAATTGGGACAATGCTGGTGATATTATAGTAAATGGAGACAATGCTGGTGATATCATAGTAAATGTAGAATAATGCTGGTGATATCATAGTAAATGGGGATACTGCTGGTGATATGAGGGTAAGTTGGGACAATGCTGGTGATATCATAGTAAATGGGGATACTGCTGGTGATATGAGAGCTAGTTGGGACAATGCTGGTGATATGAGGGCTAGTTGGGACAATGCTGGTGATATCATAGTAAATGGGGACAATGCTGGTGATATGAGGGTAAGTTGGGACAATGCTGGTGATATGAGGGCTAGTTGGGACAATGATGGTGATATCATAGTAAATGGGGATAATGCTGGTGATATGAGGGTAAGTTGGGACAATGCTGGTGATATGAGGGTTAGTTGGGACAATGCTGGTGATATCATAGTAATTGGGGATAATGCTGGCAATATGAGGGTAAGTTGGGACAATGCTGGTGATATCATAGTAAATGGGGATACTGCTGGTGATATGAGGGTAAGTTGGGACAATGCTGGTGATATGAGGGCTAGTTGGGACAATGCTGGTGATATCATAGTAAATGGGGACAATGCTGGTGATATGAGGGTAAGTTGGGACAATGCTGGTGATATGAGGGCTAGTTGGGACAATGCTGGTGATATCATAGTAAATGGGGATAATGCTGGTGATATGAGGGTAAGTTGGAACAATGCTGGTGATATGAGGGCTAGTTGGGACAATGCTGGTGATATCATAGTAAATGGGGATAATGCTGGTGATATGAGGGTTAGTTGGGACAATGCTGGTGATATGAGTGTTAGTAGGGACAATGCTGGTGATATCATAGTAAATGGGGATACTGCTGGTGATATCATAGTAAATGGGGATAATGCTGGTGATATGAGGGTTAGTTGGGACAATGCTGGTGATATTATAGTTAGTGGACAATTCTAGTAATATTATAACTTGTGGGGACAATGCTGGTGATATCATAGTTGGGACTTTGCTGGTGATATTATTGTTAGTTGGGGCAATGCTGGTATTATAAGGGTTAGTGGGGACATTACTGGTGATATTATAGTTAATAGTGAGGACAATGTTGGTATTATAAGGGCAGTGGGGACAATATTGGTGATATAATTATAGTTAGAGGGGAATATGCTGAGGATGACAATGCTGATGATAAAAGTATGATTGATGACAATACTGATGTAATGAGGTCTAATTTGGTGGCAATGCTGCAGCTTATATAGGTGGTGAGAAAGATAGTGGTGGTGAGATGAGAATTCAGAATAGTAATTTTGGTTAATATGGGCTAGTAGAGACTGAATGCTGTTTATATAAGAGCCGAGGATGATGATGGTGATAAAAATGCTGTTAATCATTTTGAAGGTGAAATTACGGTTTTTGATATCATTATGCTGGTGATGAGTGCTGGCAAGTGGAGAATGGTTAAAATGATACTTTATGTAATATAGAAAATAGTTATTAAATGGGGAAAATGTTAGATAAAAAAGTAAGAATGATGATAGATAAAAGATAAATGTAATGAATTACTGTAATAGGAATATGGGAAAAAATATGTTTAAAAATCTGACAAAAAATTGAGTATAACGGATGATGAGAAAGGAAGGTGGACAAAGCTATAGATACAAGTGCCATGCCAAGTTTAATTACAAAGAGAGGCAAAAGTTTTTTCTTTGGCAACTTTAGTTTATGCAAAATGTTCCTAAAGTTAACATTTTTCTTGAAATTCTGACTACATAAATAAACTTGAAAATATAAATGAAGATCCAATAGGCAAAAATTAGTTTCATTTTGAATAATATTGCCTGTGTTTTTAGAATTGCAAGTTTTATATACTAAGAGGATATTTTTTCGTTTGCGTGAAATATGGAATATATTTTCACGAAACATGATAAAATGCCACATATTTTCACGAGCCGGTACGGCGAGTGAAAATATGTGGCATTTTATCATGTTGAGTGAAAATATATACCATATTTCACGAAAAACGAAAAAATAACCTTTTTATTTAATTTCATTATCAAAGAAAATGGTAACGAATCCCCTTGCTTGCTACCAACTGCAATTGTACAGCGCGCAGTAATTTATGCGCAAGCACGCGCTGTTTGGCGCTACATTGTGACGTCATGTAAACAACTCTTTAAACGTCTGTACAGCGTTAATTACTGAATTAAAGATATTGGTGTTCGGATTAATTTTCTTAGTTAGACCATTTTCTATCATGCTAGATAGTTTTCAAAACAAAATTCAAGAAAAAGTTGTTTTGTATTTATCAGATTTTTCAAACAAAACGGCGAAAGAAGTCCCATAAAATAAATATGAGTTTTGACTCCGCCCACTTTCATATTTATATTTCATATTTATTTTTTAAAAATATGAAATATATTTGACTGATATAGCACCATATTTCATGGGTAAAATTAAATAAATGCTTCTATTTTTCAGTTATGAGTATGTGCTTAAATTTTAATGTTACATTGAATTATGCTTAATGTAAAAAATCTTATCTTGTCTACAAAACATTCATTCCGAACTGAAACTTTTTAATTAGAATTTTTTTTCTAAAATATTTTTATGTGATAAAACAACTGACTTTTAAGATTGTCTGATTTCTAGTATGTTATGCAAAAGTTGTCATTTTTGTATAATTTAACAATTGTCGGTTTCCTTATAAAAGTTGTTTTCTTTTAAAATAATCTATAATATGGTTATAGTTACAGCTTTTTTCTATTATATCATCCTATTTTTTCAAACATAGCACTTATTGATTATTCTTTTGGCCTTATTGAACCCATTTTGTAAATGCAACATAGGGCTAAGTCAAGTTAGACCAGTTTTGCTGAAACTTTATCATTGAAATTTGGTGATTTATAAATGGAAAACTGATCTAACTCATATCTTTTCAAATATCTTTTTTATTTAACAATATTTATTTATGAAACTCCTTTTAACTAAAATTTTAACTTATATGGATATAAAAATCTAAAAATAATAACAAAAATGTCCAATTTATAGAATTAATTAAGTTTTTATAGCCTCCTTGAAATTTTGTAAAAATCAAGTTAGACCAGTGTTGCGTTCAGCCATCGATATGTATAAACCATAAGCCTTCTCGTGGCAACCAAATCTAACCATGAGACCAGTGCTGACCAGGATCTGCCAGCACATCTGTACCGACTGATCAGGGTCTGCACTGTCTGCAATTGGGTCAGAACATCTTTTGAAATTTTCCCTAAAAATGATCAATGGATTTTCTATATTGAAAGATGGACAAGTCCATTTATTATGGTAAGGGTTAAACTTGCCTGATACCGCCATCTGACCATGCATCTGTATCAAATACTGTCTGGGAATATCTCTGTACATGCTATATACTGGAGCCTTAAACTCACATATCCCAGCAAGTTTTCTTGTAACTGGATCAATTACCACGGCATCTGGAGACACCCCTACTTTATCTGCAAGGTTAAGATAAGTCATTATTAACATTTCTCATGCATTTTTGTATGTTTAATTCAAGTAATATTTAAGAGCAAAAACATATATTCTGTTATATTTTTCTTTCAGCCGAGAGCCAATAATTAACTGATAAGCAGTCATCTAAGCATCAATTACCCAAAATAGAAAGAATTTTGCGATGCATTGCTTAATTTCGTTATTTATCTCACTAAAAACAGTATGCTTCCAAATAAGAAAATAAATCTGACTCCAAAATCAAACAGCACCAATCAATGATCACATGTGTCACCTGATGATAGCCAATTAAGCAGTTGTATGGGGTGGGGGGGGGGGGTTGATTGACCAGTTGAAAAATTTTCCCTTTATGTTGCGGCTATTTTGTAGAATGTAGTAGCTACTATGTAGAAGACATAAAAATCATTAACAGGCCAAAACATTTTTCCTTTTCCAGATTTTAATATTATTGTTATATGTCTATAGAGTACTTTGTCAAAATTAAGCACCTCAAGTTTGGATACCTCTTTTAAGTTAAAACCAAACAAAAAGCTTGGCCTGAAGCCTTAAAATGGGTAACTAAACAGCCATTCAAGCTTAGTGACTGCAGAAAAGTGGTAACCGTTAGTACAGGTTTGACTATAATAGATTTCTCCAAATAATATATTGCAAAAATAGAATTTATCTATATTGTTGAACCTTTCAAAGGATTGTCATCCTGCAGTATGGTCCAGAATCCAGATTCTCTGGTCATGTTTCCAGTGAGTAGATCATATGCTTCATGTATTATAGGCTCCATCTTGGTTCCATGATCTGTAAACATGTTACCTTCATCTCTACATGCATCATCTGTATAAATATTGACAAATTTGTATGCATGCAATACTGAAAAATTTACGTGAATAATTGAATATGTAGAATTATTTATATTTAGTTAAAGCTGCACACTTTGAGATGAATACATTAAAACAAATTTAAACTTAAGAAAAAAAAACACTGTATATAACACCATGTAGCGCCTGAATGTGAACATAATGACAGAATTTTGCTATAGTAACACCTGTGCAATACATGGCTGTAATGAGCAACATTTTTAGATTTACTAGAAGATGTATTGGTCCTGTTATTTATCATTGTTGATAAATTCAGCCATACATTTGTTATACTCCTATGCTAAAGTGTAACTATTGCACAATTCCTGGGTAATTTTCACATCCTTGTTGAAGTTATAACATGGACCTAAGAAGTTCTTCAAATACATTGAATATAATGACAAATTATAACTAAACTATCCAAAATTTTCATTATGTGTGTAATTAAACTAAAAATGCTGAACACATATTTTATAATCATTTATTTGAGGCATTTTATAGCTTACTCATAAACTTTACTAAGCAACATTTTTATAAATGAAATATTAACCTACCGTTCAACAGACTTTTAAGGAAATCATAAGCTTTCCCCTTCCCAGCACCTATGGCATCAGCAAACCTTGAGGCGGTTACCACCATACCTCTCCTCAGTTCAAACCATTTCTCACTTCTCTGTTTCACATTATGTTCCATTCATATCAATATGTACTTCTCAATCCTGAAATTATTGTATTATAAATTATAAATCAAATAGAATGGAGATCAAAACACCAGGTGAATTTATATCTTTATCTTAATCACTGCCGATTTTGGAAACATATACATGTACTCTTCATCAAGTTATTTACATATTAGTTTTTTGACAAGTTATATGGCTATTTATATATGGCCATATAACCTGTCAGAAATATTTATAACAAATTTATATTCAGCAAGCACCTTCTTTTAAAGAAAAATGTGAGATTTCTTCATAAATTGACAGCAGCCATGTATATAAATCTATATAAACATCACAATTATATACAATGAAAAGTGACATTAACAAACATGCAGTATTATAATATTATATTAGTATTGTATTTATTATAATCAGATCCTTTATTAATGTTTGTTGCAAAACATAAGCAAGCAAAATCATGCAACAAATTTGCCAAATAAGCAAGAAATTCATGCTTGTAATTATGCTAAAATGATGAAAAATACTGAAGTATAAAATAAGTTTAAACTGTAAATTTTACAAGTAATAACTATACACTTATTACTGTAATAATACCACAGCTATATGTATGTATAAACAGTTTATATACATTTATACAGGGCCATCTTCGTGAATACAGTTTTATACATCCAAAAACACTTACTTATTGCCATGATGTTAAACTTACAAAATGTACAACATTACATCGTATTCACTCTATATATACTTACAGACCATATCACAAACAAACATGTACACTTGTTAAGTGTGTATACGAAGTTGAATAAACCTGTATGATAAAAGTTTAACCTTTCGTTAATTTAGATATTATACTGCACAGTTTAAATGTTCTATTTAAAGTTAACAGTATTAAGTTAGACACTTGAGTTGCATTTTCTTAACTTTCGATTTTAAAGTATATCTAAAAAGTTTAATAATTTTTCTTAAAAAAAGAATAAATTACATATTGATATGCATGACTGCACATCTACCTTGTTTGATACAAATACAACCTCTGATAACTACAGTATCTCATGGATTTGCTTATCAGACTCAGTGGTCAAGAGCCTTGTTTGTAAACCGACAGTCACAAGTTGGAATCCAATAATTGGTGGGTGGGGGTTTGGGAGGAGCATTTTTTTTTTCCTCTTTAAATTGCAGATGCATCAGAGAAAAAAAAAGATTGTATGACTGTCATGAGAATTAAGCACTCTAGCTGGTATACAAGTAGAGGCAATTGTTTTTAAAAAAAATTTAGTGTTCATACTTTACATTACATTATATAATTCATTATCCAAGCAAACTAGAATTTCTCTTTATAAATCATTTGTCCTTTACAGGAGTCCATTTCTCAGTTTCAGTGCTTAATTAAATTATGTTCAATTCGTCTTAGTGATTTTCTTTCAGACAAAACTAAAATAAACACCTAAAATCATCAAAGATACAAAGCTTTTGCCTCAAAACACAGTTTAATTTTCAAATCAATGTTATTTTCAGACTTTCTTCAAATATATGTATATAATTATAAATACTGGTAAAATGATAACAAAACAGACTGATTTTCTTTTTATTTATTGTGCATTTTGCAACTTTTTGCAATGTGGTAATATATAAATAATATAATAGTAAAATTACTCTAGATGTATATAAAACAAAACAGAAATAAAACAATTATTTCAAATTTAACAAAGGATAACTTGATATGTGTTCATAGGACGACAACGATGCCTCCACATTCTACAGTTTTGTTTTTGTATAGTAGTAGGGGCAAGAAAAACAATCTTTTAATTTTTTTTTTTTTGAAATGTGAGGAATCTATAAAGCTAGTCAAAGGTTCCACTCAAGTCCAATGACTAATGAATGTTTTCTCTGGTTCGAAACAACTTAACAACTGCATGGATAGGAGACAACCTTTGAAAGATTACCTTTCTGTGAATATTGTAATACATGAAGTATTGAATTCCAACATAACAAATATTTTGTTAGTATGCAACAAAAAAATTATAAAACAAGAATATTTTAAAGATGTTTACAGAAGAATGATAAATATAACATTCAATAGATGTATAGTCTGATTTTATTGACCTGTCAAATATGAACTGTTTACATTATAGCACTCATTTAAATATTCGATCCCATTTCCATTTTGTCTGTTTATTTTACGAGAATTAATATAGAGTTTATAACAAACTTTTGGAAAACACCCACTAGCTTAATGTAGGTTCTTGTAACATCCGCAATAGCATAGTCTTTTATTCTTAGTGTATTCCTTGACTATTTTTTGTTTCCTCACATTTTTCTTGATTTAAGTGCCCTTATTGATCTATGTTAGATTTTCAAATTTTATGTTTTTCTGCTTTTGGACTTCAGTGGACTGCCTTTACAATCAGACAGTTATATAAGACTTGTGGAAAGCTTACTATAATTCTTAGAATATTTATCTTAATTTTAATACAAAAATAAAAGTTAAAAAAATTATGCATAAACAGAAACAACAACAACAAATTAAAACAATAAATACCATATCACATATATTATCATTATTATACATATTTGCTAAATGGTACTTTTTATCAAGAGAATAAACACAAAGTTTAAACATATATTTTCAAAAAGTTTTAACAATATGTATAAAAATTTTAATCAATAGGTAAGAGTATACTATCACAGAAAGTGGTAAATTATATGAACAAATACTTGTAAACATATCACAGATCATTTTTATTTTGTATATCTATGGACGATAAAAATTGGATGATTCTATAATTGTATAGTTACAACTGGAAAAATACTATTAAATAGTAATAATTGAATGGCAACAACAATTGTAACAAGAGGGCCATGATGGCCCTGAGTCGCTCACCAGAAACAACTGCTTTTCAGTGTTGGTATGTCAATATATTCTAATATTATATTTGAGCATAGAATATGTTTAAACAATTATTTGAAGAAATGCCATGACCTGGGGTATTTAAGCTTTAGCTTAAACGGGGCTTATCAAATTAATATGAGCAAACTTGATAAAAGATGACCTAAGAATGCTACAGACAAAGTTTGGTGATCATCCATCAATTAGTTCTGTAGAAATAGACATTTAAAGTTTTTTATTTTTAGCTTTAGCGGCCCCTAAAAGGGGCGATTCAATTAATATGAGCAAACTTAATAAAAGACTACCCAATAATGCTACAGACAAAGTTTGGTGATCATCCATCAATTAGTTCTGTAGCAATAGACGTTTAAATGTATATCTACTTTTAATTTTAGCAGCCCCTAAAAGGGGCCAATCAAAATAATATTGGCAAACTTGATAAAAGACTACCTAAGAATGCTACAGACAAAGTTTGGTGATCATCCATCAATTAGTTCTGTAGAAATAGACGTTTAAAGGTTTTTCTATTTTTAGCTTTAGCGGCCCCTAAAAGGGGCCAATCAAATTCATATAAGCAAACTTGGTAAAACACTACCAAAGAATGCTACAGACAAAGTTTGGTGATCATCCATCCATTAGTTCTGTAGAAGAAGATGTTTAAAGGTTTTTCTTTTTTTAGCCCTAGAGACCCCTAAAAGGGGCCAATCAAATTAATATGAGCAAACTTGATAAAGGACTACCCAAGAATGCTACAGACAAAGTTTGGTGATCATCCATCCATTAGTTCTATAGATGATGTTTAAAGGTTTTTCTATTTTTAGCTCTGCTGACCCCTTAAAGGGGCCAATTGGAATGACATGAGCAAATTCCAGTGTGACTGTCACAAGGATGCTACAGACCAAATTTGAAGTAAATCTGCTTAGTAGTTTCAGAAAAGAAGATGATTGTTGACGCATGACAACGGATGACGGATGCCGGAGCATCCCCCTTTGATACTAATAGCTCACCCCGAGCCTTCGGCTCTGGTGAGCAAATAATTGAATGGTAAAAAACTGGATGTTAATAATTGAATTGTAACAATTGGACAGAAAGAACAGGATTGTAATAACTGACTGGTAGCAACTGGATAGAAAAAAACTAAAGTTTATAATTGAATGGTAACAACTGGACAGAAACACAGGATGGCAATATTTGCTCAGCAACAACTGACCAGAAACAACAGGTAGCAATTGAATGGCAACAACTGGACAGTAATAATTAAACTGTAACAACTGGTGGACAGAAACAGCTGGACAGTATAAACGGATGGTTAGAACTGGACAGATATATTATATATTTGGATGTAATTTTCTTAATAATAATAACTGGACGGAAATAATCTAAAGCATATTGATAATGCTCATAGGAAAAAATATGATACATAAGCCTTCAAGCAACTATTACAAACAACAACTAATATATAAAAAAATTCAAAATTTCAGGTACATAGAAATTGCAAATTCTATTTAACATAATGCATAATTTCTGAACACACAAAAGATATATTACTACTATTTGAAACACTCTACTTGTATAATGTACATAATCTTCTACACAATACCAGTCCTATATACAAATATGTGAAGTACATACTAAGTACAAATGTATAAAAATCAGCAGGTTTTGAAAACACACCTAATCCCTTTAAAAGGTCCATTATACCTCAGAAATGCTTACTTTTTTTCCATTTTTGGTGTACCTTTAAAGTTCCAAAAAATGATTGTTGGGAAATTATCAGAATCATTTTGTAAATCATTTGCTTTTTAGCAATAAATACATTCAAGTAATTTCGTATTCTGCATGGACGTCAAAATACTACTTTGTTTACATTTTGCTACTTTTAGGACTAATAATTTCACAATTAGCGCTACCTTTTTCAGGTAAGAAGCATCTAACATGCTCTTGAACTATTATTCAAATATTATACAACTCATATTTGCGCTTTCTAAAGGTGTACACATTTATTCGTTTCTGAGGCAAAATGTGCCTTTAATGGAGTTGTTACAGCTGTTAGTTCTTCCTTAGTATGAAGAATATTCAATGATGAAATATTTATTTAAATTACACATACCAATAGTCATTGGAATTAGCTTTCATCATACAGTGAGCTGATGATCAATTCAAGCTATACAAGAAGCACTGTCCTACAGCAATGTATATATCTCTACATATTTAAGCTTTATTCCTTCATATAACAATGTTCAAGCACTACCCTAACATAATTCTTTTTTGTTTTTTTAGTTTATATCAAAATGTATCACATTTTCTAATCATATACAGGTTTGAACCCTGATTTTGTACTGGCTCCTTGTCCTGGGAATGGAGCATCATTTCCACTGGTAATTTGTCTCTGTCTGGGTATCGAACCCTCGCCATGTGTGAGAGCCAGATATCTGGAATCATCTTCCTCGTCACCAGTGAGAGCTATGTTACGTAAGTGTGGCATCTCGGCAAATGGCAAGTACATCTCACCTAGACATAAATGAACATCAAATAAGTTTTGTTATTTAAGTGAGGCATCTCTACAAAGGAAATTACATCTCATCTAGACATAAATAAATATTCTAACATGCTTTACACTATTCGCCTATCAAACAGATATAGGCACTGCACAAAAAAACGAATGCTTACACACCTTATGACATCAAATATAACGTCAATAAACCAAATGACATCAGGAAAATTACTTCTATGTTCAATATAGTTCAGCATATTTTTATCAATTTTCTTTGTTATTAGAATGTTTGAATGAATGGAAATTGATATCAATTTTTCTTCATTGTAATGAATCATTAAAAGGGAAGAAGACTAAAAGATGAACATATTAGTAGCAGTATGACTTACCAACAGGAAGACCATTAGCAGCTCTAACATCTTCTGTCTCGAAGAAAGTTTCATGATCCTCCCAATGTTTATCACACGCGGCACACAAAAAGTTGGAGATAAAGTGTCCACAACCACAACCTGAAATAACGAATTTTTGCAAATTTATGTCATTAGTATGAACACTTATGATACTGTCATTATAAACGTCATTGAACACTACTTGTTCTGGCATCTTAGTAACTTGTCATCATGAAATACTAATACTAAACTGTTTCCGTACGAGAATAAAGAAGGAAATGCAGTTGAAGAAAAAAGTAGTTTTTGTCACCTATGTGACATTAAAATCAAATCAATCCAAATGCGAAAATTGGGCAAATTTTTTAAAATAACTGTGTGACATTTCAATCCATACTTTTCAGTAGTTTTGCAGGTACATGTACCAATTTCCACGCAAAAACCTAACCAAAGAGTGACACTGATGCCTGGGTGAGTACAATAACTCTCTCTTTTCTTCAAATAATTGACCTAAAAACTCTTATGCACAGACTCAGTATTCAGCTAATTGCTATGACTTGAAGGGATGAAATGGTACTGGAGTTAACAATTAAAATATGATCCAACCTGTTTTACATCTCCTCATACCAGCCGGTTCATGCTGTTCATGTGTATGTTTACATTTACATTTAGCTCTCCATGTAGATGGATCAAAATTTCTTCGCCTTTGCATCCAGAACTCTCCCACATCCTCTGCTCGAGATGGGATCCAGGCAAAACCTTTACACTTACACCCTCCTTGTTTACAGGGAACCAGCACACTCTTTCCTGTTCAATGTATACTTTGAAATTACCAACTGATAGATCATCAAATATGTATTGAAAATAAGAAATCAATATTCATTTCTAAATATCTGTAAAAAGTATTGATTTGTCTGCAGGCACTTGATTTGTTTTACAATAAAAATTATTTAATTAAAGTGGTATTAAAATATCAGACAGCAGCACCATAAGCTGTGTTAACACTCGTCTGTTAAGTGTATGATTAACCAATTTTGACAAAATTCTAAGTTAAGAAGGGGCATGACTCCAAAAATATAGATCAGAATTATACCCCTTGTCTCACATCTGCATCTTGTCATGATAAGCAAGTATTTCCAAGGTTCATGTTGATAAATTTTAAAATGTTTGAGTAATGGACTACATTAAAGTTTTGGCATGATAACGAAAAAGCAGCGATGATAAGAGCTCGACTTTTTCTTCAAAACAGATAAGCTAAAAATAAGCTCCAAGTATGAGCCCTTAAGTAAACTTACCAGTATATTTGCCATGTTCTCCCAAGAGATGACCACAGAAACATTTGGACATGTCATTCACCCGTTGACAGTCATGTTTGAAATCAGGACATCTCCATCCAATATAAATACCTGCAAAACATACAAGGAAAATTTAAACAAAGAATGTCATGTAGTGCAGGATTTTTCTTGCATGCCTTATAATTTTGCAGTTTGAAAACAAGAAATTTGACTGCTAGTGTAACTAAAATCATTTCATAACAAGAAGAAACAAATATTCTGTCTCATCCGGAATGGATAAATCAATACAAGAGCCTACATTGTTACAGTCACAAGCAGATAGATCTATGGACTTAATATAAAACATGCTTGATAACTTTATGACATGAGTAACTGAGATGTAAATGGCGGGGTTGTATCCAATCTACAAAGTAATTGAATTTGTTCAAGAACATTGCTGTTTTTTTATTTGCAGTTTGGCTTCAAGTCGTACAGTACCAACACTGGTATGGTTATATGAAAACAACAATTTATCAAGCATTTATCCAAATCAATATCTAAGATTTTATCCAAACAAGAGTAAAACCACCAATCTATAACTTTGCTAGATTGCCATGTCACATCAAGTTCAATAAAACTTGAGGTTTTAAACCCCACAGTGTAGAGGGACACATGATTCAAAGTCATCAGGTTAAGCCATATATGCCACTAAAAAGATAATTACCTGTCTGTTGTGCCCTGACAGCTGCTTCTGTTTCTGGATCAAAGAGTTGTTTCAACCGTGGAGCAAAATCTGGGTTCATAGCACGTGCAAATGATTCCACATCATAGTTTTTGGCCGGTTCAATTTTCCTCATTGTATATCCTGTTACAGACAAATAAAATAATTCAGCCGACTCAGAAATTATTCAAAATAATTCAAATACATGTATATTTCTTTTATTTTCTGTGACATAATTGTGTTGTTTCCAAAGTTACATTTAAGTTCAAGTATAAATTAATTTTTACATTGATCATGTACTGTTAGGTCACCTAACAACCTCTTTGGTTGTATATAAATGAACAAATGATAAAATCATAAATTTTTAATCTGTTCCTTTTGTTTACAAGCATCAAAACTGTAAGTACTTATCTGGATGTGTTTATTAAAATAATAAATTAATGAACCCAACCTTACTAAAAATCAAGTACATGTACATGTATTCATAAAGTTGTATTGAAAAATTGCATTCAAAACAGAATTAAAACTAATACTCAAAGAACCAATCACATTGCTCTCAGAAAATATCTACATTATAAATAGATATAAGCAAGGAAAGCAATACATACTTATGCAAATTATAATAAAATTAATGTATCATGTTAACACATGATACTTCTAAATGCAAAACAAACCCTCAGGTACAAGCATTCCATCCTGTTTTTTCATTGCAATAGGTCCAGGCATACCCTTGGGAACCATAGTTCCAGACCCTCTTGGGACTACAGCTTTACTTGAGGCAGCTCCAGGTGCTGGCTAAAAATAAACAATCATTACTGGCTAAAATAAACAATCACATTACTGGCTAAAATAAACAATCACATTACTGGCTAGAAATAAACAATCATTACTGGCTAAAACTAGAACTGCCACTATCATGGCGTGAATACCCCCGCATACCACTTTGTCAGAATCAACAGTGGCCATTTAGAACTCAAGGACAACCACCCTGCCAAATCTGAGGTGACTAAGCCAGTGCATTGCTAAGTTATGTATTCTACATGCTTCAAATGTGAAAATGTCAAAATCAATACACTCTGGACAGGCATTGGGGAAAAGCTTTATTTTGACAAGGTCCCTGTGACCTTGACCTTTGGCCTGGTGACCTCAAAATCAATACGGATCATTTACTAATCATGACTAACCTCCATGCCAAATATAAAGACTGTGGGTCATAGGAACCTTAAGTTTTTGGGCGGACAAGCTTTTTGAAGTCAAGGCCCCTGTGACCTTGACCTTTGACCTGGTGACCTCAAAATCAATAGGGGTCATCTACTTATCATGACTAACCTCCATGCCAAATATGAAGACTGTGGGTCAAAGGAATCTTAAGTTATTGGGCGGACAAGCTTTTTGAAGTCAAGGCTCCTGTGACCTTTGACCTGGTGACCTCAAAATCGATAGGGGTCATCTACTTATCATGACTAACCTCCATGCCAAATATGAAGACTGTGGGTCAAAGGAATCTTAAGTTATTGGGCGGAAAAGCTTTTTGAAGTCAAGGCCCCTGTGACCTTGACCTTTGACCTTGTGACCTCAAAATCAGTAGGGGTCATCTGCTAATCATGACTAACCTCCATGCCAAATATGAAGACTGTGGGTCAAAGGAATCTTAAGTTATTGGGCGGACAAACTTTTTGACGTCAAGGCCCCTGTGACCTTGGCCTTTGACCTGGTGACCTCAAAATTGATAGGGGTCATTTGCTTATCATGACTAACCTCCATGCCAAATATGAAGACTGTGGGTCAAAGGAATCTTAAGTTATTGGGCGGACAAGCTTTTTGAAGTCAAGGCCCCTGTGACCTTGACCTTTGACCTGGTGACCTCAAAATCGATAGGGGTCATATACTTATCATGACTAACCTCCATGCCAAATATGAAGACTGTGGGTCAAAGGAATCTTAAGTTATTGGGCGGACAAGCTTTTTGAAGTCAAGGCCCCTGTGACCTTGACCTCCATGCCAAATATGAAGACTGTGGGTCAAAGGAATCTTACGTTATTGGGCGGACAAGCTTTTTGAAGGCAAGGCCCCTGTGACCTTGACCTTTGACCTGGTGACCTCAAAATCAATAGGGGTCATCTACTTATCATGACTAACCTCCATGCCCAATATGAAGATTGTGGGTCAAAGGAATCTTAAGTTATTGGGCGGACAAGAAAAAACCGACGGACGCCGGACGGCCAGACGGCCGGACGGACAATCTGATTCCAGTATACCCCCCTTACAACTTTGTTGTGCGGGGGTATAATAAACAATTTTATTTGTACCGTAAATACCATTAAAAAACACTATATTATTTTTCCTTCCGTATATGTACTAATTACATACATTGTATTTACTTTGGATACAAAAAGTCAATTAAAATATATTTTCCAAAACTGATTCATTTAAATGACTTTTGTGAACTAAAATTAAGAACATTGATCAAACTTATTATTTAAACTTCATTTTTTACAACAAATTATATGGTTACAGGGATTTCCTCTGCACAGAATTAAAACATATTAAAAGTTTTTTTTGTTTTCTTTTTTTCAAAATACAAAAATGTAATCTCTGTCTGTTTATCAATTTAATATAAAAGGTATCTAGACAGTAAGAAGTGCAGAATATTTACCTTTTTAGAGCCTACAGCCATCTTCCCTGTTGGTTGTTTCTTACTCATCTTGTTTTTTCGTAATAATTAACCAATTAAGCTGTTAAGTTTTATTGTCGGAACTACAAAACATGTATTTTAACTAAACGTTAAAAATCTTCATGACAAGATTTCTACTAAATAATTCATATGTATGTCAATTTTTTTTATCACTGTCCAAAATGTTCATTGAACCATATCTGATGAATACAAAATTGTATTGAATGACTCAGTAAGAATAATATGAGCAATATGAAAGTTTTATTTAAAACCAGTAAAAGCTGCACTTGTTATTTAACTAAATAATTATTTTTTCCCTCTTACATTTCATTTTTATAGTATGATAGGAAAAAAAATTAGCAGTTTTTTTTTTCCACAGGTTGGGGAAGCAGCCCTGCCCTTAATTTTGGGGAAAAATTGCACAGTATATTGGCAAAAGGGGAAGAAAAACGTTGATGTAAATTCAATTTTTGGGGAAAACTGCATGAATTTTTCTTTGGGGAAGCAGCCCTATAACAGCCCCAGCTATAGAAGAAAAAAGCCCTGATTAGACTAAACTATATATTGTATACATACAGTGATTTTCACCTTCTTTAACAGAGGCCTATAAAAAGCCTCTTCCCAATGGAAATTTTCTTTAAAAACATGCAATTTTCCCAAAAATCTTGTGCTAGCTTTTTTACTTCCCGAATTAGCAATTCTAATGATACTTTTTCCCCAAATTAAGAGGCTAAAGCCTCTTCCCAATTAACTTGAATTAACCCTTTACCACATATATACGCGAAACAACGCACTTTCGACCCCCCCCCCCCCTTTTTTAGGCCTCAAATAGTGAAAAAATGTCCTATTTGGGCCCCCAACATAAGTTTTCGTTTGAGAAATGTAGCTTTAAAAATTGAGCACTTTTTCGGCGCCGCCCCCCATCCAAAAGATACATCAGGGGGTTGCCAGAAGGGGGATGTGCCAAGAAAATTTTGGACTTGTGAGAGGCTAAAAATGACCCCAGGTCGATCATAATGTAACGTTAAACCAACGCTGAAAAGCCTTTGACTCTATCTCAATCCCTTGAGCAGTTACAGCACTTTGAAATAAATTTTGATGGAAAAAATCGAGGCAAAATAGTGATTTTTGGCAATTTTGAGATGTCCCCTCGTTGCCATGGTAACAGGAAATTTAAGACTGAGCATGTCGTTACAAAGGCAATGGTCCAGTCAACATTGGTGCCAAGTTTGATTAGTTTTGAAGCATTTTTCATAGTTTCATAGCAGTTTGAACTTGTAACAGGAGGCTTTTCAGTGAAAACGGCCATTTTTCACAATATGCTAATGGGGGAAAGGGTTAAGTGAGAAAAAAATACCGACATAATTTTTATTTTGGACAGTATCTCACTAGAAATGTAAGTGTGTACATGTATAATACAAGTTGTATTTCAGTTCACCTGTCAGGTGTCTTCTCTAAGAAGTTATAGTACATTTATGCTTCATTTCAAAGTGCTATCCAATCATAAAACATGATACATGTGCACTATTTTTTGATAGCCTTTAAATTATCTCACCCCTTTTTTACTTCAGCTGTTCTTGGCATATTAATAAGAATTTACTTAATTGACCTTTTCGAAAACCTAGCTAAACACCGTTTTCCGGTACGTTACGGATTTAGCTCTGGGGAATTAGACCAAATGAAGTACATAACACAGTTACATGATATTTCTATCATTATTTTACCGTTTAAGGTGAAAAAAATTGATGTATTTGAAAATTATCAATATTCCTTTAATATCTATTGCAAATTTTTCAAAAAATAAATTGTTTATAATAAAAATCAAAATGAAAATTAAAATCAGTTAACATTTACATGTACATTGAAACTTAGTAGATAGATATTTTGTTCTTAACGATTAACTGGGTCTGTACAAATCATTTTTTCAAGACTTGTTCTGGGTTTTCAATTCTAAAATATAATCCAAGTATTTCCAGACTGGTTCTGGACAGGAAGAATTAATTACTGTTCAGAACAAACATCCAAGTGGTTCAAAACTGGTTATGTCACTGTTCCTGCTACTCCACCTCCTTTGCCAGACAGAAAAAATTGTCCAGTACACTGGGATTGGGTTCTGATTTCTGGACCACAATTCACGAATTCGAAAACCTAGCTAAACGCCGTTTTCCGGTACTTTCTGAACATAGCTCTGGGGAATTCACCTAATGGAGTGTAATAGCGAACTCGATGTTTTCGGCCTTTTTTTAAAAATTAAATGGAAATAAAACAGTTATTTCTTTATAAGAAAATAATTGAATATCATTGTATGAATAATTCAATACAAAAAAAATAAGTACACAAGTTTACGCAGAAAATAACCTTATTTATTATGGAAGATTCCACTACGTCAGTTTAAATTTTACTGATTTTCATTATAAACAATTTATTTTTTACAAAAATTTGCAATAGATATTACAGGAATCTCGAACATACGATACGTACATCCCAGCAGGAATATTGATAATTTTCAAAAACATCAATTTTTTTCACCTTAATCGGTAAAATAACGATAGAAAAATAGAAATATCATGTAACTGTGTTATGTACTTCATTTGGTGTAATTCCCCAGAGCTAAATCCGCAACGTACCGGAAAACGGTGTTTAGCTAGGTTTTCGAAAAGGTCAATTCGTGCAGACCCTGGAGATTTATTTCAAAATATCTTTTTGATTGACAACACAATTACCCAGCTTTGTTTTTCGACTAACACTGTTTATCCTTAATACTGTTTTTTTCATGACAGTGCCTCCAAATCAAAATCTTAATTCAGGAGAATTAAGAGTAGAAGTATAATATTATTTGTAGTTAGCTAATTCGGTACGAATTGATTTAGGGACGAGTTGACTGCATTAATATAATTTTAATGCCTGACACTTGTTAAGGTCGATTCTAAAACTATTCTCGTTCAAATAATAAAATAGAAAATTAAATAAAAGTTTGCTAGCATGATATTTTCTTCTTTTTTTCAATAAAAACTAGAGATCTATCATAACATTTCACCTGCAACTACGCGCAAAGGACCGCCATTTGTAAACAATTATTCGGGACGTTCCGGTAATTTACGTTTCGTCCGTAACGCGCACCTGCTACTTGTGCGTCAAAATGGCCACCAATGTTTCCAGGGTAAATATTTCACATTTTTAAAGAAAGTAGAAAGTATTGTTACTTTTGACATTGATTTTGTCCTTTGAATAACAAAATAAAATGAAAATTCATGAATGACACTAAAATATAAGTTAGATTAAGTAATGTTAGAAGCAATTGTCATTTTGTAATATGTTTTCGCGAATATCTTTAGAAAAGTTGGCTATGTATTGTTTTTGAAAACATCCGTAAGAGTGTTAGATTGAATTGTTAAACTGGTTTGAACCCCAGACCTCCTAGGCAGACATTCAGCAACCTTGCTAAAGGCCAAAAGGGTTATTCATTTAGACTTAACCCACAGAATCTTCTTACACATATAGGTTATTTCCAGGAATCTTGCTGTTGGGTTAACTTTGAGTGTCCATCTTGTAATCAGGTGGGCATGGTTTTAAATCAAGAGTCTAAGGAATTTTAATTTTTCAGGTTTGTAATTATGGTGACAAGGTCACAAAGCATAATGACAATGCACATTAATAATGAATTACTGCAGGCACCAGAGCTTCAGACAAGACAATCTGACATGTTTTTTGCATATGTACTCATCTAAAATGATGAAACATGCACCAAAAATCTAGGAACAAGTATAAGAATCTTACACCTGCTGCCGGTACAGACCGGAATATCTAGCTAGAGGGTAACTGTTTACGGCGGTAACGAGGCTCTGCAGAGTTTCCACTAAACAGTTACCCGAGAGCTAGATTTTCCGGTTTGTACTGGCAGCCAGTGATTCTTTTTCTTGCATATTGCATATCAATTATTTTCAGAACAGGAAATTACAAAAACTAATATTCTCATTACTCACTTTTTTCTTATAGTAGCGTATGAACTTACAACTTCATTCATAACTGTAAAATGACGTCATCCTAAGAATGCAATTCATTCATAAAAGGCGCGGCAATGACGTCATTTAAAACACGCGACTTGTCTTACATGGGGGGTGTAAGACAGGGTTTTCTAGCACCGGTGTTAAAGGTAGATAATCCTGTCTGACATGCAAGAAAAATTTATCTTGCCATAGCATATTTATCACCACAATTATCTTTTTTTTTTTTAAATGAAAACATATTTTTGTATCTAAACGCACCAAAAAGGCATGATAGATAGTTGGCAAAACTATGAGCAGTTAAGAATTTCTGAAGCTAAGAATTTCCATAAGGCAATTCTTTTACATAAAATAAGATCCATGAATTTCCATTGAAAAGTTTCTGTTTGGAAGCAAATGATACAGTTACAGTTACGGTGATACACATCAGCTATTAAGGGGAGTGGTGGCCTAGTGGTTAAGGTGTCTGCCTCTCAACCCAGAGATCATGGGTTCGAGCCCTACTCTGGTCAAGACCATGTTTCTTCATATGACACCAGTACTGGTTGGTTCTAGGAAGCAGACTTGAAAGTGATTAATATAAGTTACAAGAACTTGTTTTGCAATCAAGCTTAAATAAATATGTTTAAACCATCCATCATTTAATAACTTAAAATCAGTAAAATTAAAAAGTTTTTTGATTAACTAGGAATATTTGGTCACATATTTAGAGTTTATAGAAAAAGTAGCACCACCATTCTACCTAGAATCAAATTTTTATCAAGCAATTACATGTATAATTGTCATATACATGTTCAGTATGTTTTGCTTTGTTAACTTAATTGCTCAGTTGGATAAATTAGCAGTTTCCAGTGGACCACTATACAGCTCTAGTCACATTCACTTCTCACTGTGACACATAATATTTCCTTGTTATCATTGTGTAGATTAACTGAGCACAACAATATAAATGCAGTAAGTAATACATTTAACACCTATCTCATAGTAATGTTTCCACAACTCAACAAGGAATTTTTTCAGGATGAAGAAAAGGAAAGAGCCATTACATCATGGAGAAATAAGACAGAAGCCTCAAAGAAAGGGGAGCTTCTCAGAGAGATACACAAGCTCAAAGTACAGTAAGTACAGACTGTTTCTGATCATCTTTTTAAGAGTAGCAATAATTTAAATTATAAATTTCAGAAGTTTCTAAAATGCTTTGTTAACCTAGTACTACATTGTATTTCTTACATCAAAGACTGTTCTTACTACAAATTAGGGAAAAAAACTGGAAAAAAAACATTATATTACTGTTTACAGACTTTGTTTTGTTAATGCTGTTAAATAAATTAATAAATTTAATAAGCTTTTTGTAAAACTAACAATATTAATTCTAATACTATTCAACAGAAATGATGCAACTACCAGCAGTTACAGCATGAATGTCTGACTTGCACCTTAATGTTTGCATCTAAGTGACATTATGACAATATTAACTGTATTTTATAACTTCTTAGATTTTCAGTATTAGCTCGAATGTCATAATACTATTTTTATGATAGCAGATATTGTAAATTATTTTATTATTTGACTTTGTAGAATTTCACATCAGACAGTTAATTCATGATTATATTGACTGTTAATGATTGTTTTAGGATTCAAGCTATGGAGAGAGAGAAGTGTACACATTTATACAGCAAGCGCAGTGACTTCAGACATGATTATTGTCAGCTCGACGAAATGGAATCCAAAGCTATTGGAGAACGTAAATCAGAACGTGAGTCATCATTGTTTCTTTGTTTATAATCCAGTTCAAAAACAGCTGTTGTTGATGGTTATATTTTTTATTATTTCAATAATTTAGTACAGAAATTAAAATGCTTTTGTCTACTATGTTTGCTAATGTATAGTTTATATTGATTAGTTAATTAATCTTTTAATTAGATCAAATTGAATCTGCTGCAGTTTCACAATATCTCTAGGTAAATTTAGAAATAAAATGTTGTAACACACATATATACTGGTAGGGACTCAGGAGAGTGATTTAGAGCCAAGACTGACCCTCTTGTTTATTGTAGATATTTTCTTTTTCAGAGATAAAATTGAAACATCAGCTAGAGAAGATAAGTCATATGGTGAAAAGATTCCACAAGGAATTGAGAGACGTCCAACCAACGCCTGAATGTAAGACATAGATAATATTGAGTTTTTTTATGGATTGTAAAATAAAGGGATATCATTATTGTTTATACACCATTTCCTAAATAATGAATTACATAAAAAATGGTAAAGTTGAAATAAAAACTTTTTCAATTTCAAGTTTTAATCATGTTTTAATTGGTATGTTAAAAGAGCATATTTGTAGATTTAATTTAATATGAATGTAGGTAATAGTGTTTCAAAATTAGTTTCTCTAGAGTCTACATGATTTTGTTTTGAAATGAAAAATTTAGCCACCATGTAAGTAGTGGTTTTATTTGAAAATGACACTGACTAAGTTCATATGCATGTTAGTTTTAGGAATGTACATGTGTTGAGTTCTGAAACTATTAATTAATTTATTTACCAGTATTTAAAGTTGAAATATGATAGCATTATTTTATTAATTTATTTACAAGTATTTAAAGTTGAAATTGGATCGCATTATTTAAACACCACCAAAATATTGATACCAAATGTTATTGGAAATATTAAAAATGATTCCTAAAGTTACTGTAAACACAGCATATAAACAAGTCTACTTTTTGTTTTGTAAAAAGGAAACAAGTTAAAATATATAGGCTCCTAAGAAAGGTACAGTGATTGGAAGTAACAGGAGCTAGACATGAAGCATAGATAATTGTATAGGCTTGGAAGACATGGTACAGTGATTTGTTTATCCACTGCAGTAAGTTGACAACGGTTTTTTCATGTAAAAGATAAAAACACATATTTACAGTATATGTCATATTAAAGTAATATATTTTGATTGTTAGTTGTAGAGAGGTTGAAAGTGATTATGGAGGAGATAGAAGGAACTATCAATGCATTTAAAGATCAACAAAGAAAGCAGTAAGATCTTTTACAAAATTTTTGTTGTTGGTTTTTTTATGGCTTCTTTCATAAGAAATAGTAAATTGGTTATATTACGTTATGCCTAAAATTATTCTCCGTAATAAATGGATTTTTAATTGAACTCATTCATTTCTAGGACAGTTTTAAATGACTTTGCTAAAAAATATATGCCATGTTGAGACATTGAGGTTAACTTAGAGTTTAAACAAATCTCTGGATTTATTATTACTGCAGACTTATTATCCTTGATACAGGTTTTTTCTCAAAGGTTTTTGCTGAGTTTAGATGATTACTCTAATAGATATTCTAAATTAAAAGATTGGGAGGGGGGGGGTGGCAACACATCAAAATACCAGGTCGGTTTATGTATTTATTATAACTATTGGTTTCGAGAACTATATACCCTTCTTCAGGTTAAATATAAATTCTGTCATACAAAACATGACATATTCTACTGATGTTTTACAGTGAATTGATAAAATATCTTTTAATACTACATGTATGTGTCAACTTTGCTACATCTCTCCTGTTTCTACTTTAAAACATTGATAGTTTGACATATACGTTTTGTATAATGTATTGGTTATATGTAGTGTGATACTTATAATAAAAAGTTATAAAATAAAAAATTCATTTGCTTTTTTCATTTCATTGTATTTTTCAATTGAATATAGCATTCTACTGTACATATTATGACTATTATATTAGACCTTCTTGTTTTAAGGTATGAATCTATGTTACTAGAGGAAAGGACTTCTTGGCTGGAGATTCAAGCTTTAGAAAAAAAGTTTGATTCCTGGTCACAGATAGGGAATGATAGTACACTGACCAAAAGAAACACAAGTGCTAGTAAACCACTTGCTAGTGCTAGAGATATTACAAAAGATCTGCCACCAGAAGTTGCAGCATTTGAGGTATGTTAATATGATTGGTCTTTTTTTCCAAGTTATTGTAAATTCGGTTAAAAAAATTACATTCATCAAGGCTAAACACTTGCTGTTTATTTTCTCAGGCAAAAGGCTTGTTTCCACCCCACCCCCATTTTGAAATGATAAATTTCTAATTTTAATAAGTTTTTAAATAAAAATCAGAAGAAGGAGACATAAGTATTTTTGTAAAAGGCAGAATACCTTTTTGTGGAATTCTAAAAATCATGAAAATGGGCATAATTAATCTTTGTTATTTAGGTATAACAATACAAAAGTTAAAGTTAACCACTTACAGAATTTAATATTTAAATTATTGGTACCAATTTGCATGAATGCCAGAGACTTTACAAGCTTCAATTGTAATGTTTCACTTTGTCTTGACTTTGATTTTAAATCTTAATTGCTATCACCTAAAGTTGTTTCATCTCTTAATATAACAGATATTTACGAAATTTATTGATGGTTATTGCCAACTTAAGTTAGGTTTGGTTTGAATAGATTACTATATTCACTAATTTTACGACCTGATTTCAGAAATTTGTGGAGCAAAATGGTGGTGTGCGAGGTGGCTGGGATGAATATGATCATCAAACTTTCCTGAAATTTAGACAGCGCTATCAGGTTTGTGAAATAGTTATTTTTGAAATATATAAAGGGCTTCTAGGTTTGTTTAATCATTTCTGAAACACTGAAAGCACTGTCAGGTTGTTCCTTGGTTTCTAAAAAAATCTTTAAATACTTAATACTATTTATTATTGTAAGGTAAACCTGTTTTCTGTCTATTTATTATTGTAGGGTAACCTTGTTTTCTGTCTATTATTGTAGGGTAAACCTGTTTTCTTCCATTTACATTTAAAGATTAAACCTGTCATCAGTCTATTTATTTTTGCAGGGTAAACCTATTTTATTCCATTTATAATTAATTGTTAACCTGTTTTCTTTCTATTTATAATTTTAGGGTAAACCTGTTTTCTTGCAACATTTACTGCCAGCATTACCAACAAGGACAGAAGAGGAGATAAATTCACATGAAGAATGGTACCAAGAGTATTTGTTCCTGAATGAAACAAAGAAAGAAGCTATTAAAAGATGGCGCGAAAGAAAAGAGGTATGTATGTATTAAATGATATGAGCTGTACTGAAATAGCTGTCATTGTTAGCTCGACTATTCGCAGAATAATCGAGCTAATGCAGTCACCAATTTGTCAGCGTCGGCATCCCTGTGGTTAAGTTTTTGCGTGTAAGCTGGTATCTCCATAACTACTGAAGGGAATGGATTGAAACTTCACACACTTGTACTCTGCAATTATCTAACATGACTGGCACAAGTCCCATAACTCTGATTTGCTTTTTTGCATAATTATGCCCCATTTTCGACTTAGAAATTCTTGGTTAAGTTTTTGCATGTAAGCTGGTATCTCCATAACTACTGAAGGGAATGGATTGAAACTTCACACACTTGTTCTCTGTGATTATCTAACATGATTGGCACAAGTCCCATAACTCTGATTTGCTTTTTTGCATAATTATGCCCCTTTTTCGACTTAGAAATTCTTGGTTAAGTTTTTGCGTGTAAGCTGGTATCTCCATAACTACTGAAGGGAATGGATTGAAACTTCACACACTTGTTCTCTGTGATTATCTTACATGATTGGCACAAGTCCCATAACTCTTGATTTGATTTTTTTTTCATAATTATGCCCCTTTTTCGGCTTAGAAATTCTTGGTAAAGGTTTTGCTTGTAAGCTGGTATCTCCATAACTACTGAAGGGTTTGTGCCTTTTTTGGGACAATTTTATGCATTCATAATAATAAAGCAGTGATTTACTCGATAAAACATCTTAATAACAAGCCTTTGTACCTTTTCGGACAATTTTATGTATTCATATAGGTAAGCATTATTATACTCGATGAAACACCCTTGTGACAACTTTGTGTCGAGCATAACTGTCCTCCAACAGTTCTTGTTATTTTAATAGGAGGAAATACAGGAGAGATTATTGATTCAAACAAAATTTGGCCTGTTTCAAGAGGTCAAGATTACAGGAAACAAATACCTTTGTAACATTTTTGATTCCGTTTTTTGTTTATGGGCAATATCTTCAGTAGTGATGCTGTAAGGAGGATGTGTCTTTATGAATTCTGCAAGTGACAAAAATTTGTCATCATTTTAAAAATTTACAGTTAACTATCCATTACTGAGTAAGTGGGATATGTTGCTTTTTTAGCTTGACTATTCGATAAGAATAAGTAGAGCTATTGCAGTCACCCGAGCGTCGGCGTCGGCGTAACCACTTATGTTAAAGTTTTTGTAATAGTTCAAATATTTTCAAAGTCCATTGACATATGGCTTTGAAACTTTGCACACTTGTTCACCATCATGACCCCAACCTGTAGACAGGAGGAGGTAACTCTATCAAGCATTTTGACAGAATTATGCCCCTTTTTCGACTTAGAATTTACGTTAAAGTTTTTGTAATAGTTCAAATATTTTCAAAGTCCATTGACATATGGCTTTGAAACTTTGCACACTTGTTCACCATCATGACCCCAACCTGTAGACAGGAGGAGGTAACTCTACCAAGCATTTTGACAGAATTATGCCCCTTTTTCGACTTAGAATTTACGTTAAAGTTTTTGTAATAGTTCAAATATTTTCAAAGTCCATAGACATATGGCTTTGAAACTTTGCACACTTGTTCAACATCATGACCCCAACCTGTAGACAGCAGGAGGTAACTCTATTAAGCATTTTGACAGAATTATGCCCCTTTTTCGACTTAGAATTTACGTTAAAGTTTTTGTAATAGTTCAAATATTTTCAAAGTCCATTGACATATGGCTTTGAAACTTTGCACACTTGTTCACCATCATGACCCCAACCTGTAAACAGGAGGAGGTAACTGTATCAGGCATTTTTTTTTACTATCAAGCACTAAGAATAGTCGAGCATGCTGTCCTACCGACAGCTCTTGTTAACAACTCTTGTTTAAAAATATTTGATTTGAAGGTACTACAAATGTATATTTTATTAAACTCTTCCAAATGTGAAGTTCAAGGTCATATTATGAACTGCATATAGGTCTAGTTTTCTATTATTTTATAAGCTTGTTATAATTTTATTCCAGGAAGAGAAAGAAGAGTTACTTGCAAAGGCTGGGGAGGAACCAGAAGAAAAACCTGATGTAAAACAAGAAATGTTAAAGGCCCAGATAGAGAAAGAAAGAATGGAAAGAAAGTCTCATCTTAACGCATATAAAGTACAGAAAGAACTGGAGAGGGCACAAAAGGAGGAGAGAAAGTTACGAGAACAACTAGATGAACAAAAGAAAAAACAGGAATGGAAAAGGAGACAGGTCTGTTGAATATGGAGCACTTGTATTATATAGAGCACTTGTGAATACTAGTTACTGGTTCTAATTAATATAGAAATGTTTTTAGTAGTGCCGAAATTGTCTAGGTCATGAAATCCTTATGATTTTTTTAGAACATATGAAAAAATCAACTCTAATTTTAGTTTAATAGTCAAATGTTTTAAGATTAATAAAAATTTGAAAAGATCAGGTGTGTGATTTAAGTTTAAAGTTTTCTGTAATTTAAAGAAAATTAGTTCATTACTGACACATCTACAAAGACACTGCTTGCATATTTTGATATGCAAAGCAGCATGATAAAGTATACCTTTTCTTGGCTCTTGGCTTTGCGTTTTACATTTTCTTAACCTCGTTTCAATTTATTATCATACTGGTTTCCTTATTTGGAAAATAATAGTTTTCCGTAATGTGAAGATTTTCTGTACAGATTATAATATTTTAGTAATTTTTTGTTTTTTAAAGATTAAATAAACTATGGGGTTATGGTTGTTGATTTCAAACCACTCACTGATCATCGTCACAGGTTTGAATTCTGCCATAGACTTTGGATTCTTTTGTGTGTGGAAGCTATCCAACAAGCTTACAGAGAGTTGATAGTTCTACTCCAGTGCCTTCTTATGCCTGGAATAATACACGGTGGGGCACCTGAGGTCTTCCTCCACCAGTTAATCTGGTAAAGTGGCCATTTGGCCTTTAGTGTTGATGTGACGTAAAACCCAAACAACAACATTAAAAGCTATCAAATATGGTGTTTTATTTATTCAAACAGGAGGAGTTGAAGGCCAAGGTCATGGTTCATAAGAAACAAAGAGAAGAAGAGGAATCTTACTTAGAAATGCAGAAGAAAATGTGGGAGGAGGAAGAAAAAGAGAGACAAAAACAAATATCCTCGAGAGAAATTGCTAAATTTAGACAAAGGGTTTGTAGAATAACTTCTTATAAAGATAACAGATGAAGGCAATGATAATTTCACTGTTAAAATGAAGAATTATACTAATATCATGTAATAAAAAATGACTTGTATTTTTAATAGGGTTACTTCAGATGCTTAGACTTTTACTTTGATAAAGAAATCTGTTTTGACAATAACCATTGCAATGCTTGATTTGGCGTGGTATGATCTGTAATGTGTCAGTATGTTGTTAAACCCGAAGAAACAACCAAACAAAACATGAATATGGACTTGTTCATTATGTTTTATAAAAGATTGCAGTATCATAAGTACTTGAATTCAGCAGGTAAATATACATTTTATCACCACAAAAAATCAAACTGTTCCATAGTTTTAGATTATTTTTTAAATTGAATTGTGGATTTGAAACCAATAGTTCACATAGTTCAAATAATTTATAGATAAATTAAATAAACAACATCTTTTTATACAGGATGAAACTGCATTGTATCAAAAACTTGCAAAAGAAAAAGAGAAAGAAGAAGCCTTGAAAGAAAAGGAGCGCAGACTTGCAATGTTAAAAAGTCAGGTACGGTAGAGTTATTTATTTTTCTCTTGTTTTGAGAATTTTACAATTATTATAACATATGTAAATACTCTAACCTGTGCTTTAAAGGCATTTTTGTGGATGTCCAACTTATCCTGGACTTTTTTCACTGATAGAGGAAGAGGCCCTTCACTTTTAGTTCGGAAAAAATAATGTGGTATTTTTGCAAATAGGGACAAAAAACTTGTTTTAAACAACTGAAGAATATAATGCTGCTATTTTAAGCAGGGTTTAAACCATTTTACAATGATATTGGCACTTTTCACTTTAAAGGAAATAAACTAGCATTTTTTTTTCAATATTAAAACAATAACAATAATTTTTGCAGCAAATATAAAGCTGCATACTCGTTATAGACAACAAAAGTCACTTTACAATTATTTTGTATCCTGACAAAGGTATGAACTGAATACTTGTACTGATGTATAGTAAATAAGTAACCTGTATAAACAACTCTTTATATAACAGGTAGAAGTTGAGGTGGAGAGAGATCCTAACAGATTGTTAAAGCCGACAGCTGGTTGGAAAAATCGTAAGAAGGATAAAAGTTCAGCTGGAGGTCAGGTGCTACCCAATATGATGCCTCACAGGTAGTGGCTGTTTTATTTCTAAGTGTAGAAAATACTAAAGTGGTGAACTTTTGTGAATGTTGTATCGCTTTTATGCTATCTTTGACCTTTTATATCCACAATTTTATTAAACAGCATCTCCTCTCAGACTATTTGGAAAACTTTAAAACCCTCAAAATCTGGAAGTAAGAAATTTTGGCATGTATCATATATAGTAGAGCTTCACAAAAGTTATTTTTCTCATGTTTCTAGTGTATTTTATATAGTCTTTATATTGTAAAAGCAACTTGTAATATTACTGAATCTTAAGTTCAGAGAAAAGACACATTTATAAAATGACCCTGCCTTTAAAGTTTTATGTTGACATTGTATAAACATGTATTACAGTAGAATCATTAATCTTACATAAGCTTCCTGGATATATTCCTCACATGAATAAGTCCTCGGTGCCTAGTGGCATTTGAACCTACATTTAAGAGAGGCCAGTTATTTGATGTCCAAGACCATATGAACATGGCCACAAAGAGTGCTAGCTTTTTCTTTAGGAAGTATTCTTGTATTGAAGGGAAAATACCAGAAAAGAAGCGAAAATGATGTGTCAGAGAAAGATGTCCCGACAACATTTTATTTAAACACCTATAAATATATATAATTTTTTTGTGAACAACATAACAACATCTGAAATAAATAAGCATCTTTCAGAATGTGTATTGAGTGAGTATTTCTATCTATTTCAGAGCGGTTCCAGCATGGAGACAAGGTCCTTGAGAGCCTAGACTTGGCGCATTCAATCTACTTTAGGATATTGGAGCCAGTTGTCACACTGGAAAAAGAAAGACCAGAAGATTAGCATTAGCAAAAACTCGGCAAAGGTTTTACTGCACAAAGTAGAGGCTCAAAACAGAGCTCTGTTCAGGCATGGAGACAATGCCATTGAAAGCTTCAAAATTGAACATCGTGTGAACAATAGTAAAACATAGTATAATAATGTCTTGTGATCTTTATTCTCAAAATACAATGTACGTCAGAATGTTAAAAAATGTTGACAAGCTTATCACATTGAATAAAGTAAATATGTTGAGAAACAGGGCTGAGTTTGATCAGAACAGGAACAAGACAGTGGACACAGTGTTGGGTGTAGCATTCTTTAATCGGTGAAGTGTATTCACAGATGTTGTACTGCAAGAGTAGTATTATTAATTTAACATGTCATATGGTTATTTATTTCTTTTTCTTCTTTTTTGTCGAACTTATTTTCATTTGTACATACAAGGATGTAATTAATTATCTATAAATGCTTGAAACAAAGTTTTAACTGTAAAAAATTTAAAGATTATGCTTTTGTTTCTATTTAAATTTTACACAATTGAAATAGGATATGGTTATGCTTAATTTATTCCCTAAATTTAATGTACCTATAAGATTTCCTCTATTCCAAATTTCAGAATTAGACATATCTGTTGAATTTATATAAACTAGTAGTTTGACCAAATGCTTAAACTGATTTAACATTTTTCCTTGAATCAATGCAATTGAATTGTGTTATAATAAATTTTTTTATTACAAATAGGGCTTTGTTATTTTTCGCTTTCGAGCAAATGTTAAAGATAATAGATATAGTTTCTATTAAAATTACCAATTGAAATAGGATCATGGTTTAGTCATTTTATTCCCTAAAATTAATGTACCTATTAAGACTTTACCTCTATTTCCAACATGTTCTAGAATTGAGACAATATCTGTGTTTAATAAACTAGTAGTGCCATAATGCTTGAGAACTGATTTAACATTTTTCCTTGAATCACATAGCAATTGAATTTTTTAATAATTTATTTTATTACATACATTGTTTTGTTGAAATATTAAGATTCTTTGATTTTAAAAGGGTTACTTCTGTTCTAAAATGCTTAAGGAAATAAAATCAATTGAAAAACTTGAATTTGTTAGTATTTTGAGTATCGTCATTTATTAGGACAGTATGAAACCAGATCAAGCAGTCTTTGACTCAGACCAGCTAGATATGTATGAGCTCTGATTTAAACATATGAAATGGTTACGACCATATTTATTCCACCGATGTGGAAGTATTATTGCCGTTTCTGCCAGAATCTACTAGCAGAAATTTCAACTGCTTGAATTGTAATTTAGTGGACTTGTCCTGGTCAAGGCAGTGTAGTTAATCTAATTTTGGTACCAAACGTCCTGTATACAAGGTATAAACACGTTTGACATCTATAATATGTCACATTAAAGCCATTTTCGTCCAACACCTCTGAAAAGCTTGGAACATCTACACAAATGCCCAAAAGGTCAGCGTCCCATATAGAACGTACATCCATGACAAATCCCTTACTAGTATATTCTAAGAAGTTTATGTTGTAAAGAACAACAACGTAAAGAAGAAAAATTTCAATTGGTATTGTGCTTCAAAATCTTTTTAAAATTCACCATCCTGTATGCATATGGAAAATTCACAATGTAATTTGAATAACTATCATATGCTTGTATATGTAAAACATGCTTAAATAAAAACCAGATAAGGACTTCAAAGGATAAAATGTTCGCTTATGATAAATTTGCAACAGGACTGATATTACATACATACAAACACGTGCAATATTTTTCTCCTTAAAAAAAATACATAGTAGTCATGGCGATTTGGAAAACGTATCAAAAATTAATGATTTATGAATAAAGCACGCTCTATTTGAATGGAATTGGATCGAGTGCCAAAAAAAAAAAAAATCACCGCAACCTCTGGGTCAATGGAGTGGTTCCAGATATAACCGAACCTGCATTAAAGAGGGGGGCGGGTAACGGATAATAGGACCTACTTCATCCTTCATGGTATATTTTACCAAAGTTTTCCTAAATTTAAAGCCTCCTCTATTCTCCGGGGTTGCATAGGTTTGAAACGTCAGGTGTTTCAAATATAAGTGATTCCCAATTTAACTATGAATGGTAAAGTGCATAGAAAACTAACTTACTAATATGCTGATCTCCACTTAGTAGTATTGTCCAGAATTTATCCGTACAAAAAATACAGTTGGAAAGGAGCTACACCGAGCCAAAAAAAATCTTATAACAACTGGAGCACTTTGGGAAAATATGAAAAGGATGATAAAGAATTATACCAAAAGTCAATTTTAAGTTCGATTGAGTTAAAAGCGTTCAAACGCTTATCATTTAGGTCATTTTGCACAAATAAAATTATTCTTATCATTCTGGAGAATGATCTGAACCTTTCCACGCATGCAGGTTATCGGAACAATTCAAATACATATAAACACGTATTAAGTCCCGTCATGTCGGAGCCCTTTTACAGGACATAACTTTGGTAGAAAAAGCACTGAATATGAACATAACGCTACTATATTGGTAATAAATCTTCCTATGAGTGTTAGTTTGGGCACTTAGAAAAATTCGAGATAGACAGACGAAAGGGTGGACGAGAGTCCGGCGAACGTAAGAAGCGACAGCTATATTCATCCCCACTGTGAGGATTTTATTTTATTTATAAAAACTGATTTTATATACATCTAGTATTTAGCGCTACTTGCGATGTACAAAACCCCATCAATCAAAGTTGTGATTCGTTGAATAATCTTAATTTGTCACATACATTGGTTAAATTAATTTCAATTCTGATTCATATATAGTTCATCATCATGAAATTAGTGACCATTATTGAATAAAGTTTGTTTACTTGTGTATTTGAATGCCTTTCGGCAGTTTTTATTGAATATATGTAATAACCACTTCCGCATACATTGTACAAGTAAATGAAGACTTGTTCTCGGCAAATACTAGAATTTTTTTCATGTTGAGTTTAAACTCTATAAGTCGGGGAAATAAACGTGTGACATGAGGTGTTATATGAATACATTGGAAAATACTTAATATTGATTTAAAAAACTAAACGATAAAACTAAAACATTCAAGTAGCATCTTTCGCTCGTACATAAAAAAATAAGGACTTACAATTATGTGGATAAAATTTGTAGCGTTTCTCTCTTGTTGTATAATAATTTCTGCTTACCCTAACGGACCACCAAAAAGCGTGTGTAAAGACGGGATGCCAGTTCATGTAAAAGATGGACGACATATATCCTCCTCAAAATATATCTAGCCCTTTCATCATAGACGTCAATACGACTGTTATTCGACCGGGAGAAACCATTCGGGTCAAAGTTCGCAGCAACAAGGGCGAAATGTTTCGCGGTCTTTTTCTCCAGGTTCATCCGATTCCAAATTCCGCAAATGACGAAGTTAAATATGAAGCCGCTGGTCTTTTCGATAGAAAGTTAAAAAATGTGAAGATCATGACGTGCAGAATACTTTTAGACACGTTGACTCATAAAGATCCATTTATGAAAATAGAAGCTTCTTTTGATTGGAGAGCTCCCTTATATCTTACACGGAATCTTGTTGTCAGGGCGACAATTTTGAAGAATTTCGACACATATTGGCATAATGTTATGTCGCCGAAAATAACTGTGATAAAAGACGAAATATCCGAAGTTAAATCTTTGGAGAAACCTTGGCTAAAAGAAATTATTAAAACTATTAAATCTGAATACGACGTCAGTGCTAGACGTGATATTGTAAGAGCACGATTTGAACGCGGTTTCAGACAAGCCATAGATCGTAACGGTATTGTTATGGTTAATTTTGTAACCAATTTACTACCGTTTGAAGACAGTCATGTCCCTAGAGCTCTAAATTCTAATCAATCTGTATATTTGAAAGGTGAACCCATACAAGCAGTTTCGTTAAGTGATACTTCAAATGTTACACTGTCAACGAATGATACTAATGACATATCTCAATCAGCAGAAAATGAAAATACTACTGACATAAATTCTATTGAAAAAGTCCCTGTCGAGGAGGCTGGAGAGAATATAACCGCCGCTGAAGTTGCAACAAATGTTGAGAGTAGCTTAGACTGGGATACCGACAACGGAGAGGAGTTTAATGATGAAGATATAGATTTTGATCACAATGTTGCGGGTTTATTTAACGAGACATTTGACATGTCTCACGAGAAGAATACGCCCATGATGGAACAATATTATGAAGTTCTTGTGAAAAGTTTGTTAAAAGGGGACGAAATGGTGGCGGATACACTAAGTGAACTCTTAGAAAATAACTAAAACCCTCCATTAATATATTTGTCAAATAAATGGAATATACACGCTATAAACATTTTTTCTCTTGAAAATTTAGCCAGTGGAATTGCCTCTCGAACTATCTATGGTAACGTAAAGGGATTAGATAGAATTGAAGTTGTGATATAAAATTTACTGATTAAAGTTTTAAAAGTCCAATCATACCGCTGGAATGTAACAGACTTGCATGTCTCCATCTATACTAGGGATATGGGCCTTTCATCATATTGTTGAAACAGTAATTAACAAGCAATTAAATGTCTTCCTCAAGTAAATATCGTTCTTGTCACTTAAACCAGTCACATCAATATACATGGATAATGTTCTATTTCTAACTGAAACTCACTGCTTCAAAAATGTTTTTTTTTCTACTCATCAAAATGAATTAACTTTTTTTTAAATGGTACGTTATAATATCTTGTTACTATCATTTATTTTATTTATTTTTTTGTAATAAACGACATTGGACAATGCAATCTGATATAAGATCAGATCTTCTTATAAAGTGTTTTTGTTCGGTTTTACATCGCAGCAGCACAGAAGAGATCAAAAGGCGAGTTTCCAGCTTTACTGGCAGAGGAAGACCTCAAGTGCCCCTCCGTGCATTATTTCAGGCCCGAGTAAAACAACTGACGTTCCGTTAGCTAGCTGGATAGCTTAGATTCCTAACATGAAAAATTCCCTTTCCAGACGGGATCTGAGCCCACAGAGGTGTGGGGCAAATTGTTTGAACTCAACGGTCAAAAGGCACACATGGTATCTATATGTAATTATTTTAAGGACACACGGTAAGTTTTAATTAATATATAACAACCTGAAAAGCCTGTGCGTTTGAAATTAAGAGGGTACGTAATATAATCCCGATACAACACTGGCCAATCCTGCATAAGATTTAAGAGGAAAAAGCACGACCTTTTTTGGCACATTTGTTTAAGTATGATTTATTAAAATTTTTATTTAAGATCCATATTGTTAAAACCACATTCGGATCAGTTTCCTGGAATTCACTAGAACTGGTGGGGTTATTTTCATGACCCATCTGACTTAAGTTCAGATTTATTTTAGTTATTTCTTGCATGTAGTGTCTTAAGAGGCAGACACCTCAACCACCAGACGACACTTTCCTTCTACTGGCCTACCAGTATTTTATCATGCTTGACACTTTGTTGGGAAAAGAGGAAGCTGACTTCTTTAGCTAAGGTATTCCATGTATTAAAAGAAATGGCCACATGTACCAGCTTAGTAATAAGCTTACTCTTTATCAAAATTTGACTATACATGTATATAAATAGACTGCTTACATAATTTGGCCTGGAAAAACTAAACTTAATGTCAGTGGGGAATGTGTTTAAATCTTAGCATTCTAGTGACAAATATATGAGAACATGCTGCAACATTCAACTAGCATTGAAAGACGATTTGTAATAGTGTTTTTGAAATTATAAGAAATTGTTTTAAATAAATAAAATGATGGCATTGATGATTTGACTTTTAAAACTTCAAAAACAATGAAAAACACTTAATCTTATTATTCAACTTTAATTATATTTGTTATGCATTTGATAATTTATTACAATTATAATGAACACTGCTAAACTAATTAAATTGTTTTTAATGATAATTTGGTTGATAATTGATCTGAACAAATAAAAAAAATGTCTTATCAAACTTATTTCAAACTTATTTACTTATAAAGGTTAATTTGATACATAATTATAAATCAAACAAGAGCTGTCGGTAGGACAGCATGCTCGACTATTCTAAGTGCTTGATAGTAAAAGAGCCTAATGTTCAATTTTTTAAGTTCACAAAAGGGCTAATTTTTTTTATAAATTCATGTTTTAGGCCTTTGTCTAATTATACAGTATTGGCTTGACTATTCGGAAGGTAATGTCACAAGGGTGTTTTATTGAGTATAATAATACTAATTACCTATGAATACATAAATTTGACAGAAATGGTACAAAGGCTTGTTATTAAGATGTTTTATGCAGTAAATCACTGCTTTATTATTATGAATCCATAAAATTGTCCCAAAAAAGGCACAAACCCTTCAGTAGTTATTGAGAAAACAGCTTACAAGCAAAACTTTACCATGAATTTCTAAGTTGAAAAAGGGGAGAAAAATCAGCCTAAATGCAAGATAGAATTATGGATCTTTGTCAGTGACCTACAATTATGACCCTAAATGCATATGTGAAGTTTTAAATAAATATCTTTAAAAGTTATTGAGATATGTAAAACTTGCATGTAAACATTAACCAAGAGACTAAGTAGAAAAGGGGATATGAATCAGCCTTAATGCAAGATAGAGTTATGGAACTTGGTCAGTGACATACAATTATGACCCTCCAATTATGACCCTAATTGCATGTGTAAAGTTTCAAGTAAATATCTTTGAAGACCTTTAACCAAAATTTCTAAGTTTCAAAGGGGCAAATAATTCTGCAAATATTGCTGGCAGAGTTATGCAATTTTGCAAACTGATGTACATTGTTACTATGAAAAAGTGTTTTAAATTTCAATTGAATATCTCAAGCAATAATTGAGATATTTGACTTTACAAAAAAACTTTAACCAAAATTTCTAAGTTCCAAAGGGGCATAATTCTGTCAATATTGTAGGCAGAGTTATCCAACTTGTCAATCTGATGAACCTTGTTACTATAAATAAGTATTGTAAGTTTCAATTGAATATCTCAAGCAATAATTGAGATATTTGACTTTACAAAAAACTTTAACCAAAATTTCTAAGTTAAAAAGGGCCATAATTCTGTCAATATTGTAGGCAGAGTTATCCAACTTGTCAATCTGATGTACCTTGTTACTATAAATAAGTATTGTAAGTTTCAATTGAATATCTCAAGCAATAATTGAGATATTTGACTTTACAAAAAAACTTTAACCAAAATTTCTAAGTTAAAAAGGGGCATAATTCTGTCAATATTGTAGGCAGAGTTATCCAACTTGTCAATCTGATGTATATTGTTACTATAAATAAGTATTGTAAGTTTCAATTGAATATCTCAAGTAATAATTGAGATATTTGACTTTACAAAAAACTTTAACCAACGCAGACGCCGACGCGGACGCTGACGCCGACGCCGACGCCGGGGCGACTACAATAGCTCTCATATTCTTCGAATAGTCGAGCTAAAAACAAAAGTTCATTATTCATCAATTTTAATGGAGCATAATAATACATTAGAAACCTATGAAACAAGGGATTTTGTCCGGGTAGGTAAGGGGATTTTTTCCAGCCTTGCAAAAACATGAAGGGGATTATGTCCACCCATGGAGGGGATTTTGTCCGGGTATGCGAAGGGGACTTTATCCGAAGGGGGATTATGTCCGTACACCGATACAACATATACTTGAAATAAATGTAAGGAAATAACTGTCATGAAAGGAATGACTGACATATAAATACGAATTTCATTACGCACAGCAAATACCATGACATGTATTAAATATACAAATATATGTTGAATAAATTCCTTTTAATGCTTCAATTGTAAACTAAATAAAAATATAAAAACATACTGTAACTTGTTATCTTTCTCAAATGTACAAAAACGACTATCAAAGCAGCCTTATTTTTGTTTCTTAGTAAGTTTTCTCAGAGTTGAAAAATTATGAAGTAATCTCCTGGGTGAATTCTGTAGGTGCATGACCTAGAGATAAATTCTATACACTCGTGTGACCTGGATGATTCTGCAACATCACTGTGGCATGGATAAATTTTGTACCCTCATGTGGCCTGGATAGATTCTGTATACTCGAGTGATCCTTAATTTTCATTTCCAGGAGAGAAGAACAAAGTTTCTTGGTGAAAGTTCTGGGTCAAATACTGGCACTAAAGCACTTACATGTCCTGAAAAAGATTTCAAATGCATTATTTTTGACAGTAAATATAACAGGAATTTGAAATGAACTTAATTTCAACAAATGAAGAAATGTAAATCAAAACAAAATGTACAGAATTTTATATACAAATGTACAAAAGAACCTAGAAAACTCATTTAAGTAAATTAAATCCCTGGGAGGTCTATTTAGTCAAAAAAGGGGCCTATACCAATCAACTGAATAAATAAAGGCAGAGGGTGGGGCTAGGCACTTTAATAAAAGAGATAAAAAAAATTCAATCAGCCATTTTTTATACAAGTATGTATATCAGTCATATGCATTTATAAAATTTTGGGATTATTCTTATGGGGAAAACTAACAAAATCTAACCAGATGTTTAAGACCAACACATTTAAACACAATTTATTACTGACAGCAAATATAAGCCAATCTCAAACAACTGAAAATAATTTTAGAACTATCACATAAAAACTTAAATTTGTGCATGGCCGAGTGGTCAACACGTCAGATTAGTAATCTAATGATCGCAGCCTCATAGGTCCAAACCTCGTCAGGGGAAAGTTTGTTTCCTTGAGCAAAAACTTTACACTTATTGCTCAGTATGGTTGGTTCCAGGAACAGATTCAAAAGTGTGTCTATAAGCTTATAGCTTCCTACACAATCAAATCAAATAAATCCTGTATGAAACAAATTTATCTAATATTTCTATAATCTGTACAATAAGTGTAACTATTAGAAGAATGTTCTACAAATATTTCTTACTTCTACCTTTTTCAAATAAGAACATCATCCTGTCAAGAAGGACTAGTGTTTCTACAACAGGGGCTAAAGCAAGACGTATTGTATAAAATGCCACCACATCTTTCCATCTCTCTGTCATTCTTTCTGCTTGATGGAATAACTCCTCTGTTAACTGGTCTTGTGGAATATTCAGTTTTTGTAGACCAAGTTCAACATATCTGTTTGAGCAAAAAAAATACAAGAATAAACATTGGACCAAATTTATTTCAATGTAACAAACCGATATATCTTAGAATATCTACTAGAACATCGTTCTTCTATAACAGTTATACTTTATTCTTGCATAAAAACTGCTCATGCAGGTATACATCAACAGAAAAGAAAACATGAATAAACAGATAGATTCTTGTGTCCATGTGCTGTTGTTGCATTGTTTTGTTAAATGAGACTAAGGGCCACATATCAAAAAGCTTAATGCAATAATGACCCCAGTAGTTGTTGTATTTTTGTTTTTGATAAGCATGACTAAAACAGCTTAATGAAATAACAGCCCCAGTAGTTTTTGGTTTCAAGTCATAACTAAACTATCAAGGTCCTATGGCTAACTTTAATTTTTGAGGATGAGAAAAGCCCTCCAGTAACCTTTCCATCCTTTTATTCACAATGGGCACCTACATGTATGTAGGACAAAAACCCTGAGATAGCTGCAGCTTAAACATTCTGACAAAATAGAATTTCAACATTCCTGATAGATCTAGACTTTTAACTCAAAGCAGTTATGGGCAAGTACAATAATTCAAAATTTGTAACCTTATAAAATCAGTTATGAAGGTCCCTAAATTGATAAATGTATATTAGTTTATCAGAATCATCCATACTTTTCAAACTGTAGATCTTTCATCTTCCTTGAGGGTATTTGCACTGCAGTTCTTTTAAAATCTGGACATAATTTATTGGCAATCCATTCAAGAGCAGCTCGGTAGCTGTGAATCTTCAACAAAGGTGGACTTTCTGAAATTTAAGAAATCTTGGTGAATAAAACAAATACATCTTACCAGAATAGAAGTTATTTGAGAAATATTTTGGTTGTTGCTAAAGTATGTGAATACATATACATGTACTAACACTGAAAAGAAAAAAAAACAACTAGAAATACATGTATGCTCACATGACATTTATTCCCCACTCTACATTTGGTGTCACATTGCATGTGAACATACTTATGCATATTTTAAGTGTTATATTTAATTAAAACATAATATACATATATGATGATATTATCATTAGTAAGTTTCAAAAAGGGTCTGACCGAAACAAGGCGGTGATATGCACATCTCCTCATGGTATTGAAGGAATCCATAAAGTTTAATTGAATTACAGCCAGTAGTAGCAGAGAAGTAGCCCAGAAACAATTATTGCTCTATATGCATACTGTATAACTAATCAAGGGCCATAACTCTAAGTTATATTTTATATTTTCATAATCTGAAGACATGCTACTTACCTACAGGTACCTTTAAAACATTATCTTAGTCCTCAAAAACCTACCTTTTAATCTCTGTGAATATGTATCAGCAAAGTGACAAGCCAATTCCCTGCTGGCATAAGATTGCTGGTGATGAGGTAATGATATACAGAAATTACTCATTGGATAACCAACCATACCAGTCTCACAACTGTTAATGAAATAAATATAAAAGTTATTATAACTTATTATGACTAAGCAAGGACTTATCAAGGACAAATCATGCTAAACTAGGTATATTTAAGATATTTGCTGACACAGATGAAAACTGTATATAAATCAAATAAAATGTTCCAGAACATAATATGATGCTGCTATTTCAAGAAAAATTTTAACTGATAAGCAATGATTTTCTGCATGCACCTTTAGATGAAAAGGAAATGTAACAACATATTTCTTTAATACAGGCATTTTGGAATTACATGTATTTTCTTTTCAAAAATTCAATCAAAAATTGTGTAAACGGCAGGCAGCAGATGTTTAGCTTTATTCACTTTAAATATTACTAAATACAGAACAAGCTCTGCGGGACAACACCCTTCGCGAGACAAAGATTTTGGTTGCTGCATAGAGGTGTTGTTCTGGTGCGGTCAAACTTATTGTGAAGCCTTACTTTTGGAAAAAATGACTGTTGTACAGAGGTGATTTCTCTACAGAGGTCCACTCTGTCGAGATTGTACTGTAATTACTACTTTATAGAATAATACCTTTCATCTGATATCTTCATATAACAACAGCCAACTGATGCCAAACCAACTGCTGCTTGGCAATTAACAAAGAATCGTAGAAATGTGGGTGTCAGATCACCACATGCATGTAACCCCGTCAGCATAAACTTCCAGTTGTCAACATCAAGATGACCTGTGACCTCTGACTTACAAGCAACAGAATAATCTTGACCGGTACTTAGCTGTGTATTATGCCGGCTTTTGAAATCATTGTCATCAAATGGATTCACACAACTGTCACATCCTTCAGTAGTCGTTTCCACAGAATTACACGATAAAACATGGTCATTCTTTATATCACATTTTATTGATTGAGTTTTTGATTTTTCATTTTCATTAAAGTTTGACTTAGATGTTGTATCACTTATAGTAACAATGTTTGACTGAGTAACAGATTCTGAACAGTTTTCTAACTTCAAACAACCATCTTGTGCAATTTGTGATTCAACTTTAGCATATTTGATATCTTTAATTCCTTCAAGTAACTGACTGTTATCCTGTGTTCTTTTATTACATTCATTTAAACGATTGATCATTTCATGATGAACTGGTTCATTGTTGGATTCTAAATCATCACAGCTGGCATCATCTGGTTCATTCTTATGGTCAATCCTTAATGCAAGATCTTTATTGGTGACATCATAAGCACATACCCTGTTTATTTCTGAGTCTTTATCTCTGACATTCATAGAGTTTGACACAAAAGGTTGTCTAATAGTTTCAGTGTCATAATTTTCCTGACATTGTGACGTTATTATGGCTATAAATTCCTCGGCAGTCATGTTAGGGTAAATCATGCTCGTCACGTGGCATGGAAGAGGAACCTGTTCACTACTTTTCCCTTTAGCAGCCTGAAAAAGATATTTTACAACAAATCCCCTATTTTACTCTATAAATGCTAGGCATAATAAGGATTAACCTACACTACCAGTTTAGAGCCAGGATACGTGTTCACTAAGTGGGGTTGAGGAGGGGTAGGTTAATCAGGCTATAAATTATGAGCTATCCATTGTTAAAGATCCTGTAACACATTTTTTTCATGGTTTTATTTCATGATATGATGCTCAAATTAAGATATTTCAATATTGTAAGTTCCAATAAGCATTATTTACAAAGATATTACCCAATTTAACATTTCATGTAAATAAAGGGAGGTAATTAGAAATTTATTTTCTATAAATTCTAAGTCAAATTTTCCAATAAGAAATGAATGCATGTAATTTATTGATTAAATATAATGTGCACAAATATTTGCAGTACACATTTTACATATTCTTCGATGTTTGAAAATTGTTTTATTTGCATAATTATAAACATATATAATTTTTTGCAAGTGTGGTATACACACTTATGCTCGCCCATATGGTCTCTTTTCGGTGGCGAGGGTAAACAAACCCAAACACACACACGTATACACACAGTAACAATATCAATCACAAAACATACAGGATCTTTAATATAAAGGATTTTAATATATACAGCAGAAGACAACACTGCATGATTCATTAACAAAAGAAATAAAAACACTTGAATATAGATTATTCAAAAATTTATTATAATTCACACTACCAAAAAAAAAAACAACAACAAACAATCAAAAGTGATTTCTTGAATAAATTATGAAATATGACATAACAATATCAGAATAAATATTTCACCGGTTTGTAGAAATAGATATGCAAAAAGTGTAACACAATTATTACTTACCAATATTTTCTTTTTTATCTCTCTATCAATTTCCCTGAAATATTAAACTGCTGAAGTATACTTGCACTTCAAGCACAAATTTTTTTTAATTGACTCTTTAACTCTTAATATAAGCATGTTTACGGTGAAAATGCAATATGACATTTAACTATATCGTCTTACAGCAATTCAACTACATTATTATTATCTACAGACAAGCTTGAACAACTGAGAGGTCTTACCAGAGTTTATACTGTTCATGTTGGCTGCTAAAAATTAGTATTTTGTCTTGTGTATTTAGTCTCGCGATCTATTACCGACTGAGATATGCGGGCTGGCTATTAAATTGGCAACATATAGTAAATAACTTTTTGCAACAGAAATTATGCACTGTAGCTTACCTGTCATATTTGGTGGCTTTAGGTGCATGTGTCCCTGCAGCCTCTACAGATGTTACGTTCAAGTTGTAGCCAAATGACAGCAACCTAGCCAGATGTCCTAGACCTGAACCCACATCAACAACATTCTTACAATCAATATGCTGGCTTAACATATACACAACCTGGCATAAAAATAATATGCTGACTTAACATATACACAACCTGGCATAAAAACAATATGCTACCTTAACATATACACAACCTGGCATAAAAACAATATGCTGGCTTAACATATACACAACCTGGCATAAAAACAATATGCTGGCTTAACATATACACAACCTGGCATAAAAACAATATGCTGGCTTAACATATACACAACCTGGCATAAAAACAATATGCTTGCTTAATACAGTTGACTCTCGGTAACTCGAAATCCAAGGGACTAGGTATTTTACTTCGAGAGAAACGGAATTCGAGTAACGTGGGACTATCGCCATTACGTTGACTTCGTACATGTATATACATGTACCTGATTGAATGTGCAAAGAAGTAGGTTTCTTATTGTTGTTAGCGGCAATGCTGCAATATTTAACCATTGAAATGACGGTAAATCACTTTCAACTACAAATTATAAATGAACAAAAATATATCATTCAAAATTTAATACATGTATATTAATAGTGAAACATAAAACACACAATTATATTTGATTTAATTGATCATCGGACGAAAACGAAATTAGCAACTATCGTGAACCGGAAGTACAAAATTAATGTTTGCAATATGACGGAACATTAATTATACAAATATCATTTACGTTGATAATACACATCAATACCTAGGCTGTTATTTGACTAGGCTGTTATTTGACTAACACCCGTCAGACTGGCACGAGTAAACTTTTTTAAAGAAATGTAATTAAATTTTAATTTAGTTATCTAATTGTTAAAAACCAATTAAGTCGTGAAACGGATTAAAGACACTTACTTTTACGACGTGTTAATAATACATGATGACCGGCAATTAAAAATTACTATGAAACGTGTAAATCACGAGTGACAACATCTCACCTTGATGTCGCCGACCTTTGATCAGTCGGCTGTTTTCACCACTTCGACTAATTGAGATGAAAAATATGTGGACTTTAATTGACGGGACCAAATTTTCTTTTCGACTAAACAGGAGTCTCGGTAAGTCAAAATTTGACCTAAGCGGAGTTAAAATACAAAGATAAAGAAGGAAATTTGACGGGACTTTAGAAATTATTCGACTAAGGCGGAATTTTGAGTAAAGCGATTTTGACTTATTGAGAGTCAACTGTATATACACAACCTGGTATAAAAAAACAATATGCTGGCTTAACATATACACAACCTGGTATAAAAGCAATATGCTGGCTTAACATATACACAACCTGGCATAAAAATAATATGCTACCTTAACATATACAACAACCTGACATAAAAATAATATGCTACCTTAAGATATACACAACCTGGCATAAAAACAATATGCTTGCTTAACATATACTCAACCTGACATAAAAATAATATGCTACCTTAACATATACACAACCTGGCATAAAATCAATATGCTGGCTTAACATATACACAACCTGGCATAAAAACAATATGCTACCTTAACATATACACAACCTGGCATAAAATCAATATGCTGGCTTAACATATACACAACCTGGCATAAAAAATATTATGCTACCTTAACATATACACAATCTGGCATAAAAACAGTATGCAGACTTAAGATATACACAACCTGGCATAAAAACAATATGCTGGCTGAACATATACACAACCTGACATGCAAACAATATGCTGACTTAACATATACCGTAATAATTCTATTTAGCGCCCATCCTCTAATAGACGCCCACCCCCCATATTTTGGACAAAAAACGGCCATTTTTCAGCCCAAAGTTGAAAAATTAACTGTCCCTTTTAAACGCCCATTCCCCGATTTGAGTACAATTGAGCTTACCTTTACAATTCAAGTTTCCTTATTTCCATTTTCACGTAGGAACGAACTTCCCTTTTCTTGTCTTTTTTTCCGTAAAGTTTATATGTACACAGTATTTCAATGCCACCACCTTTTACAAAAGTTCCTTTTGATGATGAACGCGGTTCTCCAAGTATTTTGGCACTGATTTCTACAATAAGTCCATCTTTGAATAACTTTGTAAGAGGCTGACATAATCCCTCCGGTACTGTATATGTCCAACAAGAAATCCATTTATTTTTTACGATAATTGCGCTATCACTATGTTCATTTTCTGGTTCCAAATTACACTGAAGTATAGTTCCGACTGGGCATGTATATTTGTAAACGTGATATCCCTTAATAACAGATTTTAATAGACACAAGCATAGGGTTTGCCATAATTCAATGTGTTTTGTGTATAAGATATATATACATGTATAAAAAAATAACCATTCCGAGATGCCAAAAACTCACGCGCCTATTTCATTACGTCAGCAAGGTCAACGTGCGGGTTCAATGTATTGGGGCCCAACATGGAGATTAGTTCTGATTAAAAATTAATTTTGAACAATAGACGATAGTCTTTTTATATCAAAATCCCACATCAATCCTTTAAGAACATATATGCTTGTGTCAGTAAAATCGGTCAGAACTATTCTTAACTTTTTATATCTTACAATTATATTGGTGGGTATAAAAAAATGCATAATGATCGGACTCGAAATATTCCATTGACTTTTGAATTGTATAGAACATCCCCAGATTACAGAGTTAATTGGTACCTTTACATAATATTTCGTTGGGAAAAATCATAATATTTTTGCAGGCTCATTTTTTATTCCCCTTGCTCGGATACCGGACTCTACATGCATCGGTATTATAAGTGCGGAAAAAGAACAGACTTTAGCCGGTACGTTACGATACCGAAATCCGACTTTAGCGTTGTCTGCAATTATAAATCAACATCCGCTCTATCTTCGGATTCGATTTCTTCTTATAGTTATGAGGGGCGAGTGGATTTATAAAGCCTTGCTTAGAAAATTAGTTTGTCTTATGAAGATGCGTCTCCAATTAACGCCCATCCCCAACTTTCGAAAAGTCTATGATTATAATAAAAGCCCGGGCGCTAAATAGAATTATTACGGTACATGTGTACACAACCTTGCATAAAAACAATATATATACCGATTGAGCATTCATACAGCCTGGGCTTAAAACATATAAGATGGCTCTATGTCAGTTGGTACTCTGGTTATAAATTAAAACAATGCCATTTATCAAGGTCATCTTGACTAACTTACTAAGTCAAAGAGTTTCTACACAATAAGAGCAATCATCTATTGAAATTTGCTGACTCTCTGTTTAATTAATGTCATATAATAATCATAATCATAATACTGTTTGGAAAACAGTTTTCACATAAAAAAATTCTGTAACTTTGACCTATCATACCCAAAAACCTGCTGGGTCTAGCTACCTACTAAAAAACTTGGTAATCTTCCTATGAAGTTTGAAGACACAGTGTTCTCTCCAGTTATCCATTGAAATAAAATGCTCTAATGATTAACTGACTGAGAACAAACATTTGCAGAACAATCCCGCCTCTTCTAAATCATTATGCACAATTGTCTTTCTATAAATAAATTACATTTATCTTCACTTTTACTCCTGACATACTTTTACTACAAACTAACTTTATTCCTTAAAAACAAACCTTTGCCAAGTTTTTAATTTCATGCCGTTTCTTTGGTTTCACGTGTTTCTTGAAAAAAGCATGTAGCTCTCCATTGTCATCTGCAAATGCCATCAATGAAACAATAATAATCGTGTGAAAGAAAATAATCTTATCAAAGATAGTACATCATGGTTTAGCAAACACAAGCGCGGCGTGGGGTGTTAGTGCTTGTCTGTTCAGGGCAACAACAGACCTGGGGATGATAACATTGATCAGTAATTGATTTAATTACAATTAATGCCGCAACAATTATAACAAGAGGGCCATGATGGCCCTGAGGTCACTCACCTGTATATAAGCCCCCGGAGCGGGGCCAGTTTAAACCCCAGGGCTTTTATTTGAACAAACTTGGAAAACACTCATTAGAAGATGTTTCACAATGTTAAGTTTTTACTACACACATGTAATGAAAAACAATGATCTCACCCGCACCCCGTCTTCCCCCCCCCCCCCCCCCCCGGGCAGGGCCAATTTTCACCCAAGGGCATTTTATTTGAACAAACTTGGTAGACATCCATAAGAAGATATTTCATGCTAAACATCAAAGCTTAAGCTCATTGGGTTTTTTAAAAGAAGATTTTTAAGTTTTTACTACACACAATATAGTTAAAAACAATGAACCCCTGGGGCGGGGCAGTTTTGACCCAGGGCTTTTATTTGAACAAACTTTGTAGACGTTTACTAGAAGATGTTTAATTTGCTTAATATCTAAACCTCTAGCTATTTAGGTTTTTTCAAAGAAGATTTTTTAAGTTTTTACTATATGCTATAGGGAAAATTTCAAGACCCCCCGGGCGGGGCCAATTTTTGACCCCAGGGCTATTATTTTGAAACAAACTTGTAGACACTCACTAGAAGATGTTTCATGCGAAATATCTAGACTCTAGCTATTTGGGTTTTTTTTCAAAAAGATTATTTAAGTTTTTTTGCTAACACATACAAAAGGAAAATCACAATGGACCCCCGGGGCCCGGGGCGAAATTTTGGACCCCATGGGATTTTTTTGAACAAACTTGTAGACACCCATTAGAAGATGTTTCCATGCTGAATAACTTTAGCTCTAGCTCTTTTAAGTTCTTTTCAAAGAAATTTTGTAAGTTTTTAGCTATATGCATATAGGGAAAATCAATTGACCTCCCTGGGGCGGGGCTCAATGTTTGACCAGGGCTTTTATTTGAACAACTTGGTACACACTCATTAGAGATGTTTCATTGCTGAATATTTATCTCTATAGCTCTTTGGGTTTTTAAAAGAATGAAATTTTTACCGTTTTTACTAATGCACTATAGGGAAAATCAATGATCCCTGGGGCGGGCCAATTTTGACCCCAGGGATTTTAATTTGAAACAAACTTTGGTAGAGACTGCACTAGAAGATGTTCCATGTCCAAATTTCTAAGCTCTAGCTCTTAGGGTTTTTTAAAAGAAGATATTTTAAAGTTTTTCTTTCGGTTGCCATGGCAACCAGAGTTCTGCATGGAATAATTACTTTTAACAGTCCTTTTTAAGGTGACCACCAAAGGAACATTCCTGTGAAGTTTGGATGAAATTGGCTTAGTGGTTTATGAGGAGATGTCATTTAAAGTAAAAGTTTACGGACGGACGGCCGGACGCCGGACGGACGGACGCCGGTCGAAAAGCGATCACAAAAGCTCACCCTGTCACTTTGTGACACGTGAGCTAAAAATAAAGTTCCAGAGTGTTTAGTATTATCACTGTTATGCATTTCTCAAAAAGGTGAATAGCTGTGCTGTGTGTTTCGTGTTGATATCTTTAAATTGTTTAAGAAATGCGCTACATTAAAGATTTAGCATGATGATGATGATGACGCCAATACAGGGATCATAATAACTAAACTTTTCTTTAAAAGACAGATCAGAAATGACTACAGAACTGTTTGTCGGTTAGGAATTTATATTTATAAGAATGATGACTCTTGACTTTCAGGAAACACAAACTATGGCTCCCTGGGTAATGGTTACATTTTTGTGCTGTAGTAGATTTAATTTCCTTTCATTTGTTCAAAAATTATAGGGAGGACATCAATTGCTAACAGACAGATGGATGGCATACCAGGTGCACAATATTGAAACATCAAATTTTTTAGTTGTATAAAAAAATAACCAAACAAATAAATAAACCAGATCAAATCTTTAGTATACAAAAGACTGATTTACCAGTCATGTAGGGAAACAGTAATCTGGTGAGTGAAATGGGTGTACACATCTTAAAGACTGCAAAATGTTTACACAACTAGACATGGTAACTTACCTAATGGATTAAACTTTACATCTGCATCAATATCATCATTGTCATCATCAGATCTTTCAAATCTCCCTTAAATAAAATCATAAAAGATAAAGCTTTGATACATTTTAAAATTAAAGTCAAAATGTAACTATATAATATTTTAAAGTTTCCTGTAAATAACTCGAAACCATCACTAAGCTCCTCTTTCATCAATCACTAACATTAATAATCTCTTTGATACTATTTCTCAATTACATTTCTGATGAAATTTTACACCTGGACTGCCAAATTTTCTCACACATAAAATAAGTACCAGTACGAGTATACAAAACTACTATAATTAAAGGATCCAAATGAAGTGTTTTTTTTTGTTTTTGTTTTTTTCAGTTCACGTATTCATGAATTAAAATGCTTTGAAAAATTTATTTTAATTATAAAGGTCAGGTCCATTTATCATTATAACATTATTGAGAAGCACACAAGACTAAGTTAAACTTGCCATTCCTCGGGTGGGCTTTTGCCTACTTACATTGTTTACATGTCTTAATAAAACCTCACATACACCCATAAATGGGATCTACAGGTATAAAATTAGAGCTTGTAAAAAAAAAAAGGTCAGAAAATCAGGACATGATTAATGCATTTACCAGTAGTGGAAAATCCTACTTTCAGTTTTAAAAAGACAAATAGTTGAAAGTGATCTTACATTATTTTGTCACAGTATGGTTTTAATCGAAAGTTAACAAAAAGTCATTATTTAGAAGTTGATATCATAGCATTTACAAATTGATCTTCAACTATTATTTCATTTGAGCCGCGTCACGAGAAAACCAACATAGTGCGTTTGCGACCAACATAGATCCAGACCAGCCTGCACATCCACGCAGTCTGATCAGGATCCATGCTGTTTGCTTACCAACCCTATTACAAGTAGAGAAACTGATAGCGAACAGCATAGATCCTGATCAGACTGCCCGAATGCGCAGGCTGGTCTGGATCCATGATGGTCGCAAACATACTATGTTGGTTTTGTTGTGATGCGGCTCATTTATTTTTTACCATGAGCAACAAATACACAACATTATACTGTGACAAATATAATTTACAATAGATAATAACAAAACATGATTTTTATTACAACTACCTGTACTTACCTGTATCATTTTCATTAAACAGTTTACATAACTTGTTAGTGATGTCCTCACATTGTCTATCCAATGAGTATGAATCACAACATGTCTTGAAACTTAGCAACGACAAAGGAACCACTTTCCTGAAACAATACTCAGTAGAATCAGTTTCTAATAACTGCCACAATTCTATTAGTATCAGACAAAGTTTTAATTAACACAAATAGAAAAAACAAATCTGAATGGATTTAACATGATGCTGCTTTATTTCATCACTACAGATATCTCTCTTCGGAAATTAAGTTTAAATTAAACAGCAGGTTCAATCTTCAAAACCTGAAGCAAAATATACTGATAAAGAAAATCAAAGACAGCAGCAGATTTACATCAGATGGAATCTTAGTCACATGTATGAACAATAGTAAAAGTACACATCCCACTTGAACTCAATAAGGAAAAACAATTTTCAACAAACTTAACAGAGGATTACCTGACTAACAGTGCTGTTATAATTTTCTGGTCCTTCTGGATCATCGATTTAGGCACGTTTAAGTGTAAAAAATCGAGTACCGCTCAAGCCGGTGCCAGGGGGCCTGAGGGATATGTTGCACTTTTTCATTATCCCCTATATAAAGACTCAATCAAACTGAGTCTGCAACTTCCCAGGGGTCACACTTTTTCCAGATTAATTTTTACAGTATAACAGCTATGAGTTAACCAAGATACTCTTAACATAACAACCACCATCAACAACAACATTACATTCAAAAGTAGTGGTTGGAAAGAAAATAAACATTGGTAAATGAAAAGGGCTTACTGTAATTTCACTGGCCTTTTGTCCAGCAAAAAACTTAACTCTTCTGTTGTTAGTTCAGACAATGTTGTACACCATGATTTTGGCAATTTATCCCAGTGATTTTTGAAATAAAAATCCTGAAAAATCCAAAAGAAAACATAAGTAGTTTTCATATAAAAAAAAACAATGATGAATTATTCAAAACATTACAGATTTACTATACAGTATAAGTCCAGTTGATTTGGGCAATCACCCTTCTTATTTCTATAATAAATGTCAGTATATTTTACATCATTCTTATTCCCAACTAAATGTTATCATATATATTCAGATGATCAAATGATGATGTTAAATGCATATTAAAGATTTCTATTTAGACTGATCTTTAAATTGGTGTTACTATCATTCTATAAATGAACAATATCTGGATAACATTCAGTAAATCATATTCAATGAAATTTTTGTATAACTGTACTAAGGAGTAAAAATCTATATTATACCAGATATGTTTTACTGTTGAGTCTGAACACTGCTTTTGACCACTTTAAATAATATATCAAAGAGGCATACCCTATTTTTCAATCTGGACAAAGCTGCTCATCTTGATTAAGAAAAAAGTTCAAAATAAAAATTACAGAGTGATAACTACCAGTCTCTCAGAGAATATTAAAAGATTTGGCTTGATTTTTTTTTTCAGTTTGATGTTTGTGTATATAGTATAGCATAACGTACTTCCATGTTAACCCATACATTTGCAGAGCAACAGATAATGTGCATATTTGCATATTCACGCAATTAATTTTACAAAATATGCAATTGATTATTTTAAAATGTGTATCAAGACCCATTTAAAAATAAATAAAATACCCAATTGTCTTAAATATCAAGGCATATTGTCATTTTCATCACTAAAGAAAAGTACATATGGTCTAGTGCACTGGAAGTGCACACTGTCTGCACTTCTTGTTCAGCTCTAGAAGTACAGAAGGGTGGGAAGTTTAGTGTGAACTCAACTGTAACCTGTTGTCGCTCATTGTTCTTGGACAAAGGTCAAATGCATGCTCTCAGAATATTACCAAATGTAAATCAGGTCTTACTTATCGACAGTCCCCAGTCTCCAAAGACTACCATTTAAAGTTGAATCAATTAAGCACTAAAACTGCCAGTTTGTATAATTATCTACTAATTGACGGTCTTTACTGACCCGCAAAGAGCGTGAATGTGTATATGAATGTCCCATCATGGGCATGTGAATCATTTGTATCAATAGACGCCCTGAAAGAAATATGGCATGCCATCATACAAGCGGGGACGAAAGAAGAAAAAAAAGATTTGAAACAAACAGAGCTCTAGTTTAATTACTAAATTAAAACAGTTGTGAAAAGTTCTAGTAAATTGGTAAGTGAAGTAAGTACTATCTATAATTTTTTTAAAAACATTTTCAGCTTTACTGATATTGAACCATGAAATTCCTATCTTCATAAATGAATACCCAATTGTGAGATCTAAAATCATAGGGTAATGAAGGTCTGAATGAAATGATGGATACCCATTTCAGTTTCAAAACTTATCTGTTGCTCTGCATTTGTGTTGAATAACTTTATCTATCCGAGTAAAACATCCTAATGTGAAATGTTTCGTTAAGGAAACGTCTGTCATCTGTTAAGGATAAAATGCTAAATTTATATATCGCGAATACTAGTTACAAAAAGATATATGAATCGGTCTGAACAAAGTTATGCAATAAAATACATAAATAATTACTGAAACGTAAGCATCTAATATCCATGTGTACTTGTGTAAGAAAGTTGTGAGCTGCTGAATATACAATTTCACTTTTTCAAGGTTTTCTGGCGATAATTTGATCATGGTTACTGAGCGCTTGAACCATAAATCCGTACCGGCTCGTCATTTATCGCGTCCGTAACGCGGGGATTTTGAAATGTATTTTTTTGCAATGTAATCTGTTGTAGAATATATAACGCATCAAATATCTGCTAGTTAAAAGATACAGTTGTCAAAAAGTAAAGTTTTCTATAACCTTTAATATATGCAGTTTTAAAGTTATTGAGATTTATTACGTTCAGGGCTAAATTCTGTTGACCCGTATGTTAAATTTCGCCTGGGACCAATCTTCTGCATATCTGTAGACGAGAAACTATTCCAAATTTTACAATCATAGAATGCACGAGTTTTCTTGGTGTGACTTAATTTCAAAATTCAGGGATTTTTTTGGCTTATTTTATAGCCATTATTGGGTCATATTCTCAATTGAAAATAGTATATTATTTTCCCAATCCACAGGAAAAAAAATCCCAATTGAAAGTTACAAAATAAAAATATCGAATAAAAATTTTAAATTCTTTGCAAATAAAGGCTTCTTCACTGTAATAGTGCTTAAATGTTTGAAGATGCCATCATAGACAGTAATTGTTTGATTCCAATTAATCACTGCAAAATTTCAGTCATGCATTTTTCCAAATTTTTAACAAAACACCACTGAAATTCCCAATTCCATGGGTATGAGTCATGTTCCCAAAATCCTGAAAAAAATTCCCTGAAATTATGGGATCCATATCAATATGAATATGAAAGCTCAACACTTATAATTAACGTACCGCGTAATGCGTTCCAACATGTTCGGTCAGTTTTCAGAACTACATGATGTTGAAAATTTTCTTTGATCACTTCATTCTTTAATCTGTTAATCTGAATGGCTGTCGATTGGCTCGTATATTTTTCATTATAAACAATGATTCCATACTTCTTTACATTGCAGCTACATGTACGTATATCTCCACTAACGGGAATATAATTAGTGAGATGATTTATCGAGCATTTTGTCAATACCACACTTTGACAAGGAGACCAAGGCACATATATCACCGGCCGATGAAAATTTCAGGTCATATACACACATTCCTCATTCTTTTTACTTATCCACCAATAAAGAACAACAAGATAATGGCTACAACCTTTTTTCCTCTTGTCTAGTTCCTTGTATTGCTTTTATACCATGGTTGATACTTCACTCACTCACATAACTACATGTGGTCACTCGTTTAGACATTTCCGCAATGGACTCACTAGAGAAGGACCAATCAATCAAATGGAGAATATTGTTGTACGTTTTGTGAACTTCACATTGCATCAATGTATAACATAAGACCAAATTCCCTTGTCGAAGGTTTGACGTCTGTCGGGAAACAATATGCTTTCATGAATGCAATAAGAATAAAGTCATCAAACATACAAATTTCTCCTGAAACCCTTTGTTGCGTAAAATATGTTCATATTTTTAACCAATAAAAAAATTATGACTGTCCCCAAGTACAATTATGCGTGCGTGCACGTGTTCGAAAAACTATATAACTCGTGTCCGGTTCATAACTTAGTAAATGTGTTGCATGCTAGACTTAGGACTCTAGCACAAAGGTCAAGCTAGGACATGGCTTAAGATAATTATATTCTTATATTTCCTGTAATTTCCTGATAGTGCAATGGGCCAGCAATAAAGATTAATTTTTATGGTTTAATGGTGTTTGGGCGGTTAATAGACCCACATTTCATTATGTAAAAGGTCAATTTTCAGCAGTGTTGGGCCTGATTATATATTCTTCGGGTTTACTTGATTTTTTTTTTCAAAACACATTGTATTACAAACAAACTCATTTTTTAGTACGTATCACGTTCATTTTTTGGTCACTGCCTTAATTGTTCATATTGACACTATAAAAGATAATTTTAAAAGCTAAAGTTTGCCATAATGTGACGTTTATGACATTTGCGATGGGATCCGTGTCCTCTGAAAATGTCCTTCATTCTTAGTCATTATATATCATAAAAATTTATATATCCATTATGATGGCATTGATTTCAAAGATACCAAGAGTTTTTTCAGTACATGTAGTAGTGTGGTGGTTGAACTATTGTTGTTGTTGTTGTTGTTGTTGCTGCTGTTGTTGTTCTTCTTCTTATTTCTTATCCTCCTATCTCCTTTCGTCTTCTTTTTCTTCTGTTTCCTATTTTCCAGTTACAATTACACCGACGTCTACTGTAAAATAAGAAGTCCTCATGTGCCCCTTTGTGAATAACAAGACTTGAGCGGACACTCGAGTAGAACTAACGCCCTTCAGTAAAGCCATACTTCATGAGCTTTTGGAAAACAATGCCCTATTTATATTCAAAATCTAACGGTTACAAATTCAAATGTTAACGAATCAAAACCTGTTCTTCAGATGGCAAAGGAAAATACCTTTCACCATTTCTTGTACGACATTATTTAAATCTTTAAAGGGGGCCATTTTAAAAACCAATGCAAAGACATTTTTGCTACGATTTTTATAACGTAATCGGCGTCCGCTTTTTTTTTTTTATTTTTTTGGGGGCCGCGCCCCCACGGACAATAAACCACATTTTAACATGGGTTTTGGCGACCCTAGGATCGAATCCAGACCTACTCGCAGCATTCCCCGGCCCGCCGCCCTCCCCGAACGAAGCGGAATGATGCTTTTTGGGGGGCTGGTCAGTTTTTCTACCTTGCCAATAGGGTTTTAATTGCGAACCCCAGCATGGAAAACCTGATTAAGACTGTTTCGAAGCGCAGGCTGTCTCAGATTCCATGCTTTGTGTAAAAACCATTTAAAAATTGGTTTTGTTCATGAGCGGCTTCAAATTTTTGATTATTGACAGAAAACTAGTAAGTAGAAAAAAGAGAGAAAGAAAATGAACGCAATTATGGTAAAATTAACTAACAATAATTACGGTTTTATGAGCGTAGGTTCAAATAGAAACACACGCTAAGTTTAACAATCAAATCAACTTAGGAATATGTAGTGAAAAGCAATTAAAATATCCTGACTCGGATTATAAAGTCAACGATAATCTTTGAAGATTATCCGACTGTTCGTTAATCTAAGCATTCGAGGTTACTGCGCTCTTTGTCCGTCGGAAAGATAATAACATTGATTTCTATTATTTACAAATCTTTCATTATACAAATGCTTGGCTAACAATAAACAAACAAAAAACCCTCCGTTATACAATACACAACAAGAATAGAATTGTTAAACAATAGTACAGGGCATGTTGTGTACAAAGCTACCTATTAATCATATCAGTTATTGTGAACAGTCGTTCCATATTGATTCAAATTGTAAAATAACGCAAGTGTTGGTTTTATTTAATACTTAAAACGTTTTTAAACTTGTTTCATAAATGGAGTATTGAACAGGCATGATTCAAACATAATTGGTATTTCTATTGAACATTTGTTCTTTCATTATATTTCTATTACAAGATGTGTTCAAATGGTTTTCTATTTCTTACGCGGAAAATGGGCAAAAAAAGTGTATAGATAATAGCTGCAGTTTTGAATAGTGCATTATTGATGGATTCAACAAAATTTATTGTGGTAAAATTATGCGTCATTGCATGCGATGTTTTGTTAATATAATTAAAGATTTGCGACCAGAAAATTTATGAGATATAAAGAAAATGGGATGATCAGTTTAAAGAAAATGAATCAAGGATTTTATTCACAGCAAACACACATCTGTCAGTAAGTTCGGATTATTTCAAACATCTTTAATTGAATTCACATTATATCAAAATATATTAATTCTATTGATTAACATTCAGAAATAAAGGAAACGTTTTATCAAAAAACATTTTAACTTGCATTGAAAAAATCCGACTGAGGTTTTGCTACTAGTATGTCAGATTCAATCGCAATTTTTAGACCCTAAGGACTATTATCAATAATAAGCGAGGAGTTCCGATTGTATCGGATTAAAATATTTTTGAACGTGATACACGACATTACAATCTGAACGAGAATCATTGAAAATACATGTATAAACACACTGTTTTGCAAACAATTGTAAAAATAGACAGCGAACTGGAATATTTACGGAAGAGGTAAATCGTGCCTAGAATATCTACACTTGTATATTCTTTAGGTAGATTAAAACAAAAACAAAAACAAAAAAAAGAAAACAACTCAAACGTCATGGCGGACTTTGAGTCTCAGTCATGGAAAGATCGCTGTGACAGATACTTTACATCTATTTCTGATACAGGAAAAGATCGTGATCAAGAAAAAACGGCGAAAAATGACTCAGAAAATTCGCGAGAAAAACGTGCAAGTCTAGATGATTTCTTCGATGATGGAGAGAAAGGTTGGAAAGATCTTTCAGAAATAAAGAAGGCTTTCTCTGAACATTGGTTTTTACGTCATATCAGAAATGCTCTTTCAGTGCTGGATATACACGGCTCAAATATAGCCAGCAAAGCGAAAAACACCGTTGGATTTACAATTTGGGCGATTCTTACTTTAGTGTCTGTTATCACGTTTGGAATTTTATTATATTTTATGTTGCAGGAATATTTAAATAGGCCCTCTAGTTTTCGTGTTACTAGTTTATCAACTTCAGAACGAGTAGTTTCATCTGACATCTCACTGACAGTGTGTAATTTGAACGTAATTAAAAAATCTAGACTGCCTGACACAGGATTAAACGAGTTGCACAAATTCGTGTCTGGTGAAACTAAAGCTGCACCAAGAACAGAAAAAGTCACCGTCAAAGAAATGATAGAGAGTAATGAAAAACTGACTGAGTTTGTTACGGAACATAACCCTGGCAAAGTATCAGAGTTAGTTAAAAGTATTGAAAATGATGTTATTGTGCAGGAACTTATACATTCGTCGGAAGAATCGTTATTGTTCCGTCTTAGTAAATATGCAAGACCGCAGATATTAAGAGAAGTAACTCATATCACTAAGGATGATGTAGAAAGAGCTGGACACGTGACTAATGAGACATTGGTCCAATGCTGGAGAGATAACTCAGAATGTCAATTAAGGTAAGATATTTTATTACTTATTTTATTCAACATTTCAGGGAAGAAACGTTTGCTAATGTTATGAGAACTCGCGATGAGCGGCCAAGTGGTTAACCACAAACTATAGGCACGTGTAAAGAATAGTACTAAATACAAAGTACCTTGAAATAGTGGAATGGAATTACATGTACAAGTCTGGCGATCGAATTATTTTATGGAATACATGAAATAAATTTTGTTTATCACATACTCAAAATAAGAACAGTTAACAGTAAAAAAGATTTTTTTCCTTCAGTAGTTAATACTGTAACGCTACAACTAGCATGTGTTGACGCTATGTACATTACATTTGGACGACCGTGACTTTCCATTTTTTACGGAGTCGTAAAACTGCACGGGCATATCTTCAATATTATAGACCATGTAATGATAATTAGAAAAGCTTAAAGCGAAGCATTTTTTCTGTAGCAGGGACATTCATACGGACAGTGATTCTGAAGAAGGCAATTGTGTTGTTGTTGGTGGTCTTAGAAATTCTACACAAGGTAAGACTCTTAGACCATTATAGAGAAAACTTTATTCATTTTGATAACGACTCATGAACCAACTTTTTCAGACCCGCCACTAACCCCCTCCCGGCAAACACTTCATATAGGTCCGATGTCATCAGTATCGGACTGATATCGTCATCTGATGTCAGTATGTCTATTTTGGATAGATATCGGTCCGATATCGGAAGACCGACTGCAATATTCCGACTTATAGCCGATATAGGTCCGATAGGTATGATTGCTAGGCTGCCACCCCATCCACTCTACCTACAATTAAAAAGAGTTTAACTAAGAACTAATTACCTTTTCCTTTGATATATTGTTACATCCGTCTTAATGCACGTTCCGCTTCTTTACAGCTAGAAACTATCCGAAATATCCATATATTTGAACGACAAAATTTGTCCTTACGTTCGCATACAAATACAAATGTAGCAATAGGATATAAATTTATAGTATAACACGTACAATAAAGTAACTGAAGTACAAAGAATTTGTATAATCCACATGTAATCCGCACCATCTGTCTACAGAAACTGTACACATCTCAAATATCAGTTAGATATTTATGATGAGCAAGTATTTGCATAAATAAACCAGCTATAAATGATTTGTGTATCAGTTCAAATACACGAATAGCAAAAAAGAATATCAAAAGCAGTGACATTTGGTGGGTGCAGAACGATAAAAAATATGCTGTTTTTCTTTTCATTTTATCATTATCCAACCAGTCAAGTCTTTTTCTTACCTTCTATAAAAGCAATCAGACGGATCATAATGATTCAAATTGAATATAAGTATTAACTTGCAATTCCTATGTACTTATTTGAAAAATACTGATCTCCCTTTTGGATTTTTTTTCTTGTTTTCAGTAGACATTGTCTTGAATGCCCAGACAGACGAGTACATACACCAAATAACTCCTTCAGTTGGATTTAAGGTGTATCTAAGTGACAGTGATGGCACACACTTGTTTTCAAGTTCAGTGATAGAGATATCACCGGGATTTCGTTCAACAATATCCCTGAATAAGGTACGTTGTCACTTCCAGCATGCTTAGATAGCTAGACTTCTTTTACTTTGTACATGTGTTAAACAAATAATCAGTTTTTTTTTATTTTGCTCACTAAGAACTAGTTCTTGAGAATGGTTTTCGCTCGTGGGCCACAAATGGCGACTCAGATTAAATGTAAATTTCATTAAAAAGATACATACAGTCCAAGAATGATACCCATTTGGTCCAAGTAAAACGGCAACTAAAAGTATGTTTCGGCAGAGTGCCATAATTATATTGATCACACTGTCCGTTCGTAACATACATGTTACATTTACAACTATGACAATAGGAAAAAAACTGTCGCTGAGTGAACGTTTTGTTGTTTCCAGGTGACAACAGTTACGCGTTTGGAGAGGTCTTGTAGCTCGTCCAGTGGTAGCAAAGCGGTAAGTACGTATTACTAATCTAACTTGTTATATATTTATGATATTACAATGCATATAAATATTTTAGTGGAATATGAAAAGCCTGATAAAAAAGTACTCTGCAACTTAAGAAAATTACGAACATACTCAATGCCAGTTATTGGATATACATTTCCTAAACAAGTTCTTTTTTAATACAAATGAAAAAATTGTGAAATATTTTATTTACCATCTATTTCAGGAATGTGAATTGAACTGTTTGGAGAGTCATGTTGTTAACATATGTGAATGTAGCACAAATAGACAAACAAGCAATACGAAGCTGTGTATGATGAACTTTGTGTCCGACTGTACGTACGTTTACAACATGTATATTAATCTTGCTCATATAACAAATTCTCTGCATGATTGTATTTGATGAAAGTTTATGAAATCTTGCACTAAGATAAATTTACCATTTTCTCTTGCCAATAAAATAAAAATAGTTTTTCTTGTTTCAGATTTTAAAGATTTATAGGGTGTTTTTTTCTATTATTTTTATTATTTCCGACTTGAAATTGAATTTATTATCAAACATGTTTTCAGATATATGCGTACAGTCTATCAAACAATTGCAAACACAAGGACACTTGCCGTGCCAGTGTAGAGAACAATGCAGGTAACACATGATTAAATATAATTATAACATTTAATTCTTAAATACATGTATACATGATATTTTAGTCATGTACTTGTCTGCCATAGTAAAGGAAAGTAAATATCACATGATAGCTATATATTATTCACATTATTCTATTTAACTGAAATGTTTTTTCTATCCACCATTAAAGATCTTGCCAAAAATCAAGGATGCTTTAGGAAGAATAACAATTATAGCTCTTTAAAATATTGCACTTTAACATGAAAACGTGATAATATTCGCAGCGTGGGATAAAAGAAGGGAAAAAGTGTGTCAATACTCTTGTATGAAACATGTTCGCTTTGAATTTTCAGAGAAAAGAAATTTGACTTGAAAATGTCTACAGTTGGATGGCCACATAAACAATATATGGTAACTATGAAAACCTACTGTTATAGCATTACGGTATATATATGCGTCTTACAATATCGACCATGCCATGGAAAAAATCTGAGACAGTTGTTTTAAACTGAATTCAATCATAACCTTCTATAACACATTTTGAAACATATAAGAATCAAACACAAAACATTAATTTCCATTAGGGAGTCCTTTGCTAAATTGGTCTTCAAATCATATTTAATGTTTTATAATTATTATGCCAAGCCTTTTTAATGTTACTCTGGTTGCCCCTCTTTACACAAATTGATTTCCAATGGGAAGATTTATTGCAATTTTGATATACATTGTATACCATATAAGTAAAAGTTTTTGGTAAGTTCATAAATGATAAGATTAGTTAATAATTTATACAAATATAATCCAAACATGAACTCATTTTACTTCTATTGTTATTTAAATGATAATCATAAGCAAATGATTTACAGGAATTATTTGGAAGTCGATTGTTACCTGGTCACCAAAATCTTAACGAGAGCTATCTAAGGTAATTTCTATCCTTCAAGTTAAATGAGCCGCGTCACGACAAAACCAACGTAATGCGTTTGCGACCAGCATGGATCCAGACCATCATGCGCATCCGCGCAGTCTGATCAGGATCCATGCTGTTCGCTTATTTACCCTATTGCAAGTAGAGAAACTGATAGCGAACAGCATGGATCCTTATCAGACTGCGCGGATGCGCAGGCAGGTCTGGATCCTTGCTGGTCGCAAACCCATTATGTTGGTTATGTCGTGACGCGGCTGAAATTAAGAATTCACGTCTGCATACGGAATTAACTTTTCGTTTATTTTATCAAGGAAAAACCCTGGCTTTGTGATGAACTATAAATTAAGTTACATGTCGGGCCTCGACACTAACTTTTTTAGCAGGTGGTACGCCGGACCACTAGATTTGAAAGTTAGGTGGTCCTTCCAGAAGTCAGGTGGTCAGTTATCATTATTATATCATTTTATTGCAAATGTAGAAAAAATGTTTAAACTTTATGACAAAGATGTATTATTAACCTTTAAAGAAAACAGATATTTTTAGATATATATTTTTCATCTAATCAGAAAAGGGAGAGCAAGTCAGTAGGTATTTTATCGTAGAGTTATTTGTTTATTTGTTTTTATCTCAGTCAAAAATACACAACAGAGATCTTATTTATGTTAACTTATATATTAAAGTGATTTCTCCCTCAACTCAAGTTACAAAGTTAGGGAATAGTGAAGCCATTTGTGTCTGTGAAGTGTTATTTTCTTACTGTTATTCAAATATTCATTGCTGATACGTGGTACATCTTATAATCATGATAATAACATAGCATTTTTTAAAGATTAACATTTTTAATGGAACTAATAAATTATCTTATTCTTGTCTTTGAAAACAAGGAAATATCTAAATTATTAAAATAATGACAACATTATTATTTACTATAACTTATCTTATTTTTCTCACAGATTTATAATACAGAATTTTACCTCCCTGTTGCTTGTTGGTTGATATTCATTTTTGACATTGGGTATTTTTAACCTTTTAAAATAATTTTAACTCTAGAAGAAACAGATCTCTTATCGTTAAACAGTTAAAATAAAGATAAATAGCATAGAATTACTAGATGTATTTTTCCAGTTCCTTTCGTTTGCTGCCATTATTCAAGTATCTGAAATTTAAGTTTATTCAATATCATATAATTACCATCATCGGATACTCACGGTTGATTAACATGTAACATAACATAAATGTTAATGGTTCCGCTGTGGGTATCAGACGACGCATAATTACTAGCACCATTTGAATGAAATTTGTACCTAAATTAATATCACAAATTCTTAACTCTTTTAACTTGCATAAACAAAATTTTAGCGACTTAAAATGACAGTTATTGATGACTTAAGAACTTCTTTAATTAATCAGAGATTAATGAACCATATACATGTACATCGGACATAGATTAATGATTTTAAACAAAATCTTATAACATGTTTTTGACCAAATCGCCATTCTCCCAAATGAGCCTTGCATCAACCAGAAAATTCAAGTGGTCCCACGGACCAGTGGGTTTTAAAATTAGGTGGTCCTTGCCAAAATCAAGTGGTCTCGGACCAACGGACCACCGCTAATGTCGAGGCCTGATCATGTATAATACTTCAATTCTTTTATTAAATTATCGCAGCATATTTTGACTTATAAATCCATCATTTTACACTTGTAATAAATAACTTAATGGGTAAAACTTAAAAAAAGTTAAAACATCATAACATAGCATCTGAGATCTACATGAGTTCAAGTTGTTTCTCTCCATGCAGCATAATTTGCATGAAATCATTTTTTGAAATAACTTAGAATGCTTTATTGCAGACTGAAGCCAAATTAACGTAACTTTATAATTTTCAGTTCTAAAACGTGTTTTGTTTTGTTTTTTCAGAGAAAATATCGCTTTCCTGACAATCAACCTTCAACCAGCGTTAACTGAAGATATTGAGGAAATCGAGCCGTTTGAGGTAAATGAATATTCAATGAATTTTAAATATATATATGTAATAAATAAATTTCGAGAGAGAAATCTCACTTTTTCAAGTACACGTCAGAATGGTTATGTTTCAGAAAAGAATGCACATGTTCCTTAATTAAACGCTTTGAATTTACTAAAAATACTAGAAATAATGATAATTGAAATGTAATTAATGATACAGATAGTATTTAAAGTTAATTTACTACCGAAAAACGATTTTGTCCCAAAAATAAAATTTGTAATAATAACAATAATAATACTAATAGTTTATTTGTTTATAGATAATGGACATGCTAGCAAGAATAGGGGGCCTCTCGGCAATTATTGCTGGGATTTCTGTTATCACGGTTATAGAGATATTATATATAGCGCTGCAAAGTCTGATCCGATTTATGCGGTATATCCGAAAAAGGTAAAACATCAAGCGTTTTTCTTTGAGTTTTAAATAAAAGTATCAGTTTTGCAAGGTTTAGAAAGACCAAACACGAGTTTTATAACTTTCAGGCATGTTAATTAGATGCCGTACCTTTTACCTGAAGTAAGATGTGCTGAATGCAATAAAAGTAGCAAAATGAAAATAAAGTTTTACGACTTCCATACAAAATTCTAAATCACTATAACAGTACTAACTGCCAGAAGCAGCAGGTGCAAAGGTTGGTTCTGGCAATTGATCGGTGGTTAACTATTTGGAAACTAGTAAGACAACAAAACAAGAAAGCTATAAAAGCAGTTCCAGGGTATACTGGGCCTTTAATATTCGAGACATTTACACACTTTATAACAATACCTTAATGTGCACGTCTGAATTAAAGTGGTGTTTCAATTCATTGTTTAAATATACTTTGTAAAATTTGAGTGCAACACCTTATCCGATAAATTCAAAAGCATAATGTTATTCAAAAATATTGTAAATGCATATTTGTTTTACTTTGCGTAGGTCAGGAAGCGTTGCGTCTCAAAAAAGGTTAAGTGACTCAGAAATAACGTCAATCACTTGGGCAGTGTACCGTCAACGACGTCGATTTGAAGAAGTCAACAAAATGAAAGCTGATAATCTCGCAAACAATGTTGGCGTGAACGCTATTGGAGGCAACGTACACGCCCGCATATCAAAGAGAAGTAGCTACGACAGAGAGCCAAATAACGAGCATGTGGTCACTAACAATCATAAACAATATCGACCAAATGAATATTCTAGAAGATATGATGGGAAGAACCCTTTTTATCAGCCGAGGACACGCGATAGTTTAGTGAAAGACCCTGATTTCCCTAAAGAAAACAATGGTGAAAGTTACGCAGTTAATGTAATTCGTCCTCATCGTCCAACTGATTACATTTATGACAGTCGCCCCGATCCCGTTCATACTGGACATGCTTTATACAAAAATGGAACTAAATATAAGGAAACCAATGCTGGCGACAGACATCAACCACAGAATGTCTTCCTTTACGATGGTGCCGTGGCTTATTTCAATCCTGCCAATGTTTCTGAACCAGTCTATTTATAGATTTATTTTATTTTCTTTAGAATACAATGCAATAACATGAGTAACTATAGTTGTATATTTTAAAGTTTTGATCTTTGTAAAACTTTTATCCAACTTTTTGAATCATGGTAAGCGAAAGTGCATAGAACTTCAAACATTATAATAAAACTGGTTCCCTCATATAAGTGCATTGCTTATCCCACATTGAACCAGGGTCTTTCAAATGTTCTGGTGTGCTGAACATTGTCTCAATTACAGACAGAAAGACCAACCTTCCTGAAAAGATTACATCCTCTACTGTACTGTATTATAGACCTTCCATTATAGACAAATTCACTTTAATCTACAGAACACTCTCACCCGAGATATAGTTTATTTACTAAATCAATCTCTAAACCTCAACATACACAACAATAATAATTTTCCACACTCATAATGATCAATCAATAAGTTATATCTATTTACTATTATACTTTACTCATTCTATACTCTACTTACGCAAGTTCTTAAAAGAGTTCCATGCAAAGATGATATAATCTGAATTTAATTGGAAAAAGTATTTTTAAGTGCAATTCTAAGCCAGCTTGATTCTTAGCCTGCTCGGAGTTCATAGAACTTAAATGCTTTTCATTCTTTGGTCATTCTGCACAAAAAATGAATATTCTTGAAAAACAGAATGAGCAAATGATTTGATATTTTGTACAAAAGTAATTTGTCCAGACATTAATAAATGTTGAATAATTCTTAAAAAACTAGAAATGTGTCATCATGCCACGGATGCCCCCGCATGCAGCCAAAATTTCAAATGTTATTATATTTAGTTCCAAATTTGTTTGCACAAATTATTTTTTTCATTCTAAGTTCAAAGCCCTTAAATCTTTTCAATGTTAACACAAACCATTTTTATACAATGTTCAAGGCACTGAAATTATTCAGTCTTAACCTTTTGAATATAGCATATTGCATACTTGTAGCCAAAATAATGGCTATATACATTTCCACAAAAGTATGGTGCTAAAACTGTAAGTTCAAAATTTCAAAGATAAGTTTGTCCAAAATCATTGAACAACGACCAAATTCAAACTTAAACTGCTTATCCCTAAGATGTATCTATATTATTTTCAAAGTGAAAGGGACATAACTCTGCCAAAAAATCATCGAACCATGACCAAATTCCAACTTGACCTGCGCATTCCTTTGACATATCCATATGTCAATTTTGAGTTGAATATGTAACACTGTTGGCTTGATAATGAACAGAAACTGTAAATTTCATATCATTTTCAAAGTGAAAGGGGCATTACTCTGCCAAAAATCATTGAACCATGACCAAATTCGAACTTGGCCTGCGCATTCCAAAAACATATGCATATGTCAAATTTGAGGTGAATGTTTAATACTGTTGGGGAGATAATAAACGGAAACTGAAAATTTCATATTATTTTCAAAGTAAAAGGGGCATAACTCTGCCAAAAATCATTGAACCATGACCAAATTCAAACTTGACCTGTATTTTCTCATGACATATCCATATGTCAAGTTTGAGTGGAATTTGTTGTACCGTTAGGGAGATAATGAACGGAAACTGAAAATTTCATATTATTTTCAAAGTAAAAGGGGCATAACTCTGCCAAAAATCATCGAACCATGACCAAATTCGAACTTGACCTGTATTTTCTCATGACATATCTATATGTCAAGTTTGAGTTGAATGTGTTGTACCGTTAGGGAGATAATGAACGGAAACTGAAAATTTCATATTATTTTCAAAGTAAAAGGGGCATAACTCTGCCAAAAATCATCGAACCATGACCAGTTTCGAACTTGACCTGTATTTTCTCATGACATATCCATATGTCAAATTTGAGTTCAATATGTGCAACGGTTATTAAGATAATGAACGGAAACTGATGATGACGGAAGGACGGAATGACGGAACAGGGTAACACTATATGCCCCTGCCATTATATGGCGGGGGCATAAAAATTAATTCATGTCAAAACACCTCAGTGCAGTCCCTTTAAACAGCATTATATTCTCTTTGCACTTGATGGCTCATTCAGTTCACATTATATCAGTGAAAATTTTAAATAACAAGAAAGAACTGTCATAAAATTTATTCCTAGCATTATAAAACATTCACCAACAGTTCATACTAACACACATATGATGAAAGCTAGTTAGTATTAACACTATCTCTGACAATACAAAGGGTATTTCCCATAAAATTTAATTGCCTAAAAATAACCTGTTATTTCATTTAATATGTAAATAATTACTATGGAAATAATTTTTTGACATAAATATTCCATTTGTAGGTCTAGACCAATAACTGAAGTGCAAAATTTCAGATCATTCCCTCCGTTTATCCATATTTTTTATAAATGTGGAAATGACCAAAAATTTCAAATTGGGCAAAAAATAGCACAAAATACAACTTTTAACTAACTTGTTTTGTAGTATATTTCTTAATAAAAATAATTATCTTTTACACATCTTTCTGTTTTAAGTGTTTATGCTGATATTTGTTTAAATTTTATGCTTTTGGACCTCAGTGGAGTTCCTTTAATTTAAATCTATTTTTCAAAAGTACATGTACATATAATGAGATTGGGACACAATGTATAGTCAGAAATCTGTCAATACCGCTGTTATATTAAAATGTAAGTGTCTATATGTTATATGATAATATGTCTATTTCTTCTTCTTTGGTGTATGTTTAACTTGTACAGGTGCAGCAGCTGCATACTTCACTTGTGATATTTTGTTAATGTAGAACAATGCAACCAGCGAGAATATCAAACTGGAAAAGAAAAAGAGAAAACCATCTAATGTTAATTTCAAAATATCTTAATTGGAATTTTTTTTTCATACATGTACATACAAACTTACTTCAAAATATTTAAATCAATTAGTGAATTTACTATTTGATGCAATAGTTTCAACTTACAATAAATAATAAAGTACACTATCTTTATAGTATTCTTGATGAATAAAATTATTTCTTTTATTCCCCTCAAGCACATAATATTTATAAAATTTAAAGTGTGATGTTAATAAAACAATTATTATGTAACAGTCATTTGTAAGCCCTAAAAAAAACACACACACATAATGGCAGGTGAGCTAAGTATTAAATAAGGTGTTATTACCATAAAGCTTTCTTGGCACTGCTAGGTCTTTGTTTTGTTTGGTTTTATGGCACACCAACACAATTGAGGTTATATGGCACCAAAGCTGTAGACAATTTTGGCTCACCTCAGGTGTTTCAACACCAAGAGCCAAAACCACTTCACCTGCTGGAGCTAAGAGATGCGTAGACTCCAGTAATTCGGATATTTAGTCGCCTCTAACAATTACGCCAGGGCATTGTTATGTCAATGCAGTAGTTTTATTTATACAAATTACATAGCAGTAAAAGCTAAAGTCAACATCTGTGATTTCCTACAGGTACTAAATGTGGGGTTACTTGGTTACAAATGACTGGTACAAAAAGCATTGGGAAGCCTAGATTGGTCATATTGATGTTAAATCTCTAGCTGAAACAAGATATGTTTGTAAAACATGTATGCTCCCTATCGGCAGCCAATTAGTCATGTGATCAGGTTATTATGCATGACTTCTGACCCAGTGAACAAACAATTAATAAGGGTTATCTAGTATCTACTGGTCATGACTAGTCGCAAGGTAATAATTATTGTGACCCCATAGGTTGTGTGCAGCAATTTAAGTTATTACAAATCTTACCAAATAAAATATGCATAAATTTTATGAATCATGTAGGCCTCATTAATGACAGCCAAGTTGTTATATTACATAAGACCTTCAAATGTGTATACCAAAAGCATTTTTAGTTTAATATAAAAATATCAACCAAGGCAACTTGAAACCGTCATTAAGTACAAGGTCAATATGACATTGACCCCTTGACCCCAAAATCAATAGGGGTCATCTACTGGGAATGACCAATCATCATACCAAGTTTGAAGTTCCTAGGCCTAAGCGTTCTTTAGTTATTGATCAGAAACTGTTTTTACCTACAAGGTCAATGTGATCTTGATATTTGACCCCTTGACCCCAAAATCAATAGGGGTCATCTGCTGGTCATGACCAATCATCAAACCAAGTTTGAAGTTTCTAGGCCTAAGCGTTCTTAAGTTATTGATCGGAAACCGTTTTTACCAACAAGGTCAATGTGACCTTGACCTTTGACCCCAAAATCAAAAGGGGTCATCTACTGGTCATGACCAATCACCATACCAAGTTTGAAGTTCCTAGGCCTAAGCGTTCTTTAGTTATTGATCGGAAACCTCTTTTACCTACAAGGTCAAAGTGACCTTGACCTTTGACCCCAAAATCAATAGGGGTCATCTACTGGTCATGACCAATCACCATACCAAGTTTGAAGTTCCTAGGCCTAAGGGTTTTTTAGTTATCACTCGGAAACCATTTGGTCTACGGACCGACAAATGCAAAGCAATATACCCCCTCTTCTTTGAAGTGGGGGCATAAAAAGTTCTGATAATTTGTCAGTCAAATACTAATATATTATATTATAAAAGCTTACCATGTTGTTACACACACTCTGTGTACTAGACCAGATGAAATCATTGCTACCAAAAGGCTAAATATAACTGAAAACAGAATAAAGTAAATATTTCTTAAAAATGTATTTTGTTGAAGACCATGATTTAAAAGATGTATCAATACATGCATGATGTGCAATTGCAAATAAGCTTAATGTCTAAAAATATTGTAAAAAATCTGAAAACTCAGTAATAAAACCAACAACTCTTCCACATTTTTTGTTATTTTTTTCATGAATGAATCATCAAATAAGCATGTAAGGCTAAAGTTATATTTAAAGCACTGTAGTGTAAACTTATAAAACACCTTTCATTTTTATTTGTTTGGGTCGTCAGACCAAACAAATAATGGTAGCGAAATTTCAGAGTCTAATGCTGTTAATTGCAAATGCCGAAAGTAGTTCCCTTTATATGTACACTAACGCCGAAAAATTCAGGGGAGATCACTGCGTAAAGATGGTCAAAGACAGGCACATTAATTTTCAAGCAAAATAATTCCCGAATGGTCGAAGATTTCTAATATTGTTTTATTGTATTTTCTGATCGAAAATAAGTAAATACAAAGCGGACAATCTCTGACACAGAAGTTTACGACAAACCTAACAACAAGTAGTTCTCAAACAGCTTTAAACTAGCGATTTAAAAAGAAAGAAATATTTTTATTTTGTTACAAGTATCCAACAAATTACAACGCATTCAAAGTTTTAAAAATAGCGTTGGCTTATAGAATTGTCAATAAATGCACAATCACAAATTACGCGGATGAAATATGATTTTATCAATGAAAATACTATTTTTAGCGATGTCGATTACCGAATACTACACAAACCGATATAGATTCTACATGTCGGACTGTTTGAGCGAGAAGATTTTCGCTAAATTATTAACTTCAATTTTAAACAAAGGTTTATCCTGAACAAAAAATACCTCGAAATTAATAAGGATTATAAACCCGAAATGCAATGGAAGTTCTAAATTTAGAATGACTTGATGTTTTCAGACATTGCTTGTATAACTTCTCCGTGGTGCAGGGTAACGCGCTCGCTTAGTGAGTGAGAGGTCTGGAGTTCAAATCCCAGTCAAGGAAACTTTTTTTTTAATTCTTTTTAAGTGTCTTTGTTAAGGAAGTAGCCATGATATGCAAGGATAAAGTGTGGCTGTTGTAAAAAATGAACATAAATGATTTTTTGATGCAACTCTAGTTATGCAGAATTCCGTATGTATCAAACTCTGGTGCCTTGCAAAATGAATTATAATACATAAAAATAAACTTATACAGGAAAATACATACAGATATACAGTGCGATTTAGATTGCAAAGATCAGAAAAATACCACAGAACTTGCAGCCCTTGATTCTTTATAAAAATATACATGCTTATAGTAAGCTCCAGGATTATTTACATCTGTGTTAAACAACAGTTAAAGTCGTTACAAGCCCTAATTTAGATCGAATAATATGGTTTTCTTCAGGCCGTACACATATAAATTCACCGTGGCTGAAGGGTTTTCGCACTCGCTTAGGAAGCGAGAGGTCTGGAGTTTAAATCCCAGTAAAGGCAACTCATTTTTTTCAATTTGTTTAAGTCAAATAATCATTGGATTGAATATCAGTGTTGCAATTAGTCTTATAACCAATTTACTACAATTAAAACGCTGGAAAGCATTGGTGGCACTATACATATAATCTCACAACCTGTACCTTTCTTACATTCTGAGACCCAAACAAATTCAGCGCCTTCTGTGCTTTGATTTTATTCCTTAGCATTTTGCTGTAGGAATCTTTTTACATGCATTTAATTCTTTACGCATTCAACAGTTGTACAGTACAGTACTCATTATAATTATTAGTCAATTACCAAGAATATTTTATTCTACACAGCTCATGCAAATGAAGTTTGAAAAATTACTGGAAAATATGTATAAAATGTGAGGCAATAGTATATCATAAGAAACATAAATTCATTTATTACCTTCTGGTACTTTGCTATGGAAACCTTCTCCAAACATCAAGCTTTCAAAGTTGTTTACTGCCTATTTTTATAGTCAAGGAAATGCATTTATTAAGAAGTGCATGTACAAGACATACACACTTCTTTCTCCTCTGCCATATAATAACAAGATTAACCATTAAAATGCAAGATTTTGTAACTTTCTGACGTTTACTTGTGGAGAAAATGATAAAATGATTGAAGTCAAAAAAGTTTATGCGATATTAATTGATACAAGACTCACTTTCTGCAGGAAATTTGAAAAGTAATTTTAGGGGGGAAAAATCTGCACAATCAGTTTTGTTTCATTTTCTGAATTGACAATGAAATGTGGTTTAACCTTCCTACTTCCTAAGGCTATCATCATAGCTCACCCTTTGAGCATTTCATGCTCAGATGAGCTAAATAGAGAAAAACCCAAATGCAAGGAAATTGAAGTAAAATGCTGAAAGGATACAGTTAGAACTAAAATGAAGACAATAGATCCTATGAATCCTCCAACAATGGTCATATATTCTGCTCCACCAAGTTGCTGTCTAAACATCTGCATACCAGCAAAACATAAAACCATCAAAGTGGTTGACAACATCAGTGAGGCTCCAGTTGATACAGCTGAAATATAAGTAAGTATTTTCTTTTATTTTATCATGTCACTATCGTATTAAGTTCCATTGTAGCACTCCCAACTCATTCAACCTATTTGTCTTTTGACATATTGTCCACAGACAAGTAAACTGCAAAATTTTACTTGCCAATGCCCGAACTTACAATTGTACGATTGGGCAACTCGGACAATTGATTTTGCAAGCGCTGCATACCACAGTACAGTGTAGCAATTTGTAAATGAATGTGTGCATAAAACAGATAATTATTGTCTGACAAAGGCCGTGTGATTTCATGTTGAGCGGTTCTGACACTCGGGTATCTATAATTTCATTACTTATCCGAAATGCTATTATCCGATTATAGTCCTTTTCCCGTTAATAGTTCTACAAGCTTCATATTATGTATTTTGGCATACAATACATGATAGTTCATCAGAGTTTAAATTTATAAGGAAAATAAACAAGTAAACAATAAATGTTAAAGCATTATTTACCCATTTTGTCGATATTTCTTTCTTTTCGGCAAATTGCCACTTGTTTCCGGTAGGGATAAATTTCTGACGAATTCTGTCTGATGAAAACGAAATATGTCAGACTTCTTCAGGTTGAATACCGCTAAATACTATTCCTTCCAACTTGTTCACACCTAGACTATAGTCTATAAACTTTATTTGAAAGTATAAATTGAAACACTTCGTCAATTATGAGTTCTTCCCTCACCGCTGTAGGTTCGATCCTCACTCGGGTCGAAATCTTTCATGTGAGGAAGCCATCCAGCTGGCTTACGGAAGGTCGGTGGTTCTACCCGGGTGCCCGCTCGTGCCTGAAATAATGCCCGGAGGGGCACCTGGGGTCTTCCTCCACCAATAAAGCTGGATAAAAAATCGACGAAAAAATCTCGGCGGGACGCTCTAGGATGGCCCGACTTGACTGTACGGTCGCCCATATGGGCTTTCCGGCGGCGACCTTAAATAAACGCATTAAAAAAAATTATGAGTTCTTTTCTCGTTGAAAAAACCATTAAAACAGAGGTTATTGTTTGTATAACGAGTACCGAATGTACCTATTTAACATATGTTACATTCGTTACTCGTTATCTTTTCCGGAAACACTATGATATTTAACAATCGAATTTAATTATAAAAAACATACAATTATAATCAAATCCTAAAATTGTCAACAGGTATGTCATTTTAACTTTCAGTTTCTAATATCATATGATATTATTATTAGCCAAAATGATATTTATTACTTTTACAACTTTTGATTTACTTAATTTAAACCGACATTTCAACGATATCATGAAATAATCTTACACAAAGAAACAAATCTCAACATTTACTTACAAAGAAAATTGGGGGAAAACCTTTCAGAAAGGAGATTGCGTTTTATATATGACTATTCTTCAGATTCATACGATGATTTAGTAAAAAGCTCCAATATCTTAATGTTAAAAGAATCAAAATTGTTGCTTAGAAACTTTTTAAATATTCAGTAAACAGGAACCAAGTTCATGATCGTGTTAACTTTTAATACTCGAAATATTAGTTAAGATGTTCAAACAATGTAGATATCCAACAGTCTCGAAATGAAAAGTATGTAAAAATATCCTTTTGCGACTCGGGGGAGGGAGTCGGGGGTGGGGGCAGTTTGTGCAACATATTCAGGCAGTGCTTATCTTACAACCAGTTCAAGTTTCATTTATTCTAATACATGTATTAAATGATAATTATGAAACATTACTATATGCAAGAACCTTTGCAAGTTTATACACGTACCTACCTGTTTCAAAATATAGTCTGATATATTCTGACTGTATAAATTACCTGAAATAATTACAAGTATACGATTTGTTTACAGGAGCTGTGGAAGCTTGCCATTGAGTATTACATATTTTGCTGTATAAATGTGTCTTCAAAAGGAAGTGTAGACTGCATATAGACAGACCCTGGACATATCGCCAGTCATGCATTAGAATTATTTTAAGCACGAAGATATATGTGATTTTCCACAGGGAATTAGCCAAAGACAAACTAAGGTCTCTGTCCAGCGAGCAATGAACACCTATACGTACATGTAATCTCGTCGTCAAAGTCTACTTTATAGGACCACCTCCCTCGATTATGGTCATGGCATCGGTTGTTCGTCCGCAGAACGTTCGGTTTTCATTTTCGTCGTGCGTGGTTCTTCAGACCTTCTGCCTTCTGCTGATACCCTATGCGAAGGCGTTATACACTTAAAAACTGTTATGCATTGATTACAATGTATATTTTCTAATCCATCTATACCAGATATTGACTTGTTTATATTAGTACAGGCAAAAAAAATCTGGAAACAAAGTGATCCCTCTGAAGCATTAATCACAACAAAATTACATGAAAATTGCAGACTCTGTTTGATTGAGTCTGTACATGAGGGATAATTAATGAATAAGTGCAACATTCCTCACGCCTCCTAGCACCGGCTTGAGCGGTACTCAATTCTCAACACTTAATAGCGCTTGCATCAATGAACCCGAAGGACCAGAAAATATGACAACACTGAAGTTCAACACAAGTATGGTAATTGAAGATGAAGAATCTTTTATTTCAAAATTAACTCCAAAAGAGTTGCATGTATAATACAAGCTTTCATGATATACACAATTACATGTATGCATCATAAAAGCTTGTATATGACTATTATGTAAATTATCATGACTGTTTAGTAAAGTGTCATAAATGCAGACTTCTAAATTGATGACTGACTGTAGTATGATACAGCATATTGGAGTCTTCATCATCATATCACACCAACCTTTCAACGTCAGTACATCTTATAGTTGTACACCTTAAGCACCATCAGTGCTTTGTCTTAAAAAAGATAAATTGCTTTGGTTTATAACATAGTTTCAGTAGATTAAGAAATAGACTTGAAGCAAACACTTACAGAAGTCATCCAGTTTGTAGCGTTAGCTGTAGTTCTCAAATTGAGCATTACTAAAATTTCTAAATGTATATTCTTAAAGGTTGAGAAAATATTTATTTATCATTTATGAAATAAATAAATAAATAAAATAAAAGAAAAGAAAATAGTTAGATTGTTTAATGTAACAATCATCGGTGTAGCAGTCATATGTTTTACATATCTTTATTTATTTATAAGTATTAGTAATATTTTCAGGATACTAAAATAGTTTTCACTAAATTTTATGTTCTCAGCTCATTAGATTTTATGTTAAAGCGCAAAACTTTTCACCACGTTTCGTTTGAAACAGTGTGCACGAACGTACACACGCACGCACACGGGGGCGCGCACACACATATGCATATGTTCCGCAGCATTGGTATTTAATTCCTTCATTTTGTCTTGTGTGGCATGGGTGTGCGTCGTTAATTGAATACAGCAATGCTGTTAATTGTCTTCATGCAAACTTGAACTCTTGAACTTTTGAAATTTATGCATTGTTAAAAATTGAGTTTACAACATTTTATAAAAATTATACTGATCTTATTCCCATATATCCTCGCCTAAGGTTCTGTAATACATGTATCATAATTGAAATCTAACCGAATTCTTTCCATAGGATAATGTATTGTGAGCAGCTGTTTCTTTGTCTTCTTTTGGAAGGTTATCATTTCCCAGATCTTCTGGAAGGTTATCATTTCCCAGATCTATAGAAGATGACCTTATATCTCCATTACCTGACTCTGTGATTGATGGATTAAATTTAGTGGACGTCCCTTCTGGAGTTATTTCAACTGAAGACTGTTCCTCATTTAATGTTTCTATCATATCTTCATTCCTATTTGTTGCCATTTTTTCATCGTTCATTGATTTATACTTTGAAGCTTTTGCACTTTCGGTTTGAAATATATTGCTGTTGTCTAATTTAGCAGAAGCAGGTGTCATTTCTACAGTCATTTCACTTGGACCGACAGCATTTTTCTTTGTCGTAGTAGCAAGAGTTTGACCCGTTTTAGTATCAGAAGCACAGGAAGTGGCTGGCCCTACTTTATTTGTAAATGGAAACATTCGCCGGCGGATGGATCTTGTGGAAAAACAGTAGAGAACAAAGTTTGCAAATCCCTGTGCGCTGTCACCAATACCCTGTCAATTGACAAAATATGTTTTACTGATAAAATATTTTTGACCTATGTCTTTAAATCATTCAGCGTCAATATAAAAGAGTGAAACAAAACAACAATTAACCCTAGCCTACTGGCGGCAACAATTTCGGAACATATGCTGTGTAGACCAAGATTATTCGTGCGTGCCATCTGATCATGATATGCACTGATCACTCACTGTCAGTAAGTAGTTACAAAAAGTAATTTACACATTGCAAACGGCATTTAAAAGCCACGTAAATTACCAAAAAAGAGGTCAAAATAATCAAATATTGCGTCAGTCAGTCATTAATCGCAACTTACATGCAAATTATTAATCCAATCTTGAGTCATATATTTCTTTTCTTAAAATCTGAGTACATTTTTCTTACGGTTGATTTTCTTGAAATATTTTGGCTGAACTGGCTGGAGGAATGCAGCTTTTTAAGGCTGGCTCGAGTAAAAAAAGGTTTAAATATCATACCTGTAGCGGATTTATCCACGTTACATACGGTTCATTAACTATGTCTTGACCAAAATTACCAATAAGAAATCTGAGAGTTCCCCATATTCGACAGACGATAAAAACCAAGGGCACAAACGTCAGTTTTCTGTTGGCTTCAGCGATGACATCTCTCCTCGTGCGCTTTGACCTCACTCTACCAATATTTTTCTTTGTCTGAATAGGACCCAAATTTCAACAACAATTCTTTAAAATGTCATTGTGGTTAAGTAAATAATAAATACATTTGTATTAGTATGTATGTTATAATGCCTAGACAGTCTTATTTGCCTCTGTATGCTCTAACAATGTCAAATGTGCTACGGCCATACTTTACATAAATACAAACATCTTCTAGTATTCGATAGGTATATGTCCTTTTTGACTTGGTTACCACAGAGTTAAAGCAGCATTAGATAAATTTTATAAAAATAGAAATATAAAAATTCTTTAAAGAAAAGGTGTTTCCTAGCAACACTCGTTCCTATTTTGTTGTTCAGATAATTATAATCCTGAACTATCTTCAAATAAACATGTACATAACAAGAAAATTTGTTATTCTGGTATTTAAAGGCATTTTCATATCACATACTCCATTTACCTCGCTCACGTTGATTGCAAGAAAAATCATAAAATATTGAAATAACAAAATATGAAAAGCAACTTGATACTTTATATACAATGTAATAGCAAAGAGCGGTACTGACAAAATCAAACAAGAATAAAGTAGGACGTTTTCATTACAGATTCATTACAGATAGTTGTTGGTACTCAATAGTCTATTTCTTGTTTGCCCATATACTGGTATATGTACAGTAAATGGCCTGCGTAACCGAGGATGTGTTTGCATGACTTTGGCGCTTTTGACAAAATCAGTGATTTGTTATTGCATTGAATCGTTTGACCAACGAAAACAAAACATTGCTACAACAACATTTATCAACTTCTCTATGAATTATTTAAGCTACAAAGGATATACGAGTACATGTACTTAGTTTATTGTATTTGCTTCTATACAGTTAATTGTTGATAGTGTCAAAAGATTTACCTGTCGCACCAAGAACACCTTTATAGATGCATATAAAACAACTGTTGTTATATAAGCAATGATTTCAAAAGACTTCCCCGTAACAAACTGCCAAAGTAAAGCATTCGGAACCCTAGGATCTATCCAACACCAGCTCGCTTGTTTTAAAGTTGTGTCTGTGCCGAGTACGTTCATACTGAGGGCCAATATTGTAATTATCCCTGAATAAAATGAAAAATAGTATTGCTTATTTATTAATATTTCTTTACAGCATACATTTTTTTTATCTTTTCATATCGGAACAAAATTCAACAAACGGCAGGATATGCGTTCATAGAATGTCGCTTCCGTTGTCGATCGTTGTTTATCGAAGAAATAGAACATTTATAAATATAAAATAATGTAATCATTTATAATAATATCTGAAAAAGCAAAATGTTCTCTAATTATATTTTTATTGAAAGAAACCTAGTGCAAAAAAAAGAAGAAAAAAGTCAAACTTTAAACATATTTTACGAAATATTTTATACACCAAACATTCCTATTATTGCGATATCCAGTTATGCCGGCTCGCCACGGCGAGCCGGTATTACGTTAGGATTTTACTGAGAAACAACCTAAAACTCCGAATCCATCCAAAAATTTAATCGAAGCTTGGCTTCCAGCTTTCTATAAAAATTTATCTATCAGGGCTAGGATCCAAAATTATTTAGCCAATCAAATTTAATCTTACATAGCGTCAAAAAACCTTCAATTTTCACGCCATATTTAAAAAGCAGCAAGTATTGCTTTGAGCGCAAAGATATTATGATGATTAAAAATGTTTGTTTTCATGAATTCTTTTCAAAAAATCATATTTACACTGACTTTTGATTTAGCGATCTGATTTAGTGATCCGGTTCCTTTGTAGTAAGCTTTTGTTTGGTTAATTAACATAAGTGTACATCTAGTTCTGTACATTTTTTCCTTTTTTCCGGTCATTTTATCCTTTCCGGTATTTAGTGTATATATTTACTGGCCGGGATCCGGGACGCCCGGACTGGCCGGGATCCGGGATCGTATAAGATATAGAGGAAAAACTAATAAACTATATTTGTGTTGATTATTGTCGTAATGAAAACGTTAAGTTTTTTATTGTATGTAATGAACGATAAATTCATTAAACTTAGGATATAAATATATTTAGAGCTATTTATCAACAAACTTAAAATGCGGAAATAACAATACTTATAATTATATGCCTAATTAAGTGGAAAAATCAAAGACTACATTCTTGAATTGGTCAAATCCCGGGATCCCTTTATGTTTTAATGAGATCCCAGCTTTTCTGAAAACTATATTCTTGAACTGGCCAATTCCTGGGATCTCTTTATATTTTAATACGATCCCGGCTTTTCTGAAAACTATATTCTTGAACTGGTCAATTCCCGTGATCCCTATATGTTTTAATAGGATCCCGGCTTATCTGAAAAGCATCTTAGACTGGTCAATTTCCGGGATCCCTATATTTTTAATAGGATCCCGGCTTTTCTGGCTGAATTGATTGACAACTTGTGTTTACTTTAGGACTTGTGTCTGTCACTCATTCCAATACTAAATAACAGATTATAACTTAACTTTGTATAAAGAGACATCTTTATGAATTCTACCTATCTAACATTTATTTGGTCAAGGTCAACAGGCTATACAGTAAATGTGCATAGACATAGGGTCTTCATTCTACCTGTTTACATGCATCTTCATATATACTCATATTCCTCTTTGTTAAACTGAGAGAACTGGCTTCCATAACTTTATGTCACTTTATTTTGATGTTCGCTGAAGTCTCTTCAGCTAACAGAACTGTCATTTTTACATTTAAACGCACCCCTGGAAAAAAATTACGAAGCGAGTCGCTACAAGCTTTTTTAAAAGCTAACCTTGTTGCATATATTAATTTATAAAACAGAGAAATGTGTTAAAAAATTGGCGAATTTGATTTGTAAAATTCAAGTTTTTTCTCATAAAGAAGTAGTCTTCGGAAGGTACATGCATATCTGGAATACTCTTGCTTTTCTTTAATATAAGCTATACAATTGATTTTATTATACATATGCGCATGTTTCAAAGTTCCAAGTTTCAGGATTTCGTGATTATATGTTGAGTTCTGTTTAAGCAACTGTGATAGGGGCTTGTATTAACAACTGCTGTTCATCAAAACGAGTCTGCAACATTTTCAACTTTGCCGTTTTTTCTATTTCTGACTATTTAGTTTAACCAGGAAACTCAAATTTAAACCAAGTCAACTCAATGAATGACAGCAATTATTTCTTTGAAACAAAGTACTTGAAGTCAATCGCAGCAGGTCTATAACCTTGTGTGATAAGGCTCCTGATAATTGACAAGTTAGATAAGACATGCAATATCCTTAACATGTTGACAAGACGATCAGTGACTTCATCCTTATCACAAGGATGTCGGTCATCTAGATATTGATAACTATTGAGCTAACAATTTTGAGCTTTTAGCAAAACAATGCAAGGACAGTAACCAATATAGAACAATAATCGTTTTAATGTACTGATACAATAAAAATATAGAAACATAACAAAAGCTCATTTAATCGATAACGAGTATACTAGAAGAAAAAAATTGTACGAAACTTTGATGAAATGAAATAAATCATATTTGATAATTACATAAGCATGAGAAAAAACTTCAAAGATACAAATTCAATCAATTTATCAAAGCAAACATTAAAAACAAATTTCTCATCAAAATGGAAAAAGGATTAGGATAACCCATACCCTGTTGGTAGCTATAGATTCTGCCCATGCAACCATTTCAGACAAAGATCAGCCGGTATCCGTGCCGTCAGATACAATGCAATGTTTGCAGTACATATTTAGAAAAAAAAAACCAAAACATAATGAATGGTTATGTCCAGATTATAAACGGACAAGTCCATTTAAGACATTAATTAAGCGTGGTAAAGGTAATTACCTGGAGGTATCCATGCCAGTATGTGGAACAGTTTCATGTAAGTCACAGTAAAATTTTGCATGTTAAGTACCACAGTAACGAACAGGCTAAAACCCATAGTAACAGTCCATGCAAATGATGTCATACTGAAATATATTGTCATCGCGCTTTGAAAATCACAATATGCCTCACTTTTATTAATAATTGACGAATCACTATACAGAAACCAAATGATTCCCAAAAGATTTCCAAGAGCCAGCATTGCGTCTGAAAATGCTAAAAATAGCAACAGTTGTCGTGCGGGCGAACGAAGGTCTTTGAATGCAAAGTATAAAACACAAATACATGTTCGACCAAATATAGATAATCCTGAAGTTACAGCCGTTAATATAACATAAACATACTCCGAAGACGGAATTTCATCGTCTGTAACATCATCGCAGCTATTATTACATGAATTGTTTTCCATATCTATAACTTTTAACGTAAAGAAATAACCATCAGAATATTTATTCTTATTATTAAATACCCTTGCTTTATTTCTGATGAAACTTTAAAGTATCCAAAGCGCTTAATATAACTCTAGTCACAGAAATATCTCTGCTTTTGCAATAATTGCCACGTTATTGATAATACATTTCCTTGAAAAGTTCGCGTTCTATCGAAACTCTTCAGAAGTGCCGTGTTTTTATAAGCCTCCTAAATTGGTTATGGTGGGGATGTACAGGTGTCTTGTGAAAGTTAAGATCTAGCACCCATTATGAGAAATAATGTAGAAAGTTGATATATGCTGAAAATTAGAGATCAATTGAAAATAATTAAAACAAAATTAATAAGTGGATTGTAAATTCAATTGATAGAGCGACAATGACTGAAATATTTTAACCTCGCAATATTCCTTATTAATTTGCACTCGTTAAGTTCTATTTATTTCCCTATTACTCTATTTCCTCTCGCACAGACTTTAGCGATATTAATTCTCGTTTGCACGGCCCTGCAGCAAAGACTATTCCTTCTTGTACCGTCCATAGCATGCGTGCACTGTTTATTCTTGCACCGTCTAAATTCTAAAGCCGCAACATTCTCTCTTGCAACGGCAATATTATTTCTTTAGCACTAAAAGTAACGTGGAGTAATTATCTCAAATGATCAGAGGATATATAAATACAAATTAATATAAAAAATAATCTAAAATATTATCTGTAGTATCATTTACATTGTTTTGTTCAAAGTAAAAAAAAATAAGAAAAAACTGAAATTGAATATGCAGTTTTGTTTCTTGTTAAGATATTTACAGTGCAGTATAGACAAAATAAAATGATATACAAAAATGCGTACACTGTATTTTACAAGAAAAAGTTGACAAATTCCTATATAATGAAAATACCTCTGTGCCACCCTCAGCAATGTTCAACAGATAAGTGACCTTCAAAAGGATTGATTCTAGATATTAAAAATCATGTTTACGAAACTTTAATGTCAAGCAATTACAATCGCCAGTGCAAACATAGTTGCAGAGGTGTGGATTTAATTGACTTTGAAAAACAAGTTTCTAAGTGTTATAATAAATCATATAAACATAACTATGTCATTTGGTTCTAAAAGTTTGTTGACTGAAATTTACAATTGGAAACCATATGCAGGCAAACTTGCTTATGGAAAAGGTCAAAGGGAAAACTTTATGCGTTGCAATTAAATGATTAGCTCCGATCAAAGAGTACAAATTAGTCTGAAACTATAAAAAAGCTATCAGTAAATAATACCTTAATCTTTGATCAAATTAAATGAAACAAGTTCGCCTAAAGGTATTCTTTCTAACACAATACTTTTTGATTTTTGATTAATAGTTGCTTCCTTTAATGTTGTTTATTTCCTGACCAACATTTAAAGAATAATGTTAATAATTATAATACATGTATTTATAGAATTAAATATTTATAAAATAAGTGTAGAAAAAAGGTTTCAAAGAGAACATTTCATTAATAACAACAAGTACAGCTGTACATGCATTAACAACTTGTCATGCATAGCTGTTGTTTCTTATTATTCATAAATTATCAATAATCTTGTAGAAAAAAAATTAGTTGAATACCAATACATTGTACTTAATTCAGCGAAAGAGCAGAGTGATTTGAAAATGTTGATTCACGTCACTTACTGTTCAATAAAATTATTAATTTAGAAACCTAAGGAGATGGGGGCGTTTCGCAAGCCTCTCCTTTTTCTTGTTTGTTTACATAATGGTCATAGCTAGCTTTATAGTTTATTTAACAGATTTGAGCTGGTGCAGTATCCAATCGTAATATATTAAACATTTTCTGTCGTTGATGTTACTTTTGTTTATTCTGACAATCTCATGTGAAAAGAATTAAAATAAAATATGCACGATGGGAAACAACATCTCGTTCTTTTCGTTTGATCTGACGTGTCTAGTTAGTTTCTTTATCACACTTTATATCCCTTTTAAACAAAATTAAAGGAGATAATTATAAAATCATGTGTACACAATGTAATTACATATGATAATATCAATTATCATATTATTATCATATTATACGATCAGTTATACATACATGGTTATAGGAAGATTGTTTATTAAAGTGATATGTGTTATTTACAATATAATCATATACAAATATTTTAATAAAGGTATTTAAAACACCCGGCCTCATGGGCCTATTAGTCACTGTTGACATTTAATACAGTATCTATGTATGTTATAAGCTTATATTATTTAATAAAGTTTCATCTTTACATAATTATATTCGTACATATTAATTAATATATATAGAACATAGTTAGTAGTTTCTTTTTATCTGAAGAGTTATTGATTGTTTTAGGCAAAAATGGCATTCAGACATAGAAAAAAATATCGTACTAAACACTTTGTATAGTTATATCAAAAAAGACTTGTTTTGAACCATATTCAAGAAATATTTATTGCAAAGGTATACGTATAAATATTTGTAGAATTAGAATATCTGCTCATAACTTAAGGATTGAAACTGGAAGATACGGACGTAACAGAATACAAAGAAACGAAAGATTATGTCAATTATGTAATTTACCAGAAATTGAAGATGAATATCATTTTATTTAAGTTTGTCCATGTTATCAAGATATTCGAAGAAGATTTATCAAGCGTCACTACTATATTAGACCTTCTATGTATAAATTATTAGATTTTCTACAATCAGAAAATAAAGCTATATACTTGTAAATTAGGAAAATATAATATAGATGAAGCAACAATTGCTGCTACCAGTTGTAAATACATAACATATTTGTAATATTAATTGGTTCAACTTATTATCCATATTATCGCTAAAAATATACATGTTAAACTATACTTTTTACGCCGTAATTTTTCACGTCTTTCTTGTTTTTGGTGTTTTTCTTTCTCTCAAGAACTTTTTTTTATTTCTATGAATGATAATGATATGTTGTGCTTGATTTGCAGCTGTCTGTTCTCTGTTTGAAACAAATTTTCTAGAATGTCATTAGTTAAAACTTTTTATGTTCCTATTATTAATATTTTCTTTGCCTTTGTCATGTGACCACAGAATTATTATATTTGTAATTATTGTATGTAACGAGATACTGTAAATGTATAAGTTACCGAAATAAACTATTTCTTCTTCTTCTTCTTCTTCATCATCATCTTCTTCTTCTTCTTAAAATACAAACATAAAATACATGATATGCCATTCTTCTTCTTCTTCTTCTTAAAATACAAACATAAAATACATGAAATGCCATTCTTAATAGAATTACAACGAGACTGTTTACTTTTTGCTTCTAATAGAGAAAACTCCACAGACTATATCACATCAGTTTACTGTTTTGTGCACTGAGGAATTGCGCCCTAGCTACACACATTTCACATGATCATTACCTTTCATTAAAATGTTTATAACAGAATAATCATGCAATATTATATATACATGATATAAACATATTTACATACATGGAAAAAATTGTGAAAATACTATATGAAGCTGATATTTTGAATATAGGCGATTATTAAATATTCCATTTAAATTTAGTGTTTTAACGATACAAAAAAAAACAGTATGCTTAATGGTGGGTTTATATCCTATCTGATAATGGACAGAATAGAACATTGTTCAAATAAATTCATCATCAATATGTGTCTCTGTCTCTGTCAGTTAAACTGCTGCATATTATAATTTTCATATAAGCAAACGGTGTGAATAAAAAAGAGTGATACTTGTTGAGGTTAATTATGCAAAAGTCCATGAGATCTGGGACATAGTGATGACATATTATGTCCCAAATGAGACGAAGATCCATTATGGCGTCAAACTTAAAAATACTGAGAGTTGGGGGGCAGGGGGGGGGGGGCGTGGGGAAATATTCACGAACGGTAAAAACTGGTTATTTAAAGTTATTTTAACGGTATGATACAGTCAGGTGCAAAAAGTATTGGTGATTTTGGCGGCCATATTGGATTTATCTGAATCAATCAATCATAGATTTCCTTCATATAAACAAGTAACTAGTTTGCTCAAACTGCAAAAAATAATTGTTTTCTTACCTTAATACTTAGTCAAGTGTCTTTTCAGTCTGATAACTGACATTAACCTTCTGGGTAAAGACAAAAACAGGCTCTGAACATAACTGGTAGGAATGTCCATCCATATCCTCTGAATTTCACTAAAAAGTTCGTCATTGCTGTTGATTACATGGTGTCTGTATTGAAGTTTTCTTTTGATGTATAACCATATATTTTCAATAATATTAATGTCAGGTGATTGTGCAGGCCAAGAAATGGACTTTAAACTGTTGTCAGCTTTATATTGTTGAAGTAAGTGAGATCTGTGTACTGGGGCATTATCATCTTGAAATAAATAATTATTATCAGGAAAATGCCTTGCAATAACAGGCCAAATGTTGTCCTCAAGAATATCTTTGTACTTTTCAGAATTAATAATTCCTGTCACTTTACTTAAAGTCCCCACTCCATGCCAGCAAATGCACCCCCATATCATCACCTGAAACTTCCTGTTGCTCTTAGCGGCCATTCTCAGTTAGAATTTACACCCCTATCAAAATTTTATAAAAAAAACAGATTCGCAAAAACGCAAAACTGTTAGTCTTTTTACAAACTTAAACCATCTGTGAAGTTCTACTGAAATTATTTTCAACATCATATCAGTAGTTTTTGTAAATCGGCGGTTTGAAAAGTGTATCCATTTTACCTTTTTAAAATGCCGGAAATGTTCGTGACAAAGTACCGTTTACTCTAAAAAGGGCTGCTTATAATTACATTGATGATATCTTATTGGAATTTACTTTTAAATATCACATGGTACATAAATTTTTAATTGTACAATTGATATCACGAATTACTTGACTAATTAAGCTTATATACTTTTTTAAAAACTCATATGCAAAAAGTGCAAATCAAGATATACTGCTTAACTGTGATTACGATTTGTCTCATTATTATAAGAGCTACGACCCGGTGTAATAAGTATAGTTCTTGGCATAAATAAAAACAGTAGTATCTCTGCTAGCAATTGTATGCGATGTATATGCTTTATTATTAGGTAAATTGATCACCTTACTAAAATTTAAGTACTATGTAAAGCTAACGAACCTTTCAACCATAAACTCAAACAAAAAAGAAGCCCACTTAATACCCCAAAGCATACATATAGACATCAGACAATGATATTTAGT